AGGGCAGACCGCCATGGGGGATGGGAGCCTTGAGCAGGGCCACTGAGAGTCATTTTGTATGTCAATAACAGGATAGCTTCATTCCTCATATGCAAAGGGAGTTATTCTGCATATCACCAAAGCTAATCAGGAAGGTTTCAAAGACTTTCTACAGAACGTAACTGGGAGAGAGGGAGGAGAGACAGGGGCCTGCAGGAGAGACAAAGGGACACAGACTCTGGGGAACAGTGTGAAGACCACGCGGGAAGAAAGAGGGGGGAAGGACTCTTGCTAGTGGGCCGGGAGAAGGTGCCACATGGTTATGGATTAAGAGCTGGAGATCGCGGCGACGCAGCGGATGGTGCTGAGACCTGCGAGAGGCCTGCCTGGCCGAGCCCCGGGCTCCTGTCCTTTTTTTCTTCTGAAGGATGGTACCCCGACTGGCCTCACTGGCCTCACTGGGCAGAGGGGGGGAAGGCAGGACGGTGTGTGTGCTGGTGATTGTTTTGAAGGGATTTTGAGGTTTAAGGGTGACATTTAGCCATTCATCAAACCTGTATAACTTTTGAATAAATAGTTCCTTTTCCTCTTCACCAAACTCTGCCATTCAGAGCCATAATTCCAAGGGCAGGCAGGCGAAGGACCCACAACTGAGGGGTCCCAGGGAAGGAGGGTGTTGTTGTTTTGGTAGGGGTCCTTTTGTTCAGTAACACCGTCACCTTCTCAGTTTTTTCATATCTACTTTATTGCTTGTATTACTGTCACGGTTTGAGTGGCGTCTCTCCAAAATGTGTGTCCACGGGGGACCTCATGACAGCGCGGGGACGTTTGCTGATGCCCCTGCGTGCGTTTCCCCTATGCCGACCAATTCTCTGACGAGAACTATGTGTCCAACAATTCAGTTCTGACCTTATCTACCTGGGTTAAAAGGCTGAGCCCCGCCCCCACTTTATGTTTTTTAAAGGTTTTATTTATTTTCAGAGAGAGGGGAAGGAAGAGAGAAAGAGAGGAAGAGAAACATCAGTGGGTTGCCTCTCACAAACCCCCAACCGGGGACACCCAGGCTTGCGCCCTGACGGGGGACGGAGCCAACCACCTTTCAGTTCACAGGCTGGTGCTCAATCCGCTGAGCCACACCAGCCAGGGCCCCACCCCGGGCCCAAGTCCCGGACCACCTGCAGTTCTGAACCACCAGTTATAAATGGAGGGTTTCTAGGACTCTCCTTTTCCCCGGGCCTAACCATTTTGTGGATGAGCTCACAGGTCTCAGGAAGGCACTTTTGATGTTACTGGCTTATTATAAAGAATACAGATGAACTGCCCGAGAAAGGGGTACATGAAGCAAGGTCCGGAGAGGCCCCGAGAGCAGAAGCTTTTGTCTCTGTGAAGCTAGGATGTCCCATCCTCCCACTGTGGTACCTGGATGTGTTTGTCAGCATGGTCTTTCTGCAGACCAGGCCTCACGCTAAAGCTACCTAGGGTGCCCCACCCTAAGCCACCCTATTAACATAAACTCAGGTGTAATCTGTCGAGGCTCTCTATGCCCTGGTAGGGTAGTTCAGTTGGTGAGAGCATCACCCACAATGCACCAAGGTTTCAGTTTGATCCCTGGTCAGGGCACATGCAAGAATCAACCAATGAATGCATAAATAAGTGGAACAGCCCTGGCTGCTGCGGCTTAGTGGATTGAGTGCTGGCCTGTGAACTGGAAGGTCATGGGTTCGATTCCCTGTCAGGGTACACGCCTGGGTTGCGGGCCAGGTCCCCCGTTGGGGGTGTGCAAGAGGCAACTGATTGATGTTTCTCTCACACATTGATGTTTCTCACCGTCTCTTTCTCCCTCACTTCCCCTCTCTCTGAAAATAAATAAATAAAAAAAGCAATAAATAAGTGGAACAACAAATCGATGTTTTTCAAAATCAATAAAAATAAATAAATAAAGGGGCTCCTTATGGATAACAAAAGGCACGCCTACGACTCAGGAATTCCAAGGGTTATAGGAGTTCTGTGCCAGGAACTGAAGACAAAGACCAAATATATCTCTCACTTGGGAACTTATTTGAAAATAGGAGCGTTGCAGATATAATTGAGGTAAGGGTGGAAATGAGATCAAACTGGACTGAGGGGGGTCCTAAATCCAGGGCAAGTGTCTTCATGAAAGACAGAAAAAGACACACAGATGCAGGGAACACAGCTGGGTGAAGGCAGAGGCAGAGACTGAGGTGAGGCAGTCTCAAGCGGAGGACACCAAGCAATGCCCGCTGCCACCAGGAACTGGAAGAAAGCAGGGGGTCAGGGTGGGGGAGCGCATTCTCCTTCGGGGCTTTCGGTGCGGCCCTGAAGCCCCGCTGACACCTAGACGGATCTCAGCCGTCTTTCCTCCTGAATTGTGAGGAATACGTTGCTGTTTTAAGCTGCTGAGCCTGTGGTAATTTGTTACGGTGGCCCTAGGGGGGCCAATAGTACTACGACTTCATTAATTTTGTAAAAGTTTTTAAACTTAAACGTTTTATCACTGTAAGCACTGGTCACTGTAAGATACTGGCTTCGCTGTGCAGGTGAGGGTTTTTCATCTGAGGGCCACGAACAGCCCCGGGCCTGAGCGCCTTGTTCCCGCACTCCCCCTGCTGGTTGTTTCTCTCAAATCAGGCCTCCTCAGTGCTGTCCGAGTCCCCTGGGGCCAGTTGCACAGACCTGTCTGTCCCAGGGACCCTGGAGGGGAACCCTCATCCGTCATGACCCCTGAGCCCTTTGATGGCAATTGGGTCATGCACCCCAAATATTTTGATGATTCTGAGCTGAAGGAAGTTGAGAATCAAGAGACGCAGGGAGTTGTCGGCCCTCCCCCTTTCTGACTAAAAGCAGGGAACACATTTCCCTTTCAGAAGGTGACCTGAGTTTCTCTGTGTGAAGGTGCCCCGCCTTCCCTACCGGGAAGAGGAGAGTGAATCTTATCAGGGGAGATGGAGCGTCAGCGCTGAGATGGATCAGTCTCAACAAACCTTACTATCATAGCCTGCACATTTCTTTAGTTTTTCCACTTATTTCCTAGTCATTTCCCCCATGATTTATAGTCCCTTGAAGCCCAAATCCCCTGTTAAAAGGAGTGCTTCTTTGAATTTCACTTTTATTCTGTGACTTTCCTTTTCTGTAAATATTAATAAAAATTGTGCGCTTTTTCTCCCATTGGTGTGTCACTTGTTTAATTCACGGGTCTCGGTCACTGAGCCTACGAGGACAGAGGAAAATTTTGCCTCCTTGACACAGCAGAGGGTCCCATTTCACAGACAGGACATTGGGACTCAGAGAAGTGGCGACTGGAGGCCGTGTGTGGCAGGGAAGGGGGAGCAGTTCCTCGAGGCCCTGAGGACGTGCCTGAAATGGAGCCCGGGTGGCGTGGAACTTTGCGCCCCCGGAAGGGCGCTGCCCAGGGCGTTTGCACAGCACCCCTGGCCCTCAGAGCTTGTCCCTTGGCCCTTCTCTAGGCTTCCCAGTGAAGTGGCCCAGGCCTGGGCCTGAGGAGATGCAGCCAGGGAGAAAGTCAAGTCCCCCTTGGCCTCTTTCATTCCCTGATTCTCCCCCGATCTGTGTCTACTGGGCAATTTATACTCACTCCTGCCTGAAGGTGCGGGCTGCGCCGGCCTGGGGTCCAGCCTCCTGGCACCCAGCTATAGGCTTGGCCTCTGGGTCCCAGGGTATGTGGGGCTCCAGCAGTGGACCTCATTCCCTGGCAGACAAATGACTACAGCGTCCCTGGCTCTGGAGAGAATTACATACCCCTTCCCCCTCTCCTGAACAGCTCCAGCACCTGGAAGAGGACCTTTGACAGAGGTGAGACTTGCCTTGAGCAGGCAGCTGGTTGGAAAGTCTGTGGAGGCTGTGATTAGTCAAGCTGCCTGGTTAGGAAGTTAAAACCCTCTCTTGAATGTAAACGGTAGTGGTGGGGGACGGGACACAATCCTCTCTAGTTTCTTACTGGACAGCTGGCAAGGACCTGGTTAAGCATCTCTGGCCTTGGCTTTCCCGGGCCTGCTAAGGCAGCCAGAATCCCTGGCGCTCTGGCCACCAAGCCGGGAGGGTGGAGCGTATCTGCCCTGGTCTCCATTGGGTCTGGAACAACCCCCAGGCACTGCAAAGAACACAGGACGGGAGAGCCCTGACCTCCTCATTCTTAGCTACTGACAAATCGCCTCCTTACATGGTTCCCCTCAAAACACCTGGGGGACACTTTGCAGAGGGGCAATGACCACTCCAGTCCATAAGCCCTTTGATTCAACTATTTTTATTTTTTTTTTTTAATTTTTGAATGTCATGCAATAATTCACAGTCCCAAGCCCACAGTTTTCAAACAAGGTAGGAAAAAGGCAAAAAGAAGCAAAGGAAATCGGTGGTGGTGTTTTTTTGTTTGTTTTTTTTTTCTTTTGTTATTTCGAGCAGGACCAAATGTCAGGAAAAAATGCTTCTTTTCTCAATCATTAATTTTTTTGTCCTTTTTAAAATTGTTTATTTTTTTTTAAATCGATTTCTGCAGGCAGTAATAGTAGGGTTTGGTATAACCAGCAAGCACTCCTGTGTGTGTCTGAGAACGGATGTGGGGGTGCGAGCGCGTCCGGCAGAGGTCTGTGTGGGACGCTGGGTGTCTGTCGGGTTCTCTGCCACACACTGGCCACCAGCTCGCGTTCATCAGGGGAAGGAAAGATTCAATTAAGATGATAAAACTCATCAATAGAAGCGATTTTTTTTCTCCCCGTTTTTCTTTTAAAAATGTTTTTTTTTTTTTTTTTTTAAATTTCCATTTTCCCCAAGGTTCTCCAAAAATGGCTGAGTTAATTCGAATCCCTTGGCTGTGTGGTTTGTCTGTCCCCGCGGGCCCCCCTTCATAGGGGGCCGGGGCTGGGTGGGGGGCGCCGAGGGCTTTTGTGAGACACCCAGGTGTGTCCTGGCCCTGGGGACTCCCTCCAGAGTCCGGGGGCGTCCGGCAGGTCCTCTCCCCGGCCTCCCCCGTGTGCTGGGCAGGTGGCAGCGAGGTGGCCTCGCGGCCGGGCCGCGGCTCCTCCCCGTGGGATGTGTGCGTGGGGTGCGTGGGGAGGGGGCCGGGCGGGCGCGGGTGCCACCTCGCCCGGGCTTAGCACCAGTCGTCGTCGTCTGTCTCGCTGTAGGCTTCGTGCAGGCCTTTTCGGGAGCCCGGCCCGCGGGGCCTGGCCAGTCCGTGGGCCGGGTAGTAGCCGTTGGGGAGTCGCCGGCCATGCCGAGAAGGCGACGCGCAGGCAGGGCCCGCGGCCCGAGGAGTCCTGGGAGAGCACGCGTGTCGCGCGGGGGGCGGCGCGTCGTAGGGCCCATCGTCCCCACCGCCGCCGGGGCCATCGGCCTCGTCGTAGTCGGAACCCCGGTAGTAACCGTGGTGCCGGGGGCCCGGGGACCACTCGGAAGCGTGCGCAACAGACGTCGGCCACCGCGTCCCGCCTTGGCGACATGCCCTGGGGGACTCGCTCCGGGCCGGGCCCCGACGCTCCATCGCGGGCGAGCGGCTGCTGCTGTGTCCCCCCTGCGGCCGCTCCCCTGCCAGAGGCTCGGCTGCGGGGCCCGGGTACCTCCGCGGGCCGCTGGGGGCCGTCCGGCCAGGCCGCGCCACCTGCTGCTGCTGCGGGGGCCCCGAGCCGCCGGCCTTGCGGATCACAGGGGAATAGGACACGTGTGGCCGGGGAGTGGAGGGGGTCTGGGGGAGCTGGCGGCGGCCCCGCCGCGGAGTGCTGGTACCAGATGTTGAGGGGGCTGGGCTTCCACTTACGGAACTACTGCCCTACACGAAAATTGAAACAAAGGAAATCAAAAAAAAAGATACAACAAAATCAACCAGGAGGAGACAGGAGGAGACACAGGGAGGGGGGCAAAGGAAAACCAAAGGAGGACAGGAGTGGGGCCAGGAGGGGGAGGAGGGGGTGGGGGACACAGGACATTTGAATGGAAAAAAAGGAAAAAAAGCGACAGCCACGGGGAGGAGGAGGAGGGGGAAGAGAAGGAGAAGGGTGGGGGGGGGGGAAGGGGAAGGAGGGAAGGAGACAAGGAGGGCGGGGGAAGTAAAAAACCAACACAACAAAGTGAAAAGAGAAATGAGAAATGGAGTTTTGTAAGTTTCGGGGTTAAAATAGCAGAAGTTTCAAAAATTACTCACAGGCGTCCAGAGGACAGAAATCATAATTGGAACAAAAACGGAAGCCGGGTTAAAGGAAAGCGAAAGGCAGCGGGCAGCCAGCGCTGCAGGGAGCCGTAAGGGCCAGGCTGGCCAGAACTCAAACATGATCCACAACCAAAGAGGAAGCAGCTGCAGGCGGGGAGCGGGGGGCGGGCGGGCAGGGGGCTGGGGGGCAGAGTGGCCGGAGGCAGTGTCCATCCTCGCCCAGGCCGCCCCTTGGCTTGGGAAGGAGCCCAACGGCGGGCCGGGTCAGAGGTCACAGTGGGGAGCGAGGACCCTGCCCAGAGTGCCTGTGGGCCCCCTCCTCTCTCGGTCCTCCGCGGCTTGGTCTGGGGGCACCTCCTGCCGCACCCACCTGCCGGTGTGCCATGTGCTCGGGGCCCTCACTCGGCGAGCGGGACCATCGCTGGTCCCGGGCCCGGGCCCGGTGGTCAGGCCGGTCTTGGGCATAGCGCTCCTTGTCGGGGGGCGGGTGGTGGTGGTGGTGGTGGTGGTGGTGCTGCCGGTGCTTGCGGTCCTTGGGACGGCCCCGCTCCTGGTCCCGCTCCTTTGACGGCAGATCCCCCGACTGGGTGGTCATGCTCAGGTCTGTCCCTAAGCCTGGGCCGGGTGAGTGTCAGACAGAAAGGAGGCCATGAGGTGGGGCAGAACAGGCACCCAGGAGGCCGCCAAGGGGCCCTGGAGAGCGGTGCCTTCTTCTGGACCAAAGAGGACCTGATGGGTGTCAGGGGTCCGGTCCTGAGGTCCCCTTGGCGACTCGGTTCCATCCAGGTCTCCTCTTCTATCGGGGTCTACCCACCTCTGCTTTCTCTTCCCCCTCCCCCTCCCTGTCCCCGGGTTTCTCTGGCTCTGGACCTTGTGGGGAGCCCACCTGTGTCCACGTCCGTGTAGCGGCCCAGGGAGCGCTCGGAGGCTCGGTGGCCGCGGTCGCGGCGCCGCTGGTGGTGCCGTTGGTTTTCTTCGGGTGGCACCCTCTCCAGGGAGTAGTCGTCCAGGCGCCGGGCCTTGGGGCCCAGCACGGAGGCTGAGCGCTTCATGGGGCTGGTGTCTGAGATGGTCTGGGGAGGACAGGCCAGCAGGCTGGGGTCAGCGGCTGGTACCAGTGGCCCCGATCTGTCCTGCCCTGTCAGCCGTCAGTGATGAGGTGTGGCCATCCAGGGTCACGGTTAGGCAGGGGAGCTCGGCTCCTGATCAACCAGGCCCATCCTGGGCTCTGGCCAGGGGGTCTGTCAGGTCCATCCCTGCCGCTTTTCAGGACCACCCCGGGGGTATCTCTAGGCCCCGGGTGTCCAGCCACGGGCACGCAGCCCGGCTGAGGAGAACAGCTTTGCTCATCCAGCGTGCACGCCCGGGAAGCCGGGCACCGGGCAGCGCCCTCGCTCTCACCCTGCCTGCTCTCCTGGAGGGTGAGAGGCCTCTGCCTCTCGGGCTGTAGGGCCTACAGGCTTGGGACCAGGCACCCAGCGCCCCAGCTCACTGTCCTCATTGGCCGGGGCGGGGGGCGGGGGGGCTGGGCTTTCCTGCCCACCTGAGGGGTTGCCCTGGCACTGCAGGCCCTGGGGAACCTTCCTGCTCAGCCTCGGCCTGCAGCCGGGGCCCCTGGGAGTGCTGCAGCCCCCGGGGGCAGCCTCCTGGAGAGGGGCCTGCGCTTCTCTGCAGCTGGAAGGGGAGGGGAGAAGGGCTGGGCGGAAGTCCTCTATGCCCTGTCCAGCTGAGAGGGAGGAGTTTTCAGGGACACAGGGCTATAGGACCAGAGGGCCAGGGGTGGTCAGGGAAATGAGAAAGAGTGGGCCAGGTGTGTGTGGGGGGAGGAGGTCGGGATTCTTGAAATGATGGCCCCCTGGCGTGGGGCTCTGAGGAGGGGAGGGGGAGGAGGGATGGAGGGCCAGCTCCCCAGGGCACACAGATAACAGGATACACGAGGATAGGGCTCCACAGGGTGCGAGAGGGTGTTGTCTGCAAAGGAAAAGTGGGGTCTGGGAGGGCAGAGATGACAGGACTCCCTCGAGGGGGGGTGGGCGGGAAGAGGGGGCCGGAGCCCAGCTGGGTGGCAGGAGGGCGGGCGGTACATACACTGAGGTTATTCCCACGTGGCCGGCCCCTTCTCCTCTGTCACAGCCCCACGGGATGGTGCACACAGAAAAAACAGAAAGAAGAAAATAAATATAAAAGCCAAGAGAGGGAGTGAGAGGCAGTACATGGACCTGAGGAGTGAGGGGGAGAACGAAGGGAGGGAAAGAGAGGTTAAAGTCCCTGGTGAGCAGATGGCCCCTGGCCCAGCTGGAAGTCCTTCCGGGGCACAGAGGAGACAGACAGGAGACAGCGTAGACAGACAGATGGCAGAGGCTCGAGACAGACAGATGGGACGGTGTGGCCGCAGCCCTCCGGCCCTGGGCTCTGCCTCATGCGATGCCTCCAGCCCTGGCTCTGGCTGACACTCAAAGCTGGGGGCGGGCAGCTTGGGAGGGGGTGGCCATCAGCTGGGTTTGCCCGACCCTCTCCTGGGGCCCAGCAGCTAGGTCCTGGGGCGCAGAGGCTGGCAGGGCGGGGCTGGGCAGCCACATGCAGGCTGGGCGCTTCTCACCCAAGTTCCCAGCAGCCAGAGGCCAGGCCCCTGGGCGGCCCCGGCCCAGCCACAGCACAGCGCAGCCGCCCACCCCGTGCACATGACCCGCACAGCGCACGGGCAGCTTCCACAGTCAGACATGCTGCCCCTCTCTCGGGCCGGGGGCAGCCAGCCATGCTTCTGGCTTCAGTCCCCTGGGGTCTGGAGCAGCAGGACCCGCATACCCTCCCCCTTCCCGGGCCCCGCAGCTGGATAAAGCAGCCACACACAGACACACATCAGGCACACGCCCCTCCCCCTCCCCAGCAGCCCCCACAGAGACCAGACAGGACGAACCCCAGCTGTCCCAGGTCCTCCCCAGACTCTGCTACTAGGTCCTAGGGCCTGCCAGGTTCCTGAGAGCAGACCCGCTCGTGCATGTGTGTGCAAGAACACACGTGTGTGTGCACGTGTGGCCATGCCTATGTGCGCGCGTGTATGTGCATTCTTGACTGCAATCTCACACATCTCCTTCTACACCCCCACGTGTCCTCCACACCCTCCGGCCACAGCACCCCCAAGCACGGCAGAGACAAACCGCCTGGCAGTGGCTACCGCACCCTGCACAGGGGAGCCCCTTTCTCTCTGCCCTTCATCAGAAGAGCTAAGAGGACCAGGGCCTCCAGATGCCCCCGGCGTGGCCAGGCAGGGCCTGCTTGCTGCCGCCGAGGGCGCAGGAGACCCCATCCAGACGAGGGTCTGGAGGAGGAAGGAGGTGCCTGGGGCCTAGGGAGGCAGGTCCACCTCAGGGGGGTGGGTAAAAGCCCTCACCTGGTTCTCTGCAGGAAGGCGGGGCATGGAGGCAGCCCGGGCCTGGCCTTCCATGGGGAGGTAGCGCTCACTGTCCGAGTAGCCATCTCGGCCCATCTCTCGCATCTCCACAGACTGCAGGGCAGATGGCAAGGCTGGGTGAGCCCCGGGGCTGGACCCGTGGACCCCAGGGGCAGCCGGATGCGCACGGGGCTGCAGGCGAGGGAGCCCAGACCCCGCCTTCCTGTGCTGCCCAGCGGGGCAGCAGGAGGACAGAGGCACCTGAGAGTCGGGCCGGCTGTTGGGCATGTCGGTAGGGGGCCCCCGCTCCGGGCTCCACGTGCCCGTCTTCTGGAACATCTCCTGGGCTCGCTGGGTCACCCAGGAAGGGCTCTCCTTGATGCCACTTTCGTGAGCCATCCTGCATGTGAGACACGGGCCAGGTGGTAGTGGGCACTCCGGAGGCATCTGTATCTGGGACGGGCACGCCCTCCTCCTAGCCGGAGTGACACTTACAGGCCTCCTCCTGGGTCCAGCTGGGTGGAAGGCAGGGCGTTCTGGCCAGGCCCCCCCTCCTGTGTTGGCGACGGGGGCTCCATGCGCTGGAACATGAGAGGTGTCCGGTTCTGGGGAGGCAGAGAGCAGCATGTGTGCACAGTGTGTGTGCATGGGGGGAGGGGGACACGTGAGGGAAGCTGCGGAGGGGACGCTCAGCTGTGGGGGAGCACGTACTCGGGTCTCATCCATGAGTCAGCCCACTAGCCCCTTTCTTCCAAATCTATCCAGAACTGGATCACTTCTCAGCCTCCATGGCCCCCTGCAAAGTTCAGCCCCATAATCTCCCACCTGAACCAGCGCTCCCCGCTCCAGCCCTTACTCCCCATGGCCACCAGAGGGCACGAAGCAACTCCTGCCTGGCCACTTCCCTCTTCTGTCCCACAGCATCAGAGTCTCCCTGAGGAGTCCCCTACTCAGAGCAAAAGTCACAGTTCTCCCCATGGCCCGCATACTCATCAACTTGTCCCTCCCCACTGCCCCTCTTGCTTGTTCTGTTCTGCCACATGACCTTGCTGTTCCCCAAACTCACACTCCTGCCTCAGTGCCTTTGCACTGGCTGTTCCCTCTGTCCGGAATGTTCTTCCCCCCAGGTATCTTCTCAACCCACTCTCTTTCATCTTCCTTCATCTTTGCTCAGAAGTCACCTCCTCAAGGAGGCCTTCCCTGACTACCTGTTTCAATCTGCACCCTCCCCCCAGGCACTCTTTTTCACGGTGCTTACTACGTTCTGCCATGCTCTGTCATTTAGTCATTTGCCACTCTTGGCATTTCCCCAACTGGGCTCCTGGTCTGTTTTGCTCATAACTGCACCCCAGGGCTGACAACAGCACCCAACACACAGTAGATGCCCCCCAGTACTGGTGGAGCAGGTGAATTAATCCAGGTTACGTCTCTTCGGCACAGCCTTACTTTTCAGTGACCTATCATGGGGCTTGGCGGCGCCCCACTGCTCTGGATGGCCCTCATGGTGACACAAAGCAGCTACAGTCTCCCAGCCTGGGTGACCCCAGAGGGAAGAACATGGGAGGAGACAGCTGCCAGGGCCTGGGCCGTACCTGCTCCTCACGCATGGCCTGCAGCTTCTTGGCTTTGCTCTGGCGGTAGTACTCCATGATCATCATGGCCGCATAGATCTTCCCCACCGTCAGGTCCGTGGCTAGGGGCACAGAGCGGGCTCAGGGACGCGCGCCCCTGCATGCACCAGTCTCCCAACCCCGTGCCTCCTCTTCCCCTCCCCCTCTGCCCTGGTGGATCAAGGCCTGGGGCCAGGCCAGTCTGGGCGCTTACACTTATGAGGGGTGACCAGCAGGTCCAGTGTTTTCTGGGACAGGTTGGGCCAGATGGCCATCATCTCTTTCCGTAGCTCGGCGTCCATCTGCTGTTTGTCGGCCCCTCCTGCAACGTGGGCACAGAGAGGCCCTGATGGCCGGCCTGGGCGCCCGCGGCCTCTAGGGCAGCCGCCAAGCCAGCAGCTCCTGCTTACTCAGCGCTCTGCAGTCCTGGTTCCCATGGGTCCCAGTGCCCCGTGGGACTGGCCCAGAGGAGGACTGACCACGGGGGTTCTGGTCCTCCGCAGGGACAGGGCTGTGGAGCAGGTGCGTGGGGGACAGCTCAGCATGGAGAGGAGCTGGATGGCCCAGGTCAAAACCTGATTCCCAGCTGAGCAACTTAGGTGTTAGTCTGCTGCTCTGTGCCTCCCTGGCTGCAAAACGGGGACAGCAGCTGAACTTGCCTCACTGAGTTCTTTGATGATTAAAGTAGTTAATGTGTCTGCAGCCTGAGGACCGCATCTACCATCAAATTGTTACCCTGCAGCCCATCGGCCCTGGGGGGAGCCCCACGGAGGCTGGGATGCCATGGGGCCAATTTTGATGTAGAGGGTTCTCCCTCAGCCAATTCTCCCCTTCCATTGATGTGACCTTTGGCCATTGCCGATCCCTGGTCCCTCACCTCTGCCATGGTGGTCATTTTGCCAGTGATTCCTGGTCCCATTGATTCCTAAGTACATGGTAGCATGACACATACTGGACCCTGTAATTGGCTGGGGCCATGTGATGAGTTCTTACCAATGAGGTGTGAGCAGAATGAGGTGTCACTTTGGGTATTCAATGTCCAGTGAATGACCCTCTTGGGTTCTTTTTCATTGTCATGATGGCTAGTGACATTAGGGAGAGTGGCTCTGTCAGGCCTAGCCCCTAAGCGACTGATGAATAGAGCCCCTTTGCCAACCCAGGAATGACACATTAATGGGAGTGGGAAGTGAACCTTTGTGGTGTGAGACTGTGGGGCTGTTTGTTAGAGCAGCACACCCTTGTCCATCCTGAGTAATATGCCAGCCTGGCCTCCACCTTTATTTCCCCTTCAGAGCTCCTAACCCTGGACACAAGGGCATGTTCCAAACACCAGCAGGTATGGAAGGGACATTGATAACAGAGCTAGAGCAACGGTCCCAAGGTTCCCTGCTGGGCCAAACATTAACTTTGTAGTTGTTGGATTCTGTTATGTGTGTGTGTGGTGGGGGAGGGCCAGGAGACCTGGGGGAAGGGCAGAGGTTGGCTACCAGCCGTTAGAGAAGCATTTCAGTGTTTTAACAACCATCCGCTGGGGCACCCAGGCTGAGTAACTGCTCTGCCAGGCTAGTCCCGACATCGCGCCTTGGCCCCTCCTCTCCGAGCCTCCCTGGCTCCTCCTTCCCCAGGTCCAGCCTGGAGCCACCTCTGACCGCTCCGCCCAGCTTCTCCTTCTCAGCAGATGTGGGTCAAAGCAGATATCTGCCAGGCACTCTGCGGAACTTTCACTTATTTTTGCCCACGTGACTGGAGACAGGTTCTTTATTTTGGGAAAAATCCTTCTGAAGGGCCTTTTTGCAGGTTAAGCTCAGAGGACATTGAGTTCACGGGAAGGTGAACTGTCTGGACTGCGCAGCCGCCTCTGCCCAGGTCTTCCTGTCCCTCCTACAGCCGCCAGAAGGCACCTGTGAGCGCCTGAGTCTGTAGGGTGGCTCCTCTGCTCAGAGACCTCCTGTCTCTGCCTCATCAAGGGCGACCGCCGAAGTTTGCAGGGTCCTGCACAATCTGCCCTTGTCCCCTCTATTTCCCCCACTCACTTGCTCTGTTCCAACCACATTGACCTTCTTTACTGCTCCTCAAATATGCCCGCCACAGTCTCCTTCAGGGCCTTTGCGTGGGCGGTTTCTTCTGCCAGGATCATTCTTTCTACAAACATCCACATGGCTCCCTTCCTCCTTCAGGTCTCTGCTCAAACCCTTTATCAGAGAAGCTTTCTAGCCGCCCCATACTTAAAACAGTCAGCCCCCCTTCACCTTCTATGACTTTGTCCTGCTTTCTTCTCAGTACGTATCCTTTCATGTTGTTTCCCATCTCACCCACTAGAGGGCGCATTCCTTGGTCTGGTCTTGTCTTTTCATCACCCGATGCTGGGGGCTGTAAGTCACTGGGGTGGAGCTGCAGCGGGCAGGGCTGCAGCCGGTGGAGCTGATCTGTGGCCCTGCCACAACCGGGAGGTCAAGACTATTGTGGGAAACACTTGGGAAAATCCTCTGTAACTGGGCTCAAGACCCTCACCACCAACCTATGACAGTTCTTTTTTCTTCACGGCAAACAGTGGGAAATAAGAGCTATGTCTCCTGTCCACTCTAGCTGAGTGAGTGTCCGGGGTGGTCTCCTCAGACACACAGGAAGAGAACATGACACTTCTTGTTAAAAGCCCCTCTCCTTACAGTGTAGATGTTCCCTGTTTCTAGCAGAGAAAAAGGAGACACCTGCTGTTATGGACGGGATTGTGTCCCTCCAGAATTCATGTTGAAGCCCCAAGCCCCAAGCCCCAACGTGAATGCATTTGGAGATGGAGGCTTTAAGGAGGTAATTGCAGTTACACGAGGACATGAGGGTGGTCTTTAATCCGACGGGACTGGCTCCTGTAAGAGAGGGAGTGACCCAGGGGTGGGTGTGCACAGAGGGTGCAGCAAGAAGGCGGCGGGCCATCTGCAAGCCCGGGAGAGAGGCCTCAGGGGAAACCAGTCCGGAGCACCTTGAACCTGGACTCTCAGCGTCCAGAAATGTGAGAAAATAAATTCCTGTTGCTTAGGACCCCCAGTCTTTGTTATTTTGTTATAGCCACCTGAGTTGACTCAAGACTCCTGTTCTTGGCTTCTGAGTTAGGTAAGGGGCTCAGGGTGGGGTTCCTAGGCCTCGGTCTGCACTGCTGGCTCTTGGGGGCCGGTCGCTGATGGCGGGGCTGTCCTGCGCACTGTAGGATGTTGAGCAGCACCCCCTAAATGCGCGCAGCACCTCCTTTTCCAAGTTCTGACACCAAACCTGTCCCCATATATTGCTAAGTACCCCCTGGGGGACAAAACCACCCTGGTTGAGAACCACCACCTTAGGGTCTTCCTGCTTCAGTTCACCGGGAAGCCTGGCACTCAGGGGGCCATTCACATTTAAAGAAGGGAAAGCCCTTAGAGGTGGCCCTCCCTAGGGTCATGAGAGCCCCGCAAGGCGAAACCCTAGGCGTATTCCTCCTAAAGCTACAGAATGACGAACACCGGGGCTCCTCGGAACAGGAGGTCCCCTGTACGCGGGCAACGGTTACTCATGAACGTGTGGCGTCCCAGAGTTGCCACCCAAAGGTCCTCCCCTCTCCCATCTCATTCTGCTGCCTTTTTGGTGAAGAGTCTCTGTCACAGGGTCTGTCCTGCACACTCTGCATATTTGGCAACACCAGCCTCCTGGCCGCTAGACACCAGATGCCACTAGCACCAGTCCTCTCTCAGCTGTGACAATCAAAAATGTCTCCAGACATTGCCCAGTGTCCCTGGGGATAGAAAGGCCACTGGTTGGGAAATGCTGGCTTAAGGTCCAACCCCTGACCTTGCTCCCCAGCCCTGACCTTGCTCTCTCTTTTCCCACAGTAGTTCCCACCTTTGAACATGTTACACATTTGACTTTTGGCCTTTATTGTTTGCTCCCTGCTTCCCTGCAGCCGCGCTGGCGGTTCATCCCTCCTGCACGGCCTGGACCCACGTGCTGGGCACAGGGCGGGGCACAGAGCAGGCATTCGATGAATGTTCTCATTCCAGGAGCCATGGCCAACGTGGCCCCCCGTTTCAGGCCGATAGCCACATGCCGGAACACCCCTCTTTGGTTCAGGCACGTCAAAGCCTGTCAACTGCCATCATGTCCACCCCAGAACCTTCCGGTCATTGCGGACCCCACCTTCAGACAGAGCCTGGTCTTTGGGGATTAAAAGACAAGACAGTGCCCCTGGGCTGTGCAGCCATGTGGAGTCCTGGACGAGAGTCTGGGCTGGCTCTGGGTGGGGTTCGCCGGGACCTGGCCCCTTCTAAGATGACGGCAAAAGGCATTCCTGTTTTTTGAAGTTGAGATCCCCCTGCAACCAGTGGCTTGGCAGGGCTGAGGATGGGCACAGAGAGTGCCAGGCAGGAGCGAGGACAGCTGGCACGAGTTTAGGCGTTCCCGGGAGGGAGCCTCGGGGGGAGGTCCCAGCCAGGCTGATGCCTGGATTTTCACCTTGTGAGAGCCCCGTTGGGCCCACCAGGACTTCCGCCCTATAGAACTGTGAGCTGATAAGTAGGTGAGCTCTAAGCTTGCTAAATCGGTGGACATTTGTTACATGCGATAACCTGCTAATACATAAACTGAAGCCTGGCGAGGGTGAGGTTGTCTGCCAAGGTTTCCAGTGAAGACCAGGCAGATGGGCAAGGTGACTCCCTGACCTGGTCACAAGGAAGCTGCTACCTATACTCCTGCTTCCTCGCCTTTCTGGGCTGGGACCTGGTCTGGCTTCAACCACGCTCGTGAGGGAGCGGCCTGGGGCGAGCAGAGCCACGTGCACGGAACATGGGCCTGACCAGTGATGTGTGCCCAGCTGGCTTGTTGCATGAGAAAGAAACTTCCACTGTGTGTCTAGCTAGAGTCTGATCCCCACACCTCCACTTCTTCTGTCCCCTGTGATTCTTTCTCGCTCTCTCTGGTGGCTCCTCCTAGACCCTCTACCTTCACCTGCGTGTCTCTCACTCCCAACAATATCCGTCCTCAACGTGCCCCCCTCCACAGGTCACTGTCCCACTGGAAGCTGCTGACCTCCCTCCCCCAAGACCCCCGCCTCCCCAGCAACTTCTGGCCTCAGCCCCTCGTCCCCCCGCCTCCGGACCCGGGGCGCACCTCTGGAGCCCGGCCTGCCTCCCTCCTGCTACGCCAGGGCCTTAGCAGAGCGCAGCCCTGACCCCCTGCCGTTCCGCTCCCGGCCTCCTCCGCTGCTGGCCAGGGCCTCTCTCTGCCCTGCTGTCTCACCAGCTGCCAAGTGGCATCTGGTCTACGGTCAGGCTTCGGAAACCCACTCGAGGCAGGGGACACTGACCCCTCCACCACAGATGCCTTGCTCAGAGTGACCAGGGGAGATCTGTCAAAATCCACTGGTCACTCTCAGTCCTCATCATCTTTGGCGGCTGGGCAGCCTCTGACACGCTGGTCCCCTCTTTCTGACAATGCCCTCCAGAAGCCCACGCTGCCCAGCTCTTGGCTCACCTCCCCGCCCCTGCATCAGCCCCCTCTGACGCTGGAGTGGTCCCGAGTTTGGTCTTTGGGGGTCTCTCAGTTCACATTCACCCCTTGGAGAGCCCGTCCAGTCCCTTGACTTAAAACCTGTCAGTACCCAATGCGCCCCGACTTCCATCTTCAGCCCAGCCTGAAGCCTCTTCACCTCGCCTCCTTCGAGACTTCTCGGGGGGCCCCCGCGCCCTACTGGCAGCACCAGCTGGAGAGTCCCCTGCTTGCTCCGTGTCTCACATGCCTCAGCCAGTGCCGCCCTCCTGGCCTCCCTCTGCCCCTGGCCTGCCCCTCCGGCCCCTTCCCTGTCTCGGGCGATGGCCCTGAACCCTGAGGGTGGCCCTGGCTTCTCTCTTGCCCTCATGCCCCGCATCTAATCCACTGGCGATCTGGTTGGCTTGGATCCCAGTCAACATCCAGGACCTGAACACTCCACGCACTCTCAGTCAGAGCCGCGCTCCTACGTTCGCCTGGATTAGGACGGTGGCCTCCACTCTCCCCCACAGGGGGCCTGCTCCGATATGAGTAGGGTCGGGTCCCTGCTCTTCTCTGAATGCCGCATGGCACCCCCCCTCACTCAGAGGGCAAGTCAGTGCGAATACAGCCCCAGGTGGCCTCCTACCTCAGGACCTTTGCACCTGCTGGCCCCTCTGCCTGGAGCTCTTCCCCCGCCGGTATCCATGTGACTCGTCACCTTACCTCCTTCAGAACCTCTTAGAGCAGGCCCCCGCCACCGGAATTGTAAGCTGCTGTGCCCCCACGTTTAGAGTGGTGGCCGGTGCACTAGAGGTTTGCCGAGTGAGGGAATGGGTGAGTAAGTGCAGGTCAGGAGCGGGCAGTGGCTCCTTCGGTCTCAGGTGGGGAGGGGGCTCCTCCACTGCCCGCTGCTCAGCCCCTCGAGGCTGCCTCCGCCCTGTCCTACCCCTCAGCTCCCACCCCTGCCCCCCTTACCCTTGGCAATCTTGATGTCCAGGGCTGTGCGGATCAGAGCCATGAGGGTAGAATTGAAGTGGACAGTGTTGTCATCGGCAACAGGCAGATCCATTCGCAGGAGCCTCTGCGGAAAACCGAAGGGAAGGGCAGTCATTCCCAAGCATCTGCCTGGTCCCCCGTGAGCCAGACCCACCCCGTCCGGGGAGCTCCAGGAAGAACTCTGAAGGCAGCAGCTAAAGTGCCCCCCTGCCCCAGCTACCTGTCCCAGTGCCTCCCTTCCCAATCTCCCTTGGTGGCCCGTAGGAAGGGCACTGGGGGCTCTCCCATGCCGGGAGCCCCTGCCCCTCCCTCTCCCGCACGCTAGGCCCTAGAGCTGGCAATTCCAGGGTGGGCCCAGTTCCTCACCCTGCCCCAGAGTTCTTCTGGAAGGCTCCGTTCCGTTCTCACCCCAAAGAAGAAGCGTACAAGCCAGCTCAGAGCAGACATGCAACAGCCAGGCAGAGGGGTCCACGGCCACGACCGTGTGGGGGCCGCCGACTCCCCCCTCCCCCAAGTGGCCCAGACTAGGCCAGACGGGCACAGACCACATCATTTCTCTGAGAAGCGGCAGGCAGGCGGCCCCCCGCTGATGGGGTGGCCCCTCGCAGACATGCAGCGAGGCCAGGCTGTAACACACAGAACAGCGGACAGGCACATGCAGACGGAATCTCGAGACTCATTCATAGCTCCGTGGAAAGTATCTCAGGGCATGTCTGCATCTTGGCTCTGTGTGATGGTGGGGGAGGGGCTGAGGGTGTTCCCGTGGCCCAGGGAAGAAAAGACTCCCCGTGTCCCAGGCAGGGGCTGTCCCCTGTGCTTGGTGATGTGGCCAGAATGTGGGGCTGGTGGGCACCGGCCCAGGCTTCTGTGGCATGTGCAGAGATGGGGGCTGAGGGTGAGTTTGGGGTTCACGGAGGGAGTTGCAGATACATGTCAGCAGGAAACAGCTGGACAAGGGGAGGGTTGGTGAACCCAGGGTGGAACACAAGAGGTGGGTTGGGACAGGGCAGGAGGAAGGCAGTGGACAGAGGAACACACAGTTGGGCCGCTGTGCATAGCCGTGCGCGCTGCGCATCGCACGGAGGGTCCCTGTCTTCGGACGCGTAGCCTTGTGGATTTAAACAACTTCCCGGCTGCCAGCAGAAAAGTGTCTGCTTCTCACCACATGGCTTGATTACAATTTTCCAGCAGCCAAAGTGTTCTGCGGAGAGGGTGCTCTTTCCAAATTTGCACAAAGGTGCCTTACAGACCCACAATGGCCCTGCACAGAGGCCGCGAGGGAAGGGCTCTGTCCCTCTCTCTCTCGCGTGTGTGCACGCGCACACATGCACACACTCACACACTCAGGCAAGCCGAGACCGAGAGAAGGATGAGAGGACAACCACAGGGAGGAGGGACAGGCACAGGGATCTTCGAGAGGCTGGTGGGGCAGCCCCAGGGGGGAGAGAGGACCAGCACTGAGAGAAGGGGAGGGAGGCCTCTCGCAGACCTGGGGTGGGCCAAGGTCGAGGGAAGCATGGGACAGAGTAACCTATGTTTAGGGGGGCACTTTAAAGGTCAAAGGTCATCCCTGAACTTCTCTTCGATGAGTTGGGGGAAACAGAGCATCTGTCCTTGGGTGCCAAGGGAGATTCCGGGACACGGGTCTAGAGGGGTGGCCTGGTCCGGCCGCCTGGCGGCACGACCCTCGCTCCTCCAGCCAGCATGCACCATCCCCCACCGCACCCCCCGTCGGCCATGGCGCCTGCCCGCCCCAGGCTCCCGCCAAGGCAGCGTGCATGGCCTGCGTCAGGGTGCCACGGTCCAGGGGTCCAGCTGCGGCCCGCCTGCCCACTCTGGAACAATGGAGAGGCATATTGGGGTGTCTCGGGGGTGCAGATGGGAGGCATTGGGACAAGGGCTGGGGAAACAACTCCAGGGGGAGGGAGGCGCGGGGAGGAGGGGCCGTGGGTGTTCCTCAGGAGGTCCTGGGTGCCCCCAGGCCCTAGGTCAGAGATCAGCTTCAGGTGTGCGGGGGTCAGGGGGCTGCTGGACGGGGCCAAGGCCTCGCCTTTCTGGGGACCAAGCCCCCTGCCAAAAGGTACCTGCCCCAGCCTGGGAGTGGGGGCCACTCTGGGTAGACAGAAAGGAGGCCCATTGGCGATACTACCTGAAGTGTGTTTGTGTCCAATCTGGTTTCCAGAAAACCAGGTGTGAGGGGACTGGGAGCCCCCGACCCCTCCCCCCAGCATGTCGGCCATAATGGAGTCTCAAAACACCAAGACACACTCATCAGAAAGGACGGACACAGTGTGCTCCTTAGAGTCAAGGAATGGTCATGATCCATTTACTCGAGGAGGAAAGGAAAGAAAAAAAGAAAAAAAAGAAAGAAAGAAGAGGAACGCTGGAGAAAGAGACTTGGCTGGTTGTTCCTGGCCAGCACTGAAAAATCCCCAGTGCCCGGACGTCGGTGGTCAGCAAAGGTAATCTACCTTGTAAGCCACTCTGGCCGGACACTTCTTCCCCAGACCCAGGGGCGGAGACATGTGTCTCAGCATCTGATACATGTCCGGGTAAGGCATGCGGCCCCTGGCAGCACCGAAAACAAAAACGGGAGTGGGGACGGAGAACCAAAGGAAGGGCGGGAAGAGGGAGGGGAAGAAATGGGAGAAAAAAACCAAAACCAAAACCATACGAGCCGAAAAAATATAGAGAGAAAGATGCAGAGAACGGTAAAATAGGTATTTCAAATAAATGGAAAAGAGGAGAAAAAATGGAAGAAAAGGTAATTAAAAAATATTATTTCACTGCTCACAAGCAGGGAGAGAGAGAGAGAAAAGAGAAAAGTCAGGTTCAGTTTTGACTCTGAGCTGTGGTTCAGGTGCGGTATGGAGGGAAGGGGCGGTTCTCATTTTGGAGGGTGAAGCAACGCTTTGATTGGATGTTATTTTCAGAACCGGATAAAGTTCTCTGGTTTGGCTGAGGCTGGTCTCTGAGGGGCCCAAATGGGGAGGGGGGCTGGGGGGTTGTGGGAGGAGGGCTGGGGGCTTCAGGAGGTGAAGGGTGGAGGGGGAGAGAGTGGAGGTAATGGTGGGGGAGCAAAGCAAAGTTACGATCCCCATGGGTGTCTGATTTGGGGCGCCGTTGAGACCCTGGGGTGGGCAGCTTCAGCTAAGAGCAAGCAGAATGGCTGAAGGGAACGGAGAGGTATGTTCCATGCTTCATCAAGTCTACGTGACTGCATTCTGTTGGCTAAGAGAGTTTTCTAGTTTAATGCAAGAGAGAGAGAGATGGCTCTGTTTTTTGGAGATATATATATATATATGAAATATATATATTGAAGAACCCCAAGCCACACTCATTCCATGGATGCTAGCAGGTTTTAGTGGAAATCAAACCTTGCAAGCAACCCTATGAGGACATTTCTTGCCTAAGCCGAGAGGGGGAGATATTACGCGCAATAAACTGTACATATCCTTATAATGAATCCGACCGCTGAAAGGAGAAGAGAGGGGATTAGTGGAGGCACAGGGGTCAAGCTGCCTTCACGCTGGGTCCCTGCATACACAGTGAGGTCATGACGCCAGGGGCTGGGGACTCCCTGGCTTGGAGACTTAGGATGAGTGACACTCACAGATTCTGGGGCAGAGGGTTTTAGAAGGGGTACACCCGGAGCTCTGGGCTGGGCGCCCCTCCCCCAGGGCTCTCTCTGCACCTCCCTCGTCCACAGTCTACATGGGCTACACTGGGATGGGGGGGCTCGTGGAATAGAGGACAAGGGGACAGCATCCAACTGCTGTGACCTAAAATCAAAAGAGGAAGAGTTAGGAGCCAGCGGAAAGTCAAGTCCCAGACCTACGGCTCCCCCCAGCCTCTTGGCCTCACGGAGGACTTGTCTGGGCGGCAGGGGTGGTAAGGACCGACTCCTTCCCCCTTTCTCGTAAAGCCTCCCCCCGGTGCCCAGGCTGCCCATTAATGTGTTCTCAGGCCCCACGCTCAGCCTGAACTAGAATCTTCAGTCAGCGGCTCGTGGGCTCTGAGCATGATGCTGGCGCCTCGGAGTGTCCTGCAAGTGCCTGGCGTTGAGCAGGCGCTCAGTACACATGCGCAGCTGACGCTCTGAAACCACCGCCTGCCAGCCTGGAAGAGGCACTCCGGTGCCCGCGGAGGTGGGAGAGCTCATGCCCTTCGTGACCACGAAGAGGCAAAGGCCACTGAGGTTCTGTGTCCTCTGCCCTGGCCTCGTGTGGCCACCTGCTCCAGGGGCCTGGGATCCCAGAGAGCGCTGGGTTCCACCACTCTCATCTTGCAGCCAGTCCCATGTGTCGGGGAGCTGAGCCAGCTCCTCTCCCCACACTCCCAGGACAACGAGGCTGAGAGGCCTTGGGCATCTTCCTCCTTGGGGCCTAGTGGACTTGTCTTCGCCATGTGGAGGCCTCCCAGTGAGGGGCAGGAGAGACTCCCAGCAGACCAGCTCCTCATGGTTGACTCCCTCCCTCAGCTCCCACAAAGCCTGAGGCTTGGGTGGGGGTGGCACCCAAAGCATTTGGCCTGGGCTGTGTGAGGGTGCTGATTCTCATTTCCTGCCTTAAACTGACTCCCCTGAGGTCCCGCTAGCTCCTCAGGAACCCCAGGACCCGAGGCCTGGGGCCTCACCTAGCCTGGGCTCCAGTGCCAGAGGAAGGCGGGCAGTGTGGCTGCAGCACCCGGGGTGGCTCCTTACCAGGCTGCGGGGTCGTACTCGGCCCAGACACGCACATACTCATCCAGGTGGTGAGGGCCCAAGATGGAGGAATCTCGCGTGAGGTACTCAAAGTTGTCCATGATGACGGCGACAAAGAGGTTCAGCATCTGCGGGGACCCCAGTGGCGGGGGAAAGTGAAACCCATTCAAACACATTTACACAGAGGCCCAGAGAGAGAGAGAGGGAGAAAGGTGATGTGGGGGAAGGGAGACAGACAGACAGATGGAGAATGAAAATGTGAGAGAGAGGCAGAGACAGAGATAGAGAGACATGGAGACAGAGGGTTGGAGAGAGGGAGGAGAGGCTATGAGAAACGGTGGCCAACACAGAGGGATCGGCACGACCCCAAATCCTCCCATACCTGGCCTCCAAAAAGGCCAGAGTGAAGGCTCTGTGCGGGGAGGGACCTTGTTGTGGTCCTGGTCCCAGCACAAAGTAAACACTCAGCAAACACAGGGTGAGGCAAAAGGAGGTTTACAGTTGTTCACATGGAAAATAATTAGGTAAAAAATAATAAAAAACACAAATAATAACCTGTTTCACATACTCACAACTGTGAACCTACTTTTGTCCCACCCTGGATGGATGGATGAATTTTTCTGCCCTCATCTGTATCTGGTAGCTCCTTTTCTTGTGTGGTTTTTTTTGTTTTGTTTTTTTTTAGTCCTTAATACACAGAGAGCTTGCATGGGTTTTGCCTCTGGGCCTTTGCAAAAGTTGCTCCTTTAGTGAATGTCATGATTTTTCTCCCTTTGGGTAACAACACTTGGCTAACCAACCCCCCAAACTTAAGATGCTGTGATTGGGTGTGGCTAACTCCCATCTCATGGCTCCACAGGCCTGTGATTGGTTGGGGAGGGGCACATGACCCAAGGTGGCCAATGAAAGCCTTCCCTGGGATTTTTCTGGCACTCTGGCTGCCATCTACAAAGAGGAAATACGAAGATAAAGCTGGTGTAGAGAACAGCAAAGAGGACGGGGTCTGCTTGCCTGCATCTAGCCTCATCTGGACTTTTCAGTTACACAAGTTAATTAACTGCATATTTCACTTAAGTCAGTTTTTGTTACTTACAACCAATCTGAGGAATATGTGTTCTAATCCCTGTGGGCCACTCTTTGAAATCTTCCTTCTCTCAGTCTAACTTTCCCCATCAAAGCACATATCACATTGTGCGCTACTGTGTGCTGACTTGTCTACCCATCACCCCTGAAGACTGAGGGAACTGGGTTCTCTCCTTATACCCCTAGTGCCTTGCACAAGGTCTGGCATGTAGCAGGTATTAAACAAACGTTTAGATGTAAACATAACAGGTGTTTATGTTTAATAAATGACCTGTAATTTTAGATGTCCCTAACTTTAGTGACTCTATTTTTAACTCATCGTTTCATGACATGGATTGAGCACCTGCTGCGTGCCAGTCACTGTCCTAGGTACTGGTTACACAGCAGTGAACAAAAGAGAACTTCCTGCCTTCGGGGGTGGGGGCTGATGGGCAAGTATTGCTGGTATTTTCTAGGGTGCCTGCCCTTCCCAGATAGGCTGCATTATAAAATCTTGTCCTTATATGCACCCATAGCTGCTTGGACAATGATGGCTATTTGACCAGGGGCTGGTCCGGCCCTTTCAGACTCTCTCTCCTGGGAATCCGGACCCGGGCAATGGCCTCTCTGGGTCGGTGGCTGAGAGACGAGGCCGCAGGTCTTGGTGCGGGGTCACTAGCCTGGAGAGGGTGGGCGTGTGGGGCTGGTGCTGGCTGGTGCTGGCTGGTGCTGACAGGTGCTGGTGCTTGGGAGGAGACCTACAGACCACACCTCTCTCAGCATTGGCTTCCTACAGCCTGCGAGTGGGGGCCGCAATTGGGAAGCCAGGCGTGGGAGGGGAGGGCGGGGAGAGCAGACTCCCAGGGCCCGTGTTGCGGGTTGAATTGTATCTTCCTCAAAAGACATGTTCAGATCCTAAACGCCGGTACCGGTGAATGTGACCTTATTTGGAAAAAGGGTCTTTGTGTACATCATCAAGTTAAGATGAAGTCAAACTAAACTAGGGTGGACCCTGACTCCAGTGTGACTGCTGTCCTCGTAAGGAGGACATCTGGACACCAACACACAGGGCGGAGGCCCAAGAGATGCTGCCATACCCAAGAGACGCCTGGGGCCACCAGAAGTTGCAAGAGAACAGGAAAGGCCCCCTTCAGAGGCCCTGGAGGCAGGAGAGCCCCGACAGCACCGTGACTGGACTTCTAGCTTCCAGATTTGTGGCACGATACATTTCTTTTCTTTTTTTAAAAAGAATTTATTTATTTAATTTAGAGACAGGGGAAGTGAGGGGAGAAAAAAAGGGAGATAAACATCAGTGTGTGAGAGATACATCTATCGGTTGCCTCCCACACGCCCCCACCAGGGGACCTGGCCTGCAGCCTAGGCACGTGCCCTGACTGGGAATCGAACCTGCGACCCTTTGGTTCTCAGGCCGGCAGTCAGTCCACTGAGCCACACCAGCCAGGGAAGGGAGGATACAATTCTGTTGTATTAGGCCACAAGCTGGTGAAACTCTGTCACAGCAGCCACAGGAAACAAGTACCATATGCAGCAGTCCAGGGGCAGCAGACAGCTAGGGTGCTGGCCCTGCCCTGGGGCTGCTAACAGCAGCTGGGGGGGTAACACCCTCCTTTCCTTTCAATACCCCATCCCTGGCATTCCTGCAGTCGGTAATCCCTGGAGATTGCCACACTGTCTGTCTCCTCTTGCTACCCTGTGTGGCCAATCCCCTATATACTTCCCTCTGCTCAAAACCCCTGGACAGTGTCTGGTCTCAGTGCGCTGTGCCTGCTCCAGGGGCAGCAGAGAACAGCGAGGGGGACGGTGGCGAGGCCTGGGGTGAGAGGGAAGGAGCGGGCAGCTGCGGTGGCTCCTGATCTCTCTCTCCAACCTTTTTCCACCTATCTATCCACTCATTTTTGTTTTTGCTTTCCAGGTTCTTGGCTTCAATCTCTTGCAGTGTTTCTTATCCCTGGGTCTTATGAGATTTCTCCTTCCAGCAAATTTCTCTCTTACTGTTTTTTAAAAACTATTTCATTTATTTATTCTTAGAGAGAGGGGAAGGGAGGTTGACAAGGAGGGAGAAAAACATCAATGTGAGAGAGAAACATCGATTGGTTGTCTCTTGCGAGGGCCCAGGCATGTGCTCTGACCAGCAATCAAAATAGTGACCTTTCACTTTGCAGGACGATGCCCAGCCAGCTGAGCCACACCGATCAGTGCTATCTTTTACTATGGAAAACCCACTCAATCCCTGGCAAAGGCCCAAGCTCCCAGAGAATGTTTATGAGGCTGACTTTTTCTTGCCTCCTGTTGGTACACAGGAAGGCACCCAGCTCTTGGAGAGCAGGTGGGAGTTACCTTCAGCTCCACAGAATGGGTCCTGGGACCAGCTCTCAGCTCTACTACGTTTTCCTTCAGGATATTCTGGGGGGTCTCAAGTAAGGGAAATTCTGACCCTCTTCCCTAGGGGACATTTGACAGTGTTCTGGAGACATTTTTGGTGGTCACAAGGGGAAGGGTAATGGGGCACGTGCTACTGGCATCTAGTGGGTGGAGCCTAGGGATGCTATTAAACAGCCCGCTATGCTCAGGACTATGCTCAGGACGGAGCCGCCATGGAGAATGACCCAGCCGGCACGTCGACGGGGCTGCGGGGGAGAGACCCCGGTGGCCTGATAGCGGGCCGGCTCAACGAAGCCTTGGAGGGAGCAAGTCTGCAACGCAGCCACATTCTAGAGAGATCCACACCTCCACGAGGGAGCCAGTTCTGGGCATCCCACCCCACATGTCCACAGACTCACCAGAAACGAGCAGAGGAAGATGAAGGAAACGAAGTAAAAATAAGCAAATTCATTGCCACACTCGGGAGTCAGGATGCCGGAGTTTTTGTCACACGGTTTCCCACTGAGGCAGGAAAGCATGATGTTGTGCCACGCCTCCCCGGTGGCACTCCTGAGGACAGAGAGGGGGCGTCAGGGGCCTGGGCACCAGCCCTGGGCACCACCGCCGCCCAGGGAGGCAGCATCTGAGGTCGAGCTCTTGGGCTGTGGGCTGGAGTCCCAGGAAAGTCACCTCTTTTCTCTGGGAGCTCAGGGAGGGGACTCATTCTCGCCTGTGCACTAAAGCCCATGGGTGGGTGGAGGGGCTTCGAAAAAGCACTGATGCCGTGGCTTCACTGACACGGACTTGGATTCAGTTGGTCTGGGCGGGGCCCGAGGACACAGGTGTGCCTAAAAGACCTCCCTCCTTCCAGGGGTTCGTCATCTTTTACTACTCCCGGCGGGCGCACTGGGCTGCCCCGACTCTCCCACAGCCGGCCACGCTTCAGCCGCGAGGCCTCTGCCCTTGCCGCTCCCACCGCCTGGACTACGCTTCCCGGGGTACCCACACGGCTGCCCCCTGCGCCCATTTCTCTCAGATACCACCCCCCACCCCAGGGAGGCATGACCCACCAGTCCTCTGTTCCTTTCTTTGTTGTTGTTAGATGAGAAAAAACTTTTTATTGTGCCAAAATATACATAACATAAAACCGATTATTTAAGCCCTTTAAACTGTCATTCAATGGCAGTGCCGTGTAACCGTCACCACGACCCTCGCCCAGCACCCTTCCATCTTCCCAAACTGAAAGTTTGTCCGCATTAAATATGAACTCCCTGTTCTCCCCTCTCCAGGCCCCTACCGACCTCTGCTCCACTTTTTTCTCTCTCTGAGTTTGCCTATTTGAGGTACTTCATACAAGTACAATCATACATTGTTCTTTTGTCCCTTCATGTCCCTCTTAATCTTAAATTTTATCTCCTCGTGTCCTCTAAAATTTGATTCTGCCACAGGAATGTAAGCTTCCAGAGGGCAGAGAATGTCTCTTCTCGCACCCACAGCGGTGCCTGGCACACGGCAGGTGCCCAGTAAAGCTCCCATGAGTGAAGGAAGGAACCCTAACAGGCAACCAGGATTAGGAATCGAGCCTCGGAGTCTATCGGCCTCAGTTTCCTCATTAGTCAGGTGCCGCTGCCAAGAACCCCCACCTCACAGGATGGTCAGCAGGAGCCGATGAGAAAAGGCTGGAAAACGCCTTTCACGTGTGATCCCAGGGCCTTTGGCAACTGCCCTCCCAGGGTTCCTGGGTCCCCCAAGCCCACCCGAAGCCTCGAGGGCACAGAAGGCTGAGGACACGCCCCTCCGCCCTCCCCCACCAGAAAAGGAGGCTGAAAGCACTGCCCCCCTCTCACCGGAAGAGAAGCATAAGGGCCTGGAAGAAGGTCCGGAAGTTGTTGTGCTCAGTGATTTGGAAGTCATCCTCATCGCTGTCCTCGTCCTCCACGTCGATGCCAATGTTGCCAAACACCTGAGGGATTGGAGGGTGATGACCAGGGACAGACGTGCCCCTCGGTGGCTCAGGGGAGCCCCGCTCAGTGCCCACGGCTGCCTGTCTGAGCGGGGCTCCCGCCCCACCTCTGCCTGTGGGCGGTGCCCCCCTGGGTGGCTCGGGGAACATGGTAGGGGGCAGCACTCACTTGCATCCCGATGATGGCGTAGATGAAGAAAAGCATGGCGATCAGCAGACAGACATAGGGCAGCGCCTGGTGGGAAGGAAGTCAGACGAGAGCCCTGCAGACGACATTCTCGGCAGGCGCGGCGGGCAGGCACTGCCACCCTCCATCGGGGGTGGCGTGGGGGGTGGGCCGCTTTTCCTCTCCGCCCTGGGCAGGGCGGTGGCTCACCTTGAACGACTGCACGAAGGTCCAGAGAAGAATTCGGATGGTGTAACCCTGACGGAGGAGTTTGATGAGCCGGGCAGCTCGGAAGAGGCGGAGGAAGCTCAGGTTGATGAAGTTATTCTGGGGAAATGGAGGAAGAAGGGGTGACCATCCACCCACCCCCAGGGACTTAGAGCCATCACCACTCACAGAGGACCCTACATGAAGCCAACCAACAGGAAAAAGCAAGCCAGACCCCAAATAAGGAGGGAGAGGAGAGAAAGCACTATTAATGCAGTGGTGCAGAGGAAAAAACTTGAAAAAGGGGCGGGGTGGATGGGGTGGGGGCAGAGGGCGGGAAGGAGGAAGAGGCAACAACTCAAAAAGCGTAACCCCTCCCGGCCAGCCCCACCAGCAAAGGGGAAAAGGAAAGAAAAGGGAAGGGAAAGGAATGGGGCGGGGCCGGGCAGGGAAGAAATAACAAAAGAACAAGGAAAAGAAAATATATCCAAATCATCCAATCAGGAAAAAAATCGAGATGGTTTTTGTTTCTCCCAACAACCAAATGCACTGAGACGATAGGACACAAGCAGGTCAAGTTGCCGAATCCATCACACGTGTACGATGCACAAACACCAGGGCAGGGTGGGGGAGCCAGCGCACTCAGGCCTGGTGGACGCGTGCGGGTTCCGAGGGCATGTTACGCTCTAGGCCAGAAATGCATCTGTCGTGGGACTCACCGGGCACCCTGCCCTGCCCTGCCCTGCCGAGCGGCCCACCCGCTCCTGCCCGCCCTGACCTCACCCCACGGCCAAGAGGACTCGAGCCAATTGGAGAAGTGGAAGAGCATCTTTTCTTACCCCCTTGGCGAGCGGGCATGGGGAGGACGGGAGGGAGCTGGGGCTGTTCGGCTGCAGGGCGAGTCCTCGCTGCCCGCTGAGTCGGAGAAGATGCATTTGGGGCCCTTTCCCCCCTCTCAGGGATGGCTTCTCAGCTTCTGGGGCTGGGTGGAGTAGCACGGGACCAGGCCTGCAGGGAGCAGGAAGTACGCAGCGCCCGTGGGTGGGTGAGCTGGCCATCAGCCCAGGCCCACCGAGGGGCCGGTGCTGGGGGCGGGGAGGTGGGCCGTCCCTGCCCCCAGGACCTCCCTGGGTGGCCCCTGCCTCTGTTCAAAGACCCCTATCTAGTTACTGCCTTTACCTCCTCCCGCCCAAGCCAGAACCTGGGGCGACAGCAGGGGGTGGGGGAGGCGGGAGGCAGCCAGCCAGAGATGGTGGGGCGGGGCCTGGGCGCTATGGAGCTGGAGCCTCAGGGGGCCCTGGTGGGAGACCAGGCGCTGGAAGTCACAAATGGACCAACCCTGGCCACCTGGTCGACAAAGTCATCTTGTTGGGCCCGAGCAGTTTTTTAGTTAAAAATGGTTGCCGCTGTTTAAAATTCAGATCCTCCCCCCACCCACCAAAATCTGGCTTTGTGGAAACCCTGGACCTGGTCCTGGCAACAGTCGCTGGGGCGCAGGTGCAGCCGCCTGCCTCGAAGCGGGCCGCATGCCCTCCAACGTGCCAGAGGCCCCACGTTCTAGAGGCAGCACCTGCTTTCCCAGTTTATGGCACCTGACGGGCCCCCAGAGGCATTGTGGGTTGGCAACCCTGGTCTCAGGCAGTCACGGGAGCCTCTGCTGTTCCATCACCCAGGGGCGTGGAGAGGTGGAGAGGCCCTCACTGGACCCTGCTCTATGGGACTTGGAAGAGCTCGAGACGTGGGCATGGGGCAAGATTTAGGCTGGCCCAGCCCTCATCCCCAAAAGGCACGGGGATGACCATACAGGCTGTGCCGACAGCCACGGCACCCCTCTGGGTCGGGCAATGAATTACATGGGCACCTCCGTGGAGGCTCCTGAGGGCTGCCTGGCTACCCGATCTGCCTCTTCCTCCGCCTCTGGCCTGGGAGCCGAGGCAGTGACGGGGGCCCGAGGGATCTCTGGGGCTGGCAAAATGCCTCTGGATTTGCTGGCCAAGTCTAGGACACTGTCTGGGACATAGCAGTTGGCCCCTAGGTCTCTAGGATGGGAGAGGGGACTGAAAGGTCCTACCCTGACCCTACTGGGCCCAATTGTTGTGACACTGTCCCAAGCTCCTTGAATAAGCCCCCAAACCCAGCTGAGTAAGACAGAGTCACACTCTGTGCCCCAGTGCCCTGAATTCCAGCCTGGCCTGGCCACCCAGCGCCACCTGGGGATGGGGCTGATGGCTCAGGTGTCCCCGGCCTTCTCCCATCCGTCCCCAGAGTACAAGCCATCCCTTCCTGGGGTGGGAACATAACATGTGGACTCGGCTTGGCATGCAGAGGCAGGGGGCCCTGGAAGCAGCCTCGGGGCTCGGGCTGGAGCGGGGGGCGCCTGCCACCATGCGGGAGAAGCAAGGGGGTCTCGCAGGGAGACGCGTGCAGAGAGCATGCTGCCCTTCTTGGAACCGAGGGGGAAGGGAGACACACAGGGAGGCGGGGTGGAGATGGCAGAGGTCTGGGTGACGGGGCAGGGGGAGGCGCAGGCCTGCCCTTGACCACCCCTCCACCTCTTCCCAGGTCTGCGTCGAGTCCTTCAAGGGCTCACAGAACTTCCGGCAACTTCCCTCTTCCTAGCTTCCATCTTTCCGTCCACAGGCCACAAGGAGCAGCTGTCCTCTCCTCCGACCCTGACCTGTGCATCCAGGTTCTAGGGTGCTCGGGGCGGGGCGCAGACCCCGAAAGGCTGGCCGTGCTCAGGGGCGTGAGTGCTCAGGACAGGGGACCCACCCGGCCAGTGGCTCCAGAGCAGTCCTGCCACTTGCAGGAAATCCTGCCACCTCCAGCCCAGAGCTGGCCTCAGCTCCAGACCCCATAACCACCTGCTGACTTGACTTCTTCCAGGGTGTCCTTAGGGCACCTCAAACACTCACCCCCCGCCCCAACCTGGTCGTCCCTAACCTCTGCCTCCTGGCTCAGGCCAGACGCGAGTCCCTCCAGGTCCCTCTCTCGCCCACAGCCCACCCCCGGGCCCCGGAGAGGCCCCGGCTCGGATGGCCAGTCCTCCGCTGGCCTCCTCCACGCCCCTCGCTGAGATTCCTGTTGCCTACCTCCAGCCCAGGCCTCTGCCAAGCCGCTCGGGGCTCTGCAGCCACAGTGACCTTGTCTAATCACGTTTCTGATTGCGACTCCCCTGTTCCGAATCTTCCCAGGCTCCCACAGCAAGGCCCAGAGGCCTGCCCCCTTCTGCCCTCTTTACTTCCTCTGGGTGAGCCTTCCTCTGCTCCTTGCTCCAGCCACGTCCCCTCACTTGTAGACTCCGCCCCCTGCATGCTCTCTCCCGCCACCGGACCTTTCCATGTGCTGTCCTGGGCCTCGAAAGCCCTTTTCCCTTCTCCGTCTTGTTAACACTGCTCTCCCTTCAGCTTGCAGCAGTTACAATTTCAAGTGGGTTTGAGGAGTGATTCGAGCACATGGCTGCACGTAAGGGGAGCAGTGGTGGTGTCCGCTGCCCACCCTACCCCTCCACCCGGGGCACGGAACTGGGGCTCATTCAATGTTTGGTGAATGAATGCGTGTGTACTGCTAGCAGGCGAGGAATCCTGGTGCAATGATGCCATTGGGGGTTCTTCAGAGGGGCTCAGGGGCGGGAGGGAAGAGGCAGATGAGATTTGACAGGGTAAGAGGTGTGCAAGAGTGCAAGGAGTTGAGTAAGTGTGGAGAGATGGAGACGGTGTGTGCTGAGGCGGGGCTATGGGTGTGCAGGGTGGATGGGTGTAAGAGAGGAGGAATTGTGTGTGTGTGTGTGTGTGTGTGTGTAGCAGGAAGGGGAGGTCAGATATGGAGCCCAAAAGAGAAGACGGCATGTGCGTGCAGTGACCCTGTATGTGTGGCACACGTGCGTGTGCAGATCAGGGCTTCAGAAGAGGCCTGCGCTGGCCGGCCCGCCTGGAGGCAGCCAGGCCCAGCTTGAGCCGCGCTGAGTCTCCCTGGCCTGAGAGTCTTTGATGGCGTGCTGCCCCCCCCGCCCCAGACCCCCTCCATCTGACTTGGAGATTTGTCTCTGGTGGTCAAGCCCACAAGGCTCGAGGGCTTAGGATGGGGTGAGGGACGGGTGGAGCCTTCCTGGGGCTCAGGCTCCGTGGAGCTGAACAGGGAACAGGGGTGATGTGAGGGCAGCTGAGGGTTCCGAGTGTCAGATGGGTGTAAGCAGTGGGGCGGGAGGCCCGGCCAGCCGACGTGTCCCGGCAAACCCATCCTGCTCTCTGCAAAGGATGCAAACCAAGGCACACAGAGAACCCCAATTCAGAACCCAATGGAAACAATGAGAGAGGCGGCGGGGCAGGGGAGAAGGGAAGGGAGAGAACAGTGGGAAAGAGGAGGGAGGGGGCGGTTGGGGTTGGAGAGAGGGCGGACAGACGGGAGAGAGGGGCGTGCGTCAGGCATTCCAAGTCAGAAGGCCCAGGGCGTGACGTGCAATGCTGATGCGAGAAGGTGCGTTCGCAGTTAATGTAAGGCATTTAGACTTCAGAAAGAAGGAAGACCAACCGGATTCTAGATGCAGATGTTGAAGATGGAGGGGGAGCGGGCGGGCGGGGGCAGTTGGGGAGGCGTGTTCAGCGTTTTTTAGGTTGATTTGTAACCAGTGCCAAAAAACCAATGGGTTTCGGTTCCCCGGGCGGGGAGTGGGGGTGGTGGTGGTGGGTTGGGAGATAGTCATTGGTGTATGAACACACAGACCACGTCATGGATGAACAAATGAATTTCATAGTGCATTTTGATTGGATGAGTTTTTCAGACGGCGTTGTGCCAATATACAGTTTAAAGAGCAGGCATGAAAAGAGACAAGACAAGAAACACAGTCATTATCCATCGCACGCAGGGCAAACCCACATCACCCCGGACACTTGCGGGCAGCAGCTTGAGGCCCAGTGGGTCTCATGCTCTCTCCCCACCACCCTGGGGACGCGCCCTCCCAAGGGTCTGGTTCCTCCTGCCTCAGACCTAGTGGGCTTACCTGGGAGGCAGGAAGGGGTGACTGGGGGCTCCTGGCCTGGCAGGGCAGGCCCCCCGACTCCAGGTGGGGAGTTTATCGTCCCTAAAAGGGTCCGAACACCCGCCCTCTATCTGTCCCTCCAATGATTCTAATTCAGAGCTGGCGAGGGGCGGGCGGCGGCGGGGGGACAGGCCGGCTAACTAAAATTCCAAGTAACCCCGGTAATAATAGCCACCACTTATGAACTATTTATTTTCTGGTAGGTTCTGTGCCAAGCATTTCACACGGATGGCTCTGACTTGTTAAAAGCAGACCTTTCTCCTTAGAATGTCAGCCCTTCGGGGCAGGCAATCTTGTAAACTCTGATTGGTTCACTGCTCTGTCTCCAGCACCTATCGTAATGACTGACACAGCAGGTGCTCAACACGTGCTCACTGAATGCATGATGGATGTGAGGCTTGCAAGATCTGAAGCGGGTAGTTATGAAGACTATTCCCCTACACAGGTCAAGAAGACGTGACACCACTGCCCAAAGTCAAACAGCTCGTAGGGAGGGCGTCTGACGACTACAGGGGTCCTGCTGCCTCTGAATCGGGTCCCTTGTCCCACCCTCCTGGCCTCTCCTTCTTGCAGCCAGGACAACAGGCTGTTGGGGTCCAGCCCTATGATCTCTTACTGGCAACGGAAGGTTAGAACCAGCTTCCTCCACACGCCTCACTGGGGTGGCCAGGCCACTCCTTTCAGCCTCTTGACCCAGAGGGACATTGGGTCAAAGAGGTCTAGAGCTCCGCTGTATGGCGAGATATTCTGACCGCCCGCTGGAGCTCAGACCTCGTACAAACTTAGGACAAAGGTAAGGTCTAGGTTCTGGACCTCTGCCAGGGGACAGTGGCCAGGTGGGGGCACCCCAAAAGGGACAGACCCCAGGTGGGCATGCCCTCTCCGGAGTTAAGTGCCAGGGGTGGGATGGGGGGAAGGGGGAACTTCTGGATCCCTGGAGCTGAAGGCAAAGAGGCGTGGCCAGGGTACCATGCGGGGAAGGGTGCTGGGGGGAGAACCGGGCGCGGCCCCCGCTTCTGTGTGGCTCCCCAGCCCCACGGCCTCCCGGGATGGAGCGTGGGCCCATGGGCCCTTGCTGCCGGGGGCTCACTGGGGGACACCCAGGAAACACCAATGTGCCCTCAGGAGTCACCAGCCCTGGCTGCGAAAACCTGGGCAGGCGCCTCACTTCCCTGAGCACTGAGCCTCAGTTTCCCCATCTGTGAAATGGTACAACACCCTCTTTCCTGGGCACCACCCCACCCAGATCTATTGTTGGCTCTTTCCCGCCTACTGTGAGCATCTCCTGGATCCGGGTCCTCTGGCTCCCTGCGGGCTGGGCTTGGCCAGGAGGGGCTGGCAGGAGACAGGGCGCGATGAGAAACCGGTTGGAGTATTTCTACCCAGAGGCTCTTTCCAGCTTTGGCCTTTCCCTCTGTGTTAGTGGTTCCGTTCCTCCTTGTCCACAGCTACCACCAGACAGTCCCTCCTTGATCTAGGTCAGGTTCCCTCCCCACTTCAACATCTGGGCAGGTAACAGCTCCCCCCAGTGGCTGCATTTGGGATGTCTTCCCGCCTCCTCCATGAGTGGTCTTCACTCTCCCATTCCGTCAGTTGAACCCTCCGAGGGAGTTCTCTTATGTGCTGAGCCACTGGCCTATACCATGAACTATCCATGCAAAATGCTTGGCACAGGGCCTGGCAGACGGCAAATGCCCCGTTCCTGCCAGCATTCTCAATTCATTATTTTTATTGCTATTATTGCGGGGTGCATACCATTCCTGGCCCTTGGCTCTGATACATTCTGCCCTTTTGCTCCCTCTTCAAGAATCTCCTACCCTCCCCCCAACCTCTCGAGGGTCCCCAAGCCTGGGCTCACTGGCAAATGGCCGAGGAGGGGTTCTTGAACAGGGATGCTGGGGCCCCGAGTCTTTAAGAGGAGGCAGGATAATGTGGGACCACCCCAGGGAGGCCCAGAGACCCCCGCGTGGGAAGCCCCCGGGTCTGGGGATAGAGAAGGCTCTGGGAGCGGTGTCTCTTTGTTGGCCCAAGGACCAGGGCTCCCTCCTGCCTACGGACAGGAAATTGTTAGTTCAGGCAGGAAGCACTTGGAGCTGGTTCTATCTGGGCCCCAGCACTGTGTGGGGTTTGGTGTGGGGCTCCGCTTTGGACCCTGTAAGGGCGTCCATTCTCTCAGTGCACCCAGTTTAGTGCACACGGTTTATTCATCAGCCAACGACACAGGGCAGTTTGCGCTGCAGCGCTGGCCTCGTGGCCATGGCTTTGGGCATCCCTGTCTTCTTGAACTGCCCTCTTGAGGGGCCATCCTTGCCTCTGGGGGCCCTGCTTCTCCCTCTCTGCTCATGGCCAAGTGCTGGCAAGAGCCAGCTGTGGCTGTCGGGACCTGCTGCTTCTGGATGACCTCTTCCCCTGCCCCCCCCCGCACCCGCTCCCCTCCCAGCCAGGAGTTTCCCAGAAAGAAGCTAGTGGGAAACTTACCCCAAACTCAGTCACGAGGATGTCGGTGATGCTGCCCAGAACAGTCACAAAGTCGAAGATGTTCCAGGCATCGCGGAAATAATTCTAGAATGGGACCCACAGGACAGAGATGCCACCGGAGAGTTCCATGCCCGGCCCCCTCCGTGGCCAGCCCGGGGCACAGCTGCCGATCAGCCCAAGTGCCTGGGACAGTCTTGGTCATTTAAGTAGCAAAATGCTCCTGAGAGGCCTCCTCTGAGTCCCTTACCCAGAACTCCAAGCCTACCATTGGCCCGCCTGGCCCGAGGGGCGTGGCCTCCAGGAGCCTCTGCAGCTCTGCTGGGGAGAGGACCCTTGGAAGCAAGGATTACCGCCCATTTTACACAAGGCAGCACGCTCAGGGCGTGAAGCCTCACTCGCCTGGTAGGTGAGCAGCACGGAAATGAAGGGTGAGGATCTGACCTCAGGCTTGGACTTTGAGTCCAGAGTCTATGTTCAGGATGCTCCTGGATTGGACTGTGTTTATGGCACCCTCTCAAAGGCAGTGGCCACTGGGTTCACATCCCAGCTCTGCTACTGTCCAGCTGTGTGGCTGTGGGCTAGAGACTTAACCTCTCTGGGCCTCCACTTCCTCTGGAGAAGGGGACAGTAACAAGGGTGCAGAGGCCTCCTAGGCACATGCCAACCTGCTTGTCTTGGCTCCCTAGTGGTTAGAAAGGACCGTGTTCCTAGTTCCAGTGGGTGGGCTGTGAGCAGAGGCAATGTGAGCCGCTTCTGGGCCAGTGCGGTACTGTCAGAACCCTCTTAACCCTGGCAACCTGCAACATTCCAGGCGGGGGCTGCTCCAAGAGTCTGGGCCCCTGTGCAACTACAGACAACGAGCCTGCCTGCCCAACGTCAACAAAACCTCTGACTGAAGCGCCTGAGATGGGGGAGTTGTTTGTTACTGTAGATAACTTGATAGGTCCTGATTGATACCTCCCTGGCTGAGTGCTGGCTCAACTGGGACATACAGGTGCAGTGCACTGTTGTTAAAACACTGAAATATTCCACATGATCTGAGCCCACATGGAGCAGTACCCCTGCCTGGATCTAAGGGTCTGGCTTAGGCGGCTCTCCCCGCAAGGCTGGTTGGGACCCATGCCAACCAGAGGCCTTCCCAAGCATCCTCGCAAAGCGCAAGTCAGGTTGTTGCGAGTGCTCAGCTCCTCCCCTGAGCAGCTGACCCGGTAGCAGCCCATCTGCCTCAGAGAGAAGGGCCCAGGCTTAGGAGCTGGCTGTGCTCCTCAGGATCAAATTCTTTCAGCACTTTTGAGTTAGAGTTGGACTCTGTGTGCCTTGGTGCCCTCTTACGGAAGATAGGGGTATAACAGCAATCAGATAAAAGTCGGGGTGGGGGGAAGATTTGGTATACAGTAGGTGCTCAATAGATGGGTGTTGTTTTACAATTACCTAAACACAATTCAGATTCCACTGGCACTTGTCGTATTTTAGCAGGTGCTGCTGGGCCGCTGTTCATGTCCCCTCATATTTTGACTGTGTACCTTCGTTACTCTGCCCCGGGGCTTTCCAGGCTGCATATTTGCTGGGGGAATTAACAACTCCCCTGGGAGCAGCCGCTGACTACGGCAGATGGGCACTGGAGGATAAACACCCAGCTTCCGCCCTGGTGACTGGAATCACGCTGATGTGCTCTCTGCTGCCTCAGGCCGACAAGGGGCTGGACCCTGGGCTCCTGGGGGAACTCATTGAAAACACAGATCCGGGGGCCCCCATCTGACCACGTGGATCAGAGTCTCTGTGAGTGCGTCTGGGGCGTGATTCAATTTATAAAAACCTCCCCAAGCACTTCCAATGGTGGCAGAGCTGGGAGCCACTGCGTGGGAGGAGAAAGGAGGGGCCATGCGCTTTACTGTAACCCTTCCGAGCATTGGCCGTGCGCTCACTGCACCCAGGCTGCACCCTCGGGCCCCAGGAACACTTTATCTGTGTTTAGGGTTTGCAAGAGCTGCGCTGAGAAGAAAGGCAGAGGACGGGCCTTTCTCATGATGGAGAAGGGGGGAGGAGGTGACGCAGCCTCGATGTGATTTGAATCGAGAGCTCTCTGGTGCCAAAGCCAAAGCCCTTCACCACTTGGGGAAGCCGAGGTGAGAGCTGGGCCCCGCCCCCGAGACCAAGCTCGGACCACAGGCTGCGGGTCCTTCTCTTCAGAGAAACAGGCGAGTGGGGGTCAGGAGACAAGACAACCTGTTTCAAGTCTCAGTTCGGTCACTCCCTGGGGACCTTCTCGAGGTCACTCCAACTTACAACCTGTGACGCTCAGGGCTTCCTCCCTTTTTTTTTTTTTTTTTTTGGTGCTGTGACTTTCCTTGACCACCTGGGAAGACCTTCCGAGGGTAAGCTTTATAAGGGCATAAAATAAAATACCCAGGATTGCAAGACACCTGTTATATTGAAACACGATGATCAAAACATTTTTTAAACGGTGATCTAGTGATGAATGCACTTCTTCATTAACAGAGTAAATAAGTTCTAGCTGTAGGTTTAATGACCACCAGCATTTTGAAGCGACGATGGGTGCACACTGAATTTTGAGGTTTCTGCAACCTCTGTAATGCCCTGGGAGGATATGTGATTTCTGTCGGTGACACAGATTGTATTGTTAATACTGCAGGGGCTTGTTGTCTGCCTTCAAGATGGAAGGAAATGCTAAAGTCCAGCAAAATATAAAGACGTAACTTTTTTCACATGTACTTCCATAGGCCCTCCCCCCCCAACCCACAGAGCCCCTTGTGGGCCAGTGGGCCTCAGGTTAAGGCAGTGGCATTACTGGGAGATGAAATCAAGTGAGTGCGTTCTAAACTGCATTCAAAGAAAAGGAAATGGAAATCTGGTAGAATAGACAACTTCAGAGTTCAGGGCACACAATAAGGAAAATCAGGGCACCGATTCTGTGAAAATTTCATTTCGGCGCCTAGGTGCACGTCTGTGTGCCAGGCTCCACTGCAAAATGCATTTCTTTCTGTGGACCGCAGTTAGAACAGTTTGAATGCCATGGACTTGGCCTGTCTGGATCTCAGTTTCCTCATTTCTAAAACAGATGACTCACTGGGTCATTTTGGGCAACGACTGAGTAAATACATGCCTTGCACTTAGAAGTAGTCAACACGTGCTGGGTATCATCGGTGTTGCCTGGCAAGCGCAAAAACGTCTAAGTGGAGTCTGTGGGTGTTGGAGGGAAGCCCAAGCCACCACCGAGGTTGGGGGTCTTGGGGCTGCTGGGTAGACCACCACCCAGCACCCTGTGCCCCTCCAGGCTTCCTCCCAGCCCACAGCTCTAGCCCCAAGGCTGGACTTACCAGAATCCCAAAAGCCATGACTTTCAGCAGACATTCCAGAGAGAAGAGGGAGGTGAAGACGATGTTGAATACCCTCAGCGCATTTTCATAAGCCAGGGAGGCTCCGTAGAACTAGAGAAGGAAAGAAGGAAGGTGCTGAGCTTGGTGGGTGACAGTGTCTGGGGAGGCGGCTTTGTGGCTGTCCTGCCCCAGGCCAGACAGGACTCACACTTGGAGTCCCTGGTGACATCCCGTGGAGCCAACTCCAGGCAGGCTCTTCACGTCAACACAAAAACAAAACAAAAACACTTTTCTTGAATCCTGTCTTAGATCCTGGGACAGCCTCGCTGGACAGGGCTTGCGAGGACGTCTAAGGCTCTCTGCAGTACTTTGTTTTCCCAGATCTCTCTTTTCTTTTTAAAGATTTCATTTATTTTTAGAGAGAGGGGAAGGGAGGGAGAAAGAGAGGCAGAGAAACACTGATGTGAGAGAGAAACATCGATGGGTTGCCTCTCACATGTGCCCCACGTGGGGAGCAGGCTCGCAATCCAGGCATGTGCCCCAACTGGGAATCGAACCGGCGACCCTTTGATTTGTAGGACAACGCCCAGCCAATTGAGCCATGCTGGCCAGAGCCCAGGCCTCTCTTTTTATTCCTACCTGTACACTCCCCAGAACAAGGTTCACAACACTTCCAAAGAGTTCCCTTGCCTCCCTTCCCAGGTGATCACCCGTGCCAGAGGCAACTGCTCTTCTGACTCCTTATGAAATATTCTTGACCAAACTGGTCAGACTTGAATCTCTAACCTTTAGACCTGACTACCAGGTTACAGGAAATACGGCAGATGGAGGAAGAAGCCACAGTAACCCCCGAGGGGACCGAGGCACCCAGAGCTGGAACCGTTTTCATTTGGCTCGTCCGGTTTCCTCCAAAAGTCGAGTGCGTGTGTTAGCGGGGGGGAAGGTATAGATGGGGAGGACAGAGATTAAAAGGACAAAAACTGGAGGCCCTGTGTGGCCGTTCAGATCTTGGCTCAGAAAACAACTTGCTACAAGAGACATTTTGGAGACAATTCACTATGGATCTTAGCGAATTATCACTCATCTTGTCAAGCTTAAGAATATGTAGGAAAATGTTGTTTTTAAGACATGCAAACTGAGGAACTTAAGGGTGAAATAGTGTGGTGTTTATAATTTAAAATACTTAAAAAACATAGATGGAGTGTCCACAATAGGTAAAGCCATAGGGACAGAGAGCAGACTGGTGGCGGCCAGGGGCGGGCACGGGGGAGCAGGGAGCGGGCGGCCACGGGGACGGGCCTTCTTCTGGTGGCGAACATGTGCAGGACCCAGACAGAGGCGGCGGCGGCACAACATGGTGAAGGAACTACATGTCACGGAACTGCACGCGTTGAAGTGCTCAATTTTATGTTATGTAAATTTCACCTCAATTTTAAAAAAATAAGAAAAAAAAAGAGATGGAAGTTAACAGAGTACAGCGGTTCAGCTGGGTAAGCACAGGCGACGGGCCCTGGGTGTCCCCGAGGCCTGGGCCGCTGGCTGTGGTCCCGGGTGCGGCTGGGAATGCAGTGTCCCAGGCCCACCCCAGACCTGCTGAGCCAGCACCTGCCTTTAATAAGCTCTGCAGGTGGTCCGGCTCCCTTCTGCTTGTTTGAAACTGTTCATCATCCTAACAGTTAAAAAAAAAAAAAAAAAAAGAACTTGCTTATGGAGAAGGATTTTTGAGGGAAAACAGGCACTGCTTTGTCACTGGTTCGGACATTTGCAGCCCAGTTTATTGAGTGTTTCCGAAGCGTGGAGAGATGTGCTCATGTCTTTGCGTGCATTTTCTCATTCACTCCTCCTCTCCACGTGAGGGGAGGAAGGGGCCATGATTAATGTCACCATTTCATTGACAGGGAAATTGAGCCCTGGAGTCATGGGTCACTGTGGGAGGTTGCACCCTGAAGAGGGCGGCAAGGTCTTTACCTGTCCCTCCTTCCTCATTCCATTTGTCAAACGTTGATCAAGGGCTTCTTGTTACCTCTGAGCCAGACCCTCACTGAACCTTAGGAGTTCGGGGGTGACTAGGACTTGTCTGGCTCTTCGGAGCTCCCAGGCTGTGGGGGGAGACTGATGGGCAACCCGCACGGATAGCAGGGCACGCGAGACAGCCGCAGGGCGCTTGCAAAGACGGCCCCCTTGTGCCGTCTTGGGAAATCTAAGGGCTTCCTGTAGGAAGGGGCCGGCCAGACGGGGGCAGGGCGGTGACAGTGTAGTCTGTCCGGAAGCCTCACAGCCAACGGTTCCATTTTGCCGGCGGAGGGCAGGCGTGAGGGGCAGAGACGCGGAGGGCAGGGAATGGGGCCGGGACTCACCTTCATCATGAGCACGATGGTGTTGAGGGCGATCATGGCCATGATGGTGTACTCGAAGGGTGGGGACACCACGAACTGCCACATGCGGTACTGGAAGCTCTGCTTGTTCTGGGGCATGTGCCGGGTCAGGGGCTTGGCGCTGATGGCGAAGTCGATGCAGGCCCTCTGTGCGAGAGAGGCCAGTGGCGTGAGCGCCCGAGGAGAAGAGGTTGGACACAGAGCACCCTCCGTCTAACTCAGCTCGGCTCTCCGGCACGCCCTGCCCCCAGCGGGGATCCCTGGGCCCCCACAGGCTCCCTGCGATGGCTCTCTTTTCCCAATGGCTGTGGCTCCATGAGAAGTCACTGTCTGCTGGAAGTGGTGCTGACGTGTCCCCTATTATCTCATGGAAACCCCTTAGCAAACATGGGAAGTGGATACTGTTAACAGCCCCACTCTGCAGATGAGGACAGTAGAAGGTCAGAGAGGTTAAGGCACTTGCCTGAGGTGGCACAGCTGTCACATGGGCCAAACCCAAATCTAAACTAAAGCTTCACTTTGAAGCCTAACCATTCTTACTAAATACTTTGCTTCTTTTCCGGGAGGGAGGGAGAGAGAGGAGTCGTACTTGTGACCTCTTAGGGGTCAACACAGTAGAGGACAGATGCACTGTAGGTCCTCCACCCAGCTTGGATGATGTTAGAAAGACAAAGGACCATGTCTAATATATGCCAGTGTACTGGATTTTCATTAAAAAAATGCTCCCTGGGGGACATTATACTTTCCCACTCCACTGACATCACATGTGGATGTGTGACTCATTCAGGCTAAAGAAATGTGAGCAGAGGTGACTTGTGTCACTTCTAGTCACAAGTCTCAAGAATTGGATGATGGTTTGCTATATATACTTTCCTTTTTATCGGAAGTGTCTCAGAGGGAACCCGGGTAACAATGATCCAGAGTAGAATGGCTTGGACGTGCAAGGTAAGCAAGAGATCACTCCCTTCATGGCTATCTGGCACTGAGATCCTGGGGCTACTTGTTACTACAGCATAACCTAGTGTAAACGGACTGATACACCCATCTGTCTGATGTTACTTCTCTCTGAAAACCACAGGAAGGGCTGCCCTGCAGACTAGGTTCTGGCCGGAGGATGTTGCTGTTCCCTCCCCACACGCCCCCGGAAGTGGGTTCCTCCGTGTGTATGTACGTGAGGGGGGAAGCATGTCCATTTTTAAAGGGGGATACAACTGGAAAGTGGTACCTCATTTTTCTCCAGGCTGTATTCTTCCATCATCTTGTCCCCCTGCTCCTGGAAGGTGATGATGATCAAGGCCACAAAGATATTGACGAAGAAGAAGGGGAACACAACAAAGTAGACGACGTAGAAGATGGACATCTCCATGCGGTACCCGGGGCTGGGACCCTGGTTCTCAAAGGTGGCGTCCACGGAGTGCTTGAGAACCCTTTGAGGACCAGGGTGGGCACAGGGGCAGGCGGGGCAAGGAAACAGGAATGGAGAGAAATATTAAGAGAAAATGGACAAAAAATAATCCCTGTTTTCTGACTTCAGTTACCATGGTTACTTTTCCCACCTCCTTGGTCTGCAAGGAGTGTTAACAACGTCAGTTACTTTTACCACCATGTATCACGAGCATGTTACGTGCCAGAAAAGATGTTCAACGACTTATTTATTTTCCCAGCATCCCTCTGAGGGAGGGTCTTACTGGCTCCATTTTGCACACAAGGACACTAATGGTCAGCAATTTAAAGTGACTTGACGAAGAGATCACCCACTCAGACGTGCCTGAGTTGAGACTGGAAAGCAGGCGTGTGCTGGTTTCAAATGGGAGTGAGTAGGGGTCACGGAGGCAGGTGTGTGTGTGTTTAAGTGCAGGGGGCGGCGGCAGCTGAGCAGGTGCATTGGGGATGCGCCTGACAGTGTGTATGGGAACAGCTGCTCCATACGGTTGCAAAGGTTGTGCACTGCTCAAGGGCGCTGTGTCTGAGGGGTGCCATTCATACTACAGACATGATAGATTTGTGTATCCGTGATGACAACTTTTTGGCAGGCGGCCATAAACTGTCTTATTTGAGCAAAATCATTAAGAATATTGCAAACGATTTTCTGACAGATGGAAGTGAAGTCTGTTGGGGAAGGGGTATCTTTAAAAATTTCACCCAAAGGTGCCTTCTGGCCTAGCACTGGCCCCATGTGTGTGGGCGCTGAGGGTGTGCGTGGGAGAGGAGGGATGCGCAGGCTGGCGACTGGGCTTCGAGAAGGAGGCAGGAGAGGACGCTGAGGGACCTACCCCGCCTTCAACCCGGCATTTCCGAGATACCTAGGGCGAGAACCTGGACCAGGGCGAGGACAGTGAGGCCAGCATCCTCAATAATCAAGGTCAATAGTATTTTACTGCAATATTTTAATAAATCAAAATGAATGCTCCAAAGCCCATGATGAACAGCATATCAAAACTTTAAATAAAGACAGGGTCCGACCCTGCCCTCGCACGGTTCAGCCTCCCCCGCCTCCCCCGGGCCCGGCCCTCTCTCTGGGAGAGAGTGGTCCCAGTCAGACTCGACAACGCTCTGCCCGCAGCCCGTCTGGGAGATCTGCGTTCTCAGTACACAGCGGGTTAAGAGGATGTGACTGCCTGTGTACACGAGCCCTCCAGTAAATTAGAAACAGTGCCCCTTCTGGGGGCTGTGGGGACTGCAGCTCTCAGGGCTTGGTGAACTAAGGGCTGGATGTCTGCCCCTACAAGCCCAATCACATGTGGAGGCTGATGGTCCGGTGGCAGCCCCTCGGGCATCTAGCAGGGTCCCCGTCTTGGGCAGTCAGGAGCGACCTGCCCCCTTCCAGAGCTTTCTCAGCACTGGGCTCTCGGACCCTTTCCTCGCATGCTCCCTGGGGCCCCGAGTCCCTCTGCGGGCTCGCTGGCCAGGCCACTTACTGTGGCCAGCCTTCTCCCGTGGACACGGTGAAGAGGGTCAGCAGAGCCCACAGCACGTTGTCGTAATGGAACTCGTACTTCTTCCACTCTCGGTCCCGGGCCTTCACCTCGTTCTTCTCATAGAGCAGGTACTTCCCTCTGCCACAGAAAGTGGGGCCATTAGTGAGAAGAGGGAGGGGCTCCGGACACGTGTCTGTGGCTCCTGCAGATGCGAGGGCGAGAAGACAGGCCCGCCGGCCCACACTGCCGCTCCTCTGCCCGGGAGGCAGCGACCCCTGCTTCTCCCTGGAGGCTGTGTGTATCCGCTGGGAGACAAACCCGCGGATGCTGCCTGCAGCCTGCGGGAGAGCCCACTCAGAGTCCCGCATTCTCTTCCCACTGGAAAACTTCTAGTCTTGAGCGGGAGCCTCAGATTGGGGGACGGGATGAGAACAGGGAGAGAGACAGGCACATTCCTGGATTTATCAGGCCAAAGGGGGCGGTGGCTGCTGCTTTCAGGACAGAAACCAAAGCTGAGCTGCCAACTCCCAGCCAAATGCCTGCAATCCTCCCAGCTCCGGGAAATGGCCACTGAAGTAACAACAGGCTGAAAGTTGCCTCTTGAGCAACAATGGCAACATTTACCCAGCGCCTAGGTGAAAGGCTCAGTCAGCATCTTCCTGAGCTGAGCGCAGTTTCCCACTGGGAGGATGGCCCCAAATGAGGGGTCTTCAGGTCCACAGTCCCTTACCCACTATTCCGAAGTCCAGAAAGTTCTGAAAACCAAACACGTCTCTCCTAACTCAGAGGTGGGCAAATTATGGCACAGAGACCAAACAAGGACCAGTTTCTGTACAGCTCACAGACTAAGTATATATACTATATAAAATATAAAAATATAGTATATATTTTTAAATCTTCACCTGAGGAAATTTTTTCACTGCTTTTAGAGAGACAGGAAGGGGAAGGGGTGGGGGCAGAGAGAGAGAGAGAGAAACAGAAACACCGATGTGAGAGAGACATCGACTAGCTGCCTTCTGTACACACCAGGACTGGAGATCAAACCTGCTACCCAGATAGGTGCCCGGACTGGGAATCGAACCTGCAACCTTTCAGTGCTCGGGATAACATTATAACCAACTGAGCCACACCAGCCAAGACCTTTTTTTACATTTTTAAATGGTTGAAAACAAATCATTCATGACAAGTGAAAACTACATGAAATTCACATTTTAGTTTCCCAAATAAAAGTTTCCTCAGAACACAGCCATGCACTTTGGATTGCCAGTTGTCTCTGGCTGCTTTTGAACTGCATGGCAGCATCAAACACTCACAACAGAGACCGTAGGACCCATAGAGCTGGAAGTATTGACTCTCTGGCCCTTGACAAAGTTTGCCCATCTCTGATCTCATTTGCTTGGCAGCAAAACTTGAGGCAACTGGATGCCCAGCTCTTGATACTTATGTCTCCCATCTGGTGCAAATAGCTACGTTTCCTGGCAGGCGTACTGAGCTTGAGGGCAGGGCTGCTTGGGATCCAGCTGAGGGCGTTATGTCCCATGTGGGGCAGGCACTCTGCAGCCTTTCTACCATCTCAGAATATTCTGGTTTTGAAACACATCTGCCTGCAAAGGCTTCACACAAGGGAACGTGGATGCGTATTCACACCCCCCCCTCGACAAAGCTGGCGGCTGAAAAGTGAAGCAACTAGTTTATGGCTCACCCCAAACTGATGGACAGAGACTTAAATTCCAAACTGGTTTTCGCTTCCGCTCCAGATTCGAGCTGGACGCAATGGGGTCACCTCCCACGCCCCCGCTGCAGCTCCCCAATCAAGACTGGCGCCTCTGCTCCCCCACCCTGCCCGCCCCCGTGGGGACGCCTAGGGGAGGGGAGACCCACCGACAGTCTTTCTCAAACTCCTTGGACTCATCGGTGCAGTGGAAGAACTTCCCCTTGAACAGCTGCACGGCCACCACGGCAAAGATGAACATGAACAGCATGTAGACAATGAGGATGTTGAAGACGTTCTTGAGAGAATTCACCACACAGTCAAACACAGCCTGATGGGTGGGGTTGAGAGAGGGTGTGAGGGCCGGGGGCCTGCCTGGCCTCCCCCTCAGCAGCCCATGATACCGGAGTATTGTCATTATTCCCACTTTACAGACCAGGACATGAGCCAAGTTACGGCCACTCAGTTCTGAGAAGTTCTGAGAAGCACGAGCTGGGGCTGGGCCCAATTCTGAGAGTCTCTGTACCTAAAACGCCCAGTTTTGGCCCCTGGGACATGGGGATGCTGCTCGGAGCCTCTCCCGGTTAAGCGCACGGCTCTTCAGGACCAGAGAAAAGGTCCTCCACGGAGAGGTGATTTCCTGTGATTTCTGTGTCCCTGCCTCTCGCCACTCCCTGTCCCCCATCACCTGGAGTTCTGTTCTCCCTTTTGTCCGCTGAGCAGCTGGGGGCGCTCTGGATTTGAGAGGCGACCTCTTGTACCCTAGAGGTTCTGCCCTGGGCAAGATGGAACCCTTCCATCAATTCCCAGAGAAGGCGGGGGTCCTGGTCTGGAGTGTCCCCCACCCCCTTCTGCTTATCACACCGGATGCTAACCATGAGTGGGCAAACCTGCTGGAATCACAGGCGGACTTTGCCAGCCTTGCCCAGGGGCAGAGAGTGCATAGCTCTCACGGGGCTTTCAAAGGGGGCTGTGACTCAGGAAATGGCAAAGAACCACTGAGCTGAATCCTGCTGCGATTCCACCTTCACATTGGAAAGGCAGCCATTTTTCATCTCTTTTCACATTCCTCAGCATATTAGCATTCATGTCACTACTTTCAAAATCATGAGGCGGGGCACACCCCTGGTGATACCAGACACACTTTTAGGTCCTATAGGAGTGCAACACTACGGGCCACTGAATCACGTGGTAACAGAGTTATTCCTGGTCCAATTCTCCTTCAATCCTTTTCATTGAAGGGGAAAGTCTTCCTTAGTTGCGACTATGTTAACTCCTAACATCGATGCTTTTCCTTTTAATCATGAAAGCAGCATCCACGCTGAAAGCCTTTGTCGGGCAACTGCATTTGGCCAGATTTTAATAGCATTATCTTATGTTATTTGGGACACGTATTTAATTTTACCTTCTGTTAACAGTGGGTTCTGGTTTTGCAACTTGAGAAACTGGAGATAGCATTTCCTTTTAAAATAAATCCACTTAAGTAAAAAGTAAATGAGTTAAAGAAACATGAAGAGATAACATCCTCAGGTGGAGCATAAATTGAAAAGATGTGCTCCAAAGTCTATGTTTCACTTCATTTCTTTCCTTCTTTTTTGGGACGATAAACTTTTGGGGGGAATGCTGTTTCATATTTTGGAACAGGAGATTGCAGCCTAGAACAGATAGATGAAAAGTCAAAGACTATGTACGGCTAGAAACCTAGTGTACTGCTTCCCAGATTAGGGTTATACCCTGTTTTATCCACACAGTGCCTTCATGTGAATTAGGAAAAGGTATTCCGACCTTGCAGGAGACATTTCAGCTAATGGAAAATTGCCATCATAGATAGATTTTGTTAGATCCACTTGACTGCCATCTGCTGGAAAGTTGTTGTACTACACATACCCACGTAGTCATACAATGGCCGTGATGTACTCAGCCTCCCTTTCAATGCAGCACTTAGAACCAGTGGGCAACCTGCTCAACTGTACATAGCAACCCTGCCAGGCCTCCCACATGCCCCAATCTCACCTTGAGCTTTGGCAACCGCTTGATGGTTTTAAGAGGTCGTAGCACCCGGAGGACTCGGAGAGATTTGATTGTGTTGATGTCCTTTCCTTTGCTATTGCCGCTGTGGAAGGATGTTAGGGTGGGGGAGGGGAAGAGAGGGAGCAGAGGTCAGGCTGGGCGGTGGGTGGCCCACAGTTCCACAGGACCCCACCCCTGGAGTCGGGGGTGAGCCTGGCCCAGCCCTGTCCTGGCCGGGGAAGGGTGGCCCAGCTCCCTGCTGCGTCTGGGCTCGGGAGCCAGGGAGCAGATGGCCTTCTGCGGCTCTGGGGTCGGGGCTTGTTGCGGTGCCTCCACCATCTGTCTGGGCCCGAGCAGCTGGCTGCCCCGCGTTCTCTCTTTGGAGGAGCCCTTGGCGAGCTCTCAGAAAATAAATTTTTTTTCACCCTTCCAACAGGATTCAGGAAATGGTTAAGGCAGCCCTTGAATTAACACCCCCCCGCCCCCACCCAACTCCGATATTCCCTGAGTCCACAGGAGTGGAAAGAACCCGAACATCAGGTGCCTCATTCCTCCAGGGGTTCCCTGCCCCACTTCGTCAGACGGCTGCACGGAGGTCCAGGGCCCTGGGGCGGCCGGGGCCCCTTTACCCACCAGGTCTCGGACCCCCCGGGAGGCGGGCACTGAGTATGGCCGTTGAGGCTTGTGGTGAATGGTGCACACCACCCACCCGGTCACCCAAGCCGGGAACCCAAGAGTCATGGTCAACTTCCCGTCCTCCGTCCCTGGCGGCCGCCCTCCAGAACAGCACCGTCTGTCCCTGGCCACCGCCTTAGGTTGGACCCCTGCTACCCATCTCCCAGCTTCCCCTTCACTCCCTGCCTCTCTTGCATCTTTTCTGCACTTACTGACCAAAGCCAATGACTACGTCCGTCTCCTGCTCAGAGTCCTTCTGGAGCATCTGATTGCTAGAAGTGTGGCCTTCCATGCTCTTTGAAATATAGCCCAACTTACCTTAGCCTTTGCATCCCCATCAACCTGCACACCCCAAACCCCAGCCACACGCTTTTGCCGCTGTCTGCTTTCGCGCACTATTCCTACGGCCGGAAATGCCCTCCCTGCACCTCGCCGCCACCGGGGTGCACGGCCCTCCATGCGACAGCCTCCCGACTGCCAGGTCTGAATGCTGTTTCAGACTCGTCTTTCTGTTTTTGCTTTTGGCTTTAGACAGAAAACCTCTCAAAGGCTTAAACTGTGATTTATTCTTCTATGTGTTCATTTCCCCTTTAATCTTGGTTTTTGTCCCAGCGCCCAGCAAACACCTGGTCTGCAGTTTCAGGACACATGTGAGGGGATTCGGATCAGAAATGTTGGGGGGGGGGGCGGTCCTCCTAGTAATCATCATCCTACAGTCACCTCCTGGATCAGAGACAGAGCTCTTCCAGGGACGCCCCCACGGTGTGCCTGGGTACCCAGGTGCAGAGACATAATTCTGCACTCCATTTGCTTTTTTTAGACCTCCCTCTCTTATTTTTCCAGGGAACAGAGAGGAGAACCGGACGTTAGCTATGCTCCGGGATTCAGCAGCCTGAACATGTGTTTTCTCTTTTAAACCAAAGTCGTCATTATTATCTCAAGGCTGTGCCCCCGCAGTCTGAGACACAGCTCAAGAGCGTCACTAAGATCATTTTAGACAGAACAGGGACACAGTCAAATAACTGGGTCATGCAGAGAAAGTTATTTCTTCAGCAAGCATCTTTCAGGTCTCCTGCTTTGGCCAGAGAGGAAGCTCCTGGTTTGTGCTCCAGGTCTGTAAACGCCTGCCTGGCGCACACAGACGGCATTCCGAACAAAAGAACCCAGCCTGAACGCAACAACTTGCAACGCAACTGTTTCATTCCAGTTGGATTCATGTTTGCCCTTGTGGTTCTGTCTGGGGCGGGTAACACTGGTTCTAAAGGGAGGATATAAAGTTTCTTAGCAAAACGAAAATGAAGTTTAGACTATGTGTTGGAGGAAAAAATGTCAAGCAACTGGATGTCTAGGCTGCATGTGGAACTGACTAAAATCCTGATGTGCTGAGCAGCTGACGTTTGGAAAGATGCTCCCTGGAGTACATCCACTCATCTGAAAATAACCCCATGGCCATTGTGGGGAGTCTCTCTCCGAGACACTATGCCCCCTAGAAAGGCTGAGAAACAACCCTCTTACTGAGGCACCGAGGGGAGTGTTTCTGGCAGTCTGGCTCCTGGGCATGCAGAAGGAGCTGGATCAAGGTGCTCTGACAGAAAACCACCAGATTGTGGGGCCGCTTTGCACAGAGTGTAGACACCCTCGGGGAGGGGCTCTCTCTCCTCTCAGACCCCAAGTCCAGCTGTTTGGACTGTTCACCCTTCTCCCGTCTGGGAGGGGGACACCCTCCTTCCTCTGGTAACTGCCACCCAGGTCGGCTGCCACATTGAAGTCAGACCCCGGAGCAGTGCCCCCATTGCCTTTCTGTTCTTCACCAAGAACGGGGCTAACGGTGGGGGGCAGTGGCCAAGACCCCTCAGGGCGCCTCCTCCTTGGGGAGCAGGCTGAGGGGGGCTCTGGTCACTGCGAGCGACAGGACAGCAGCAAGGACGCAAGGCCATGGAAACAGGCCCAGAACCAACACGGCTGCACCAGGGCATGGAGAGCGAGAGACAGACGAGAGAGAGAGAGAGAGAGAGAGAGAGAGAGAGAGAGAGAGAGAGAGAGAGACTGAGAGACTTTACCGTGTGCTGCTCCTGGTGAGGTGGCGTCGGAAGGAGAGACAGATCGTAAGCGGCCTCAGAAGAAAGAACACAGAACACACACATACACACACACACCCCTGAGTGCCCCCTGCCCTGCCTGTGCGCCAGGAGGGGCAGGCTCAGGCTCGCGGCTCCAGCTGATGTCCATCCTTCCATCTGGAAGCCCCCCGCTCAGTCCCCTGCCCTTGGCAGGCCCCTGGCATTGCCCAAGAACACCAAGAAAGCCAAATTTCCAAGTAGCAGGACAGCCGGAAGGTCATCAGTTACCACTGAGGGTCACTGCCAAGAGGTGGAGAAGGAACTTTTCTCCAGAGGTTCTGGTGCTGGGAGGTCTTAGAGCGCCTTGGAGGTTACACGCTTTGGGAATGGGTGTCCTGGGTTTAAATCCCGGTTCTGCTCCTAATTATCACCCTCATCTGCAAAGCAGACGTTTGGGACCCTGATGGTCAATGAACAGTAGCTGTGGTCTTGGCTTTATCCCTTAAGTTATGAAGAAAGGGTCAGTGAAGAATTCCAACCTGGGAGAAAATGTAGGGCAACTCTCAAGGGCCCTCTGAGAAAGTGCGGGCCCAGGAAAGTCCTCGGGGCCAGGCACTGGCCTGCGCCCAGCTCACCAGGCTTGGCCTTGTGGGAGCCTCCGACCCTGAGCCGAGGTCAGGGGGAGACAAACCTGGCCACTGGCCAAACTGAAGGCCCACTGCCAAGCAGACCCTCTGCGGGATTTCCCACCCATTGCCCCTTTTGAAGTGAGCGCTATCTTCAAAGACACAGAATGGTGTAAATGCCTACAAATGCTCCCACGGGGTTCCCCCCTCCCCTTCTGTGAGCTCAGTGGTTCTCAAAGTTCAAAGTATCTAGGAATTACTGCATATGCAGAATTGCATAGATTCTCCTTTGTAGACGATTAAGGGAATCGTTCAATGACAGTGATTTTTACTTAACACACTGACTTTAAGAGTTAACTCTTCTAAATGTCTCTGTGTCTGCCTCCGGGAAGATGACACCATAGTGCCCGCATCCCTGATAAGGAAGCTGAGGCCCAAGGAGGGAGGGTGACTTGCCCCAGGCCACCTCGGCAGGAAGCAGCAGACTGAGATTTAAACCCAGGTGTGTATGTCTTGCGCTCTAGTCTCTCCATTTCACCGCACACAAGAAAAATAATGCCTTCAAGGGGCGGGGGCAGGTTTTGAAAATAGGGATAAAAAAAGTGGCAGCCTGAGGGCTCCTTCCTTGGCTCCTGGCAGTTCAGCTCCTGAGCCTGCAGGAGCGGCTTGATCAAGGAGCCGCACCAGCTGTGCCGGGAAGCCTTGCCGGAGGAGCGGCAGCGGCGGCACCAGATGGACTCTTGGCAGTGAGGGCAGGATTGTGGTGCGCCAGCTGCTGAGAAATGTCAGTTGGCCACCCTGATGCATGGGCACAGAGCGTGATATTATGTGTGATGGCTCATGAGGTGGTACATTAACTACGGTCACATGGACATGGAACATGGTCAGTGGGTGGAGCGGGACACACACACACAGATATTCGGGCGAGGTGCAGGAGAGGTGGAAACTGTCAGGCGAGCTTCAACACATCCCTTGGAGGACCACAGGGATCGTTTCTCGTGTTCGAGACGGGGCCACGGTCACAGCACGGAGCAGAATCCTTGCCTCCACCCCAAAGGCCAGAACAGCAAGATTCCTTTCAACGAGGAAGGGAACAGCCTCATGCCTTCTTCCCCTGGATTTCTGGGGCTTGCTGGGCCCTCCAGGAACCCGGGCTGCTGGGCTACCACGTCTGATTGTGTCAACTTCTGAAAGCCTTGGTGATCGGGGCTGGGAGGTGGGCACCAGCCCCGAATCTGACAGCGGAACTCGCTAGACTCATTTCCTCCTGGGCCTCAGTTTCCTCATCTAGAAAATGGGAACTTGAAGGGCTTCCCACATGCGGCTGTCATGAAGACTACATAAATGGAGACCGTATCATTATTGCCAAGTCGAGTTTCTCGATTTTATGGGGGAAACTGAGGCACAGAGTGGCTAATGGACTTGCATATCTAGAGAGAAACCAGACAGATTTGCAGGAACCTTTTTCTAGAACAATAAGGGTAACCTAACACGTGCTGGGGTTCTCAGCCTCGTGTGTGAGGAGAGGGGCACGCGGGACAGATAAAGCAAGTGAAACGACCAGACAGGGAAGCAGCAAAGGACTCTGGGGCTGGGCGCTCAGGCTGAGCCCCCGCGAGCGCACTCTATGCCTGCCGGAGCGCCAGCCGGCTGACAACAAGCCAGTGAGCAAAGTCCTCGTAGGGCACGAGGCCTTCTCGGGCATAAAAGGTCAGAAACCTGCCACCAGCGGGAGGGTTCTCAAGCTCTTCTGGGATAGAAAGCAGCAGCTTGAGGGCTCCTGCTCTCGCTTTCTGGAGGTTTGCCCCCTGCCCGGGCACGCAGGAGTGGCTTGGTCAAGCTGCTCGGCCAGCTGCCCTGACCTGGAGGGGCAGCGGCCGCACCGGACGGCCTCTTGGCAGTGAGGCGGGGGCTGGGGTCTCTGGGTCTGTCCTTCCACCCCTATGCCCATCCTATGAGGGCGGTTCCATTATTGTCAGCTCTTCCAAGTCCCAGTAGGAGTCCCTGGTGCTTCTCAGGAATCCATTGGCAACATCTCGCTCCCCCTAGTTCTCGTGGTATTTACGAGCCCACTGCCGCTCACAGGACGGCCTTACATCTCTGTCCGGACCCTTTCCTTGCATAGGATTAAAAAAAAGTCTAAACAGGGATATTCAAGGTCATAAGCTGGCTGGCTTTATGCCTGGAGCGACTTCATGAAGCCAGTTTGAAAGGTTGACTCAACAATGTTGCCAAATTGCTGTAGGCTCATTTAGAATACCTTTGTATAACTTTACACAAAAAAAAGCCCCTCAAAAATTAGAGGAAAAAAATGTGCTCCCTGCAGCAGATTCTTTTGCAGCACAGAGTCATTCCGCTGATTGGTTTTGGTGGAAAACCAACTTTGTTTCTGCAGATCAGGTCTGCTTAAAGTGGGCCCTCGGTACAGGTCCAGCGGGCCCAGACACAGCTTAGCGCGAACTGTGGCCGGTCGCTCTGTGGCCGAAACGCTCCTTTCTGGGTCTTTGAAGACCTCAAACTTGTGAGGGTCACACTGAGGGAAGGAGGTGGGACAACGCAGCGCGGGCCCCTCCTCTGAGCTGACGCAGGTCACCTTCTACAGAGGTCAGGGAGGAAGAGCAAGGGCGAACCGATCGGGCATTAGTGGGCTCCGCACGATCGGCCGAGGGCAGACCCGCCACCCGGGGGATGGCTGTGAACTGATGGACATGACTGACAGGGCCGCCCTCCTCCTCCACCACGGGAACCCTGGAGCTGCCGGGCAGAGGTCATCCCGGAGGGCGGGGGGCGGGGCGGGGGCGGAGCCTGGGGCGGGTGGCTGCCGGAGCCGCCCCTGCCCGTCAGTAGACCACTCCCCAGGCACGAGGAGGAGGGGCCTGGGCCTCCTGGAGCCCGAGCGCACGGTGGGGTATCTGCCTCCTCCAGGCCGCTCTCAGGGTGGGCAGAGGGCGAGGCTCCCGTCGCCGAAGGCTATGGGCCAGGGAGAGAGGTGCGGGGAGGAGCGGGAGGAGGCGCCGGCACACACGCCGGGCGGCTGGAATGGAGGAAGGGAAACAGACGGAAAGTGAAAACAGGGAGAGAGGAATAGAGAGGGAGGAGGAGAAGGAGAAAGAAAATGAGGAAGAGGGAGGGGGAGAGAGTCAGAAAGAGAAAGCGATAGATGGAGAAAAAAGATAAATGGGAGGGATGGAGAAAAACAAAGAGAGAGAGGGGGAGGGGGAGGGGGAGGGAGGGAGGGCAACAGAGAGGAGAAGAAGGAACCAGAGAGAGAGAACAAGAGAAAAAAGGGGAAGAGAAGGAAAAAGAGAAACAGGAGCAAGGGGGGAGGGGATGTGCGGAGGGTTCGCCTCAGGCTGAGGGCACTAAAATGTCTGGCTCCTCCTCATTCGAAGTTCTCCGGGCCTGGCCAGGTGCCCACCTGGCACCGTGGGGGAGCCGCTCGAATAGCTGATGGGGGGGGAGAGGGGGGAGGGAGGAGTCTATTCCCTGCCACTCTCACGGACACTGTGTATTATCTTTTAAAGCCTTTTTTCCTCCCCAAAGAAACTGGTGCTAAATTGATGGGAAATAAGTTGTATCTGGTTTGTGTTTTACATTTCTCCAATGAGGTTGGATTTCCCCCCCCCATTTTTATTAGTTGTCATTCTGTGAAATTTCTGTTTGAATCCTTTGCTCATTTTTATCTCTCGAGGGTCAATGTTTCTTATTGGTTTGTAATTGCTTTCTCTATATTAAACCTGAATATAGAAAAAGCAATTTTACTTTGTTTATTTTTATTATTATTATTTTCACCTACAGAACATCTTAGTGATAGTGTAGCCAAACCCTGATTTTTTAAAACAATCTCTTCCGTTGCTCTAATGCTCAAATAAATAATTACTTAAAAAAGAGGCTAGGCCCTGACCAGTGTGGCTCAGTTGGTTGCAAAGGTCGCTAGTTCGACTCCCGGTCGGGGCACATGCCTGGGTTGCGGGTTCGGTCCCTGGTTGGGGGCGTGTGAGAGGCGACGGTCAGTGTTTCCCTACTTCCCTTTCTTCCTCCCTTCCCCTCTCTCTAAAAATAAATAAATAAAATGTATAAAAAAGAGGAAGGGAGAGAGGGAGAAAGGAAGGAGGAAAAAAAGGTGTGAGCACAGAAAGAGAGCAGAGGTAGAAAGATGGGGAGAAAGTAGAAGATAAAGAGGGGGCGGGGAGGTCTGGCCAGAGTCAGAAACCCAATCACCCTCCTGGCCCCCACGGTGCCTCTGCACCGGCTCAGAGGCGCCCACCGCTCTGGCCACTTCCTGCTCTGTGAACACCTGACCTCGCTGCGTTCCCAGCGAAGTGGGGAGTGGCCCACTTCAGCCCTTAAACTGGAACCGGGCCTTCGCTTTGGCCCTCGCGACAAACCAAGCCCTTATTTTTGGTCAGGGGTCCATCCAAGCGCCCCCTGCAGACCTGCTGAGAAGGGGCACAGAGGGAGCCCCTGGCTTGTCGCTCTGGGGGGTGATGTAGGTCGCAATGCCTCAGAGACTCTCTGGGAACGCGCCACCGTGATGGGGGCAGACAGGGACCCCAAGGTGATTTGTTTCCGGATTAGGCCTCTTCATCCTGACCCAATCGCCTACAGCTTGAGGAATACACGCTAAGTTTGTTGGCAGGGTCCTAAGTGCTAATGGCTGCTCAGCCCTCGGGTGCCACCTCGGAGCTGCCTGAAGCTGCATGGTCCTTATCTAGGCCACATGTTCTGGGATGACCAGGAGAAGGAAAAGACACACAAGGGAGTCACCAAGTCTACAACTATGGGGCCGTCAGGCACAGGGTGGGGGTCCGAATTCTCATGCACGTTTGTTTCCTGATTGTCTTTTTAGGGGCTCCCCAAAGAGACAGTGGTTTGGGTGGAGTTTAGAGAAGCAGAAGGAAGATGAGATGTCCTGGCAGGGCTAGTCTACGGAAAGCAGCAGAGCGAGGGGCCACGATGTGAGGAGGCAGAAGGTGGGGTGCCTCCTCCTTCTTCCTCCACGGTGGACGTCATGCAAAAGCCAGTCGAAGCTCTTCTCAGTGGCATGCGATGCCCACCCCCGCCCCGAGCCCACGCTTCCCGTCTCCCCACCGTGAGAACACGTCCCCTGACCCCTTGGGTGGCCCCCAGGCTGGGGATAAGGGGACTGAAGAGGCAAGTGGAGGCCTTGAGAAGAGACTTACGTGAAGGCAAAGGCCACCAGGGCCCCACTGACCACTATGAAGTCAAGAATATTCCAGAGGTCGCGGAAGTAGGCGCCCTGGTGCAGGACGAGCCCCAGGTCAATCATCTGCGGGGGTGGAAGAGACAGCGCTCAGGTCCCTCGGCCCCGCCCTGGGGAGCAGCCCCCGCCCCCAGCCTCTGAAGCAGAGGCAACAGGAAGGGGCGTGGGCGCCAACGGCATCACTTTACCCGCCAGGATGGGACGGAGGCCCGAGGGCCTTGGGGAGGAGTGAGAAGCCCCTCTCCATCTCCATCCCATGCAAGGTAGTTCATTAAGCCTAAACCTTGGGGTCCCTCTTAACCTCTCCTTATCTTACACCCCACTAGCAATCCTTGTTCGTTCTGCCTTCCCAATCTTTCAAAAATCTGCCCCCTTCTTGCCCCCTTATCTGCTACCACCCGGCCTGGCTCCTCCTCCTCCCAGCTCCCACCCTCCCTGCCCTTTCCCTCCGAGCCTCCTCTCCACAGGCAGCAGGGGGCGCCTGTGAGCACATGGGGGCCAGTCACGGCCCTCTGCTTCGAACCCTCTGTGGCTCCCACTCACCTGGGGTAAAAGCCAAAGTCTGCTTTGTGGCCACCAAATCTCTGCACGACCTGTCCCTGCCACCTCCCTGCTCTCACCTCCCTGCACTGGCTCCCTCCATTCCCCTTTTTCAGTCTTTCCAATCGCACTGGCTGCTTGTCAAACACACTGGACTTTTCTAAAGCCCTCCTGTGCCAGGGTGCCATTTTTGAGGGGGCAGAATCCCCTGGCACTCACCTTGATCACCATCTCAAAGGTGAAGACGCCTGTGAAAACGTAGTCAAAATATCGCAGCACCTGCAGGGGGTAAGAGCAAGGTGGCAGTGGGTCATTGGCTTGCTCCAGCAGAGCCCATGTGAACCCAGTGAGGGACCCCTGGGGTGTGCGGCCTCCAGCAGAAGTCCCCAGGGAGGAGAGTCTCCACCCAGAGGAAGCAACTCCGCTGTCCTGCACGGAGGGGCAGGGCGTGTTCTGCACAAGGGTGCCTCCCACCTTGTCTCCTAGTGTAATTTGTGTGTTGTGAAACTGTCCAGCAGATGGCAGCAAAGTCCTAACAAAATCACTGTGGGGCTGGTTTGCTTACCAAAGGAAAGAGCGTCTTTTTTATTTGCCAAGGCCAGGTGGTCTGCCTGGACGAACAATGTCCTGCAGCCTGGGTCCTGTCCAGGCCACACCATAGCACGTCTCTGGTGTGACGCTGTTGTTGCGAGGGTGTGACTGTGTAGGTGCAGTGCCTAGCAGGTGTTAAGTGCAGGTGGTGGTGGGGGGAACTCCCATCATTCTTGTTAAAGGGCCGATAATTACAGAGCACAGCCACCAGAGGGCGACTGAGCACCCCGAGTCAGGTCAGGGACCTTCTCTGCTCAGAAACCTCTGTGGCTCCCACCTCACTCCAGGTAGAAACCAAAGTTCTCCCCAAGGCCACCAAAGCCCTGCACCATCTGCCTGGTCACCCCCCTGTCCTCATCTTCTCTCACTCTCCCTCTTACTTGCTCAGGTCCTGCTACCTTGGATGTCCTCACCTCAGGGCCTTTGCATAGCCTGTTCCCTGTCTGAAGTGCTCTTCCCCGCGTGCTCCCGATTCCCTCTCTCCTTTGTGGCTTGGCCCAGTATCACTTTCTCGGTGAGGCCCTCTCTGACCACCTGTTTAAAATGCCACTTCCTGGCACTTGCCCTCTTCCTTACCTAGCCGCTCCTCCACCGCCCTCCCACTTATCATTTCCGGACAAACGCCTTGTTACAGTTATTAATAATCTCATGGTCCATCTTCCCCACCCCAATGCCAGCCCCTTGAGGGCAGGGATGTTTTTCTGTCCCTCAGGGACCGCCCGTTCCTAGTACAGGGCCAGGCACATAGTATGTGCTCAGGGAGTGGCTGCTCGATGAGTACACGAAGAGCTGGAGCTGTACTGGGCCCCGCAGGAGCCGGCCTCTGTGGCTGTGAGGTCCCAACTCACATTCCCATGATGCGTGGTGGCTGCGGGGCCAGCAGGGACCAGCGTGGCCCGGGACTAACTCTGTGGAGCGGGCAGCAGGCAGCAGGGGCGGGGAGGATCTGTGTTGGCAGAGATGGTGGAGGGAGAGCAGTTCAGGTGCGCCGTGCGGAGGGGACGGCCCGGCTGAAGGCCTGGCGCCCTGCGAGCTCTGGGAAGGCGGGGACCTCTCACACCCTGTCAATCCGTGATTTCACTCCGTGCCTGGCGCACAGTGGCTGCTCATTAAATAACCACTAAATAAAGCAATGAATGGAAGGGAGGAAAGGCGTGGAGGAAGGGCCAGCCAGGCGGACAGGTCAATCAAATTCTGGGGAGCTGAGGAAGCTGGGTAAGAAGAAACCAAGAGTCCGATAAATCAGATTCAACCATATCTCATACTTATACCCTTTTGACCTATATAAATGGCAATTTTCTGTGGCTCAATCTAATCCAGAAAGGTTCTCAGTCTCGTTTATCACAGAGGCAACGTAAACCAAAGTCCCCACGGGAGTCCGTTCCACACCCACAGCGTCGGCTGAATGAAAGAGCCGCCAGCACCAGTGTTGACAAGACTGTGGAGCAGGGGGCGCCCCACACGCTGCCGGCACCACTGCCACAGCATCGTCCAGAACACGTCTGGTCACGGGGAGAGCGTCCAACCCGGGCAGATTCTGTCCTCTAAAAACGCCACTTCTGGTTTTACACCTGGGCAGAGTCAGGCTGGGGTGCCCCAGAGACACGCCAGGGGTGGGGGCCTGGTGAAGGGTGAGGGTGGGGACGGCAGTCATCCTAAAGTGAGGCACGCCAAGGGCTCGCCAACAGGAAGGTGGCTGAACGAATCCTGCCACGTGGTGTGATACTGAACAGCAAGGGAAGCGCATGGCCGCTGCTACCCACAGCCACGCACGCTCACCTGACGGCCCGCAGTGCTGGGGGACAGGGCATTGGTGTTGACTGTTAGAAATGGGCACAAACAAAACCTAGTGTTTAAGGATGCAGGCACAGGTAGGAAAGCCAGGGAAGCTAAGATATGCTCCTTCCAGAAGTGGGGCCATGGTTTCCTCTGATGCAGGGTTTTCCAGGCTTGTTACTGTGGACCTGGCTCACTCGCTGCTGGGAGCTACCTCAGGGCACACGGGGCGATGGGCTGCGTCCCCGGCCCTCCCCGCCTGCCCCCGGTCTCGGCAATCAAACTCGGCTCCAGGCGTTGTCCCTGATTGTGGACGCCCCTCCAGAGGGAGGAAGGGGGTGATGGAGTTGGCTCCAGAGGTTGGGGCGGTTCTGTCCCACTTCCTGCCCAGTGGTGGTTATTTGGGTGTGTGCGCTTTAAAACCCTTGATGAATGGATCCCACGTGTTCTAGGCACTTTTCCGAGGCCTGCTCCAGTTTAGCTAATAGGGAAAACTCTGGGAGGGGGCCCTGAGCATCGGATGGCAGTATGGGGCCACCGTGTTCTTGACAAGGGAAGGAGGGCTTTGAGGGGAGAAGTTCCAGCTGTGAGAGGGCACAGGAACAGACGCTTTGCAAATCACCCCGCAGGGGCTGGTCAGAGCCCTGTCTGGGTTCCTAAAGCCCTGGGAGCTGCAGTGCCCCACACTCCCGTCCCCTCCCTGCAGGAGCCAGAGCTGCCTCTGGTCTCCTAGACGTGGCAGAGGCTTGGCTGAATCCTCTAGAAGGTCCCCGAGGCCCTGGGGAGCTGGGCAGACCACCGAGTGGAGCCTCAGCCCAGCCCTGGAGCTGGTTCCTTCCAGGAGCCGCGTTCTAATTACTTCCTTCCATTTGCGCCCTGCCCCGCCCCCGCCCCTGCTGTAGGGTCCCCAGGAGGCCTGCCAGTCCTGCACAGGAAGGGAAAGTGCAAGGTAAGCTGCCAGCAGGAGGCACTGATTTATGGGGCCCTCTAGCTGCGCCGGGCTCTTACCTACTCAGCGGGGGCAACAGGGCCTCACTCCCAGTGGAAAGCGTACCTGGGGCATTGGGTGGCGGAGCAGAGGGGACAGGGGCCGGGGGAGAGGGCCCCTCTGCCAGTCCGGCCTCTGCCACACCTTTGCCTGCCAGTGCCTCAGTTTCCCCTCTCAATCACTGGCACACCGTTGTTTCTGCTTGTCAGGCTTCAAGGGGGGCCGGGTGCAGAGTGGGTGCTCAGTGAGCGGAGAGGACTGAGAGACGAAGCGGGGGCTTTGGGGAGGTCAAACAGAATTCTGCTGTGTGACCCTGGACCAGTCACCTGACCTCTCTGAGTCTCAGTTTCCCCAAGTATCCAGTGCAGGTACGTGGGAGGGCTTGCATGTCCCATGCCCTGGGGTGGCGCCTGGATCACAGCAAGAGCTCAGTTAACAGGAGCTGAGTCCCTGGACCCCCCAAAGGGGGAGTTCTTTAGCTCTCCAAAAAGCTAAAAGTTTAGGCTGTGTTTCTGAGCACAAATAGTCCTTCCCTTCAAAACTCCGTGTCTGAATGGAAGAGTCCGCTTGGTGAGACCTGGCTGCCTGGGGGATGGCCCATGGCGCATGCCCTGCCGGAGCATACCCCGCATTCACACAGGGAACGCAAAACTACACGCCCCGCCAGCCTCACCGCCCCGACCAGCGACCTTCGCAACTTTCAGCCCCAGCCACTCGGCGCCGCCGCCTCCCCGCCAGGCGCACAGGGCCACGGCCCCGTTGGGAACACCCTGCTCTCCAGAGCCTCCCTGAAGAGCCGGAGCTGCCCCTCTTGACCCGTGTCCCTTCCACGCTGGCTGTGAGCTGTGGAGGCAGGAGAAAGTGGCCCGAGACAGAGGAGCTGGGCTGGGGAGGCTGGGTAGGACTCACGTTGTTCCGTGGAGCGTTGGGCTGCACGGGGTCCTCGGCCGCCAGCGCAATGCTGCTCATGGCGATCACCATGAGGATGCACATCTCAAAGTAGCGCAGGTTCAGAATGTAATGGCACAGGCGGCGAAGGCTGTCGGGAACAGATGGGAGTGTGGAGGTCCCCTCAGACCACGGGCTCGCAAGCCCTTTCCTTCTGTCACCTCCTTGTCATCTAACGCTACCTGCGAGCGCTCACTGCCAAAGTCGCACACCCTACAAACTATCAGCCTCCTACATCCGGGGGTTTCCAAGGGTCCTAACATCCCAAGAAGGCAGGGGGGCCCCAGCTAGGGAAGATATTCCCATGCCCTGTTTATAAGTTCTTATTGTTCCCAACAACCCTCTTGGAATGCCTGATTCCCAGGCTGGATTGAAGAAATACTACTTTTCCTGCTGTAGGAGATGAAGAGGTTTTTCACGCATAAAACATCCTGTGGTCCAAGAAAACTGGGAAACTCTGGGTTAGGTAAATTTATTTAAAGAGAGATGAGCTGAGCGACCTCAGGCCACTTCCTTACCCCCCTGTGCTCTCCTGAGTGACGTGGCTGTGATAACAGGGCCTAACTCACCAGACGGTGGGGAATCAAAGAGTTAAATGGCCAGGCTCCAAAAAGTTAATTACTGAAATTACAAATTGCAAGCCTTATTAGAGCCTTCAATGTGCTAACGGAATAACACTTAAGTACAATACTTTTTATGTGGAGCTCATAATAATAAATATGTTACAGGCGTGTGAACAGAGGCAGGCATGGGTGACTGAGGACGGGGGTGTTGGAGTCAGTCTGTCTGTCTCTGGGCCCCCCTCCCAATGGCTGCCATCTGACTTTGGGCAGGTGGCTTCACCTCTCTGAGCCTCAGTTTCTTCATCTGTCAAATGGGATGAAGCACAGTACCAATCCCATAGGACTATTATGAGAATTTTAAAAAAAATTTGTAAAGCACTCAGAACCATGCCAGGCACAAAGTAAAGGTCGCATAAGTATTATGTTTCTCTAGTAAAACAGGTAATGTCAATTACATAAAAAATAGAAAAGTAAATGCATGGGGTGAGTCCCCAGGAGGCAGGTTAGAGAAAGCAGTCGCCCCTATCCCCACCTGGTTATTTGACGTGATTCTTCTTTGTTGAGAAGCATTTAGAGGGACCAGAGTTTCAAGAAATACCCTTTGGAAAAATATAACCCTAAACTCATGCTGAGCCACCCTGACACACGTGACAAATTTCTCTCCTACGTAATCCATCCTCCTTGAGGATGCCCAAGACAGCGGGCCGTGGGACTCAGGGAACATCTGGTCCGAATCCAGACCCTCGTGAGCAGAGGTTGGGGGCGGGGGGGGAGGGGCCTGGCACCAGGGCGGCCGCGCTCGGTTGCTTGGTGTGCGGGCTGCGCCCAGGCCGCCCTTGCTGAGGGGCGCCTCTCACATTACAGGCAGCGCAGACTTGATGCTTAAGACAATGATTTTCTAGCTGATGGCAGGAGTGGCTCTTTGCCAACAAAATCAGTGCTCTATGACAAATTTCTATCTTAGGTGACTCAAGAAAAGGGCATCATTTAAAAATTTGCTCAACGTTCCCTTAACAGACTGAGAGGGGCCTTGGAGGTCACGCTCTCCCGGTGCCCTCTGTCTGGCTCTGCTCTCTGGCCTGGCTCCCGCCGCCCAGCTGGGGTCATACTCACGGGTTGGTGGTGGAGAGGATAAACATGGAACTGTAGGGGGGCATGGGCTTGGGGCCGTCTTCCCCGGGGTCGTCTTCCTCCTCCTTCTTCTCTTCCTCCTTTTTTGGCAGTGGGTCTGGGTTGGCGTTTTTGTTCACTGTTGGGACAAGAACCAACACAGGGCTCCCGCCACAATTTCCCACAAGCCTCTGGGCTCCTGTTCACTCCCCAGAGCAGATTTGAAGCAGGTGACACTGACCAAGTGTGTACTGCGTGCCAGGCACCGTGTTATGCTGTTTAATCCTCACATGACCCTATGAGGTTGGTACTTTATGACCCCCATCTTACAGGTGAGAAAACTGAGGCACAGAGAGGTGAAGTGACTTGTCTAAGGTCACACAGCTGGGGCGGGGCCGAGCCGGGATTTGAATGCGGGCAGCCTGGCCCCAGGGTGCCGGCTCTCAACTGTTCTACAGCTTTGAGGCCGGCGGGACCCTCACAGGATATTAACGCAGACCTGCCCCCACCTTCTGATGGTCTTTATGCCACCGTTTGGAGGCCGGCTTGGTGGGTCCCCCCGCACAGGTGGGGATGCCGGGCTCACCCACAGTCAAACCGCAGGGTTTGCGCCCCCTGACGTCCCTCTCCTGACCAGGGCGAGAAGTCGCCACCCTCCCCACACAGATTCTGCAGCGTTCCCTCACTAGGAGTCCATGGGTGGGCTGAGCCGCTCTGAGCCTCAGTGTCTCCGTCTGTGAAATGGGAACAACGACAAGACCCGCCTTGTAGGGCTGTGCCGGGCGTTTAGGGCACAAGCTCACGGAAATCTCTTGCATGGAACTGACACCAGAGGCACTGGGCTACTATTCCCATCTTAGCAGGTAACAAGCTCACGGGGCTGTCTCCAAATTCCTAGAGCTTCCCTGCACCCAATCGCAGGTGGGGGTGGAGTGAGGGGGTGAGAACTCCCTGTCCCTGCAGGGCCTGGGCCTGCGCCGTGCAACACTGCGCCGCGCAACACTGCGCCGCGGCCAGTCCCCGCGGAGATGGGCTGTGAGCGCAAAGCACACCCAGATGTCTGAGTCTGAGTGTGAGAACAGAACATCAAACAGCTCATTAGTAATTGTTAAAATATTGGTTACATGCTGAAATGGTAACATTTTGGGTTAAATTTATTACTGGTTTAGTTTTACCCATTTCTTTTAAATTTTTCATCCATTTCTTTCCTCTCTCCCTCCCTCCCTTCCCTCTCTCTCTGTCCCTTTATCCCTTCTTCCCTCTTTTCTGTCTTTGTCCTTTAATATGGCTACTAGAAACTTTCAAATCACACACTTGGCCTGTGTCGCATGTCTTGTGGACAGTGCTGGCTTAGAGAATCACCTGACTTCCCCAAATTTCCATCAGAAGAATCCACCGCTCCTCAAGTACGGTGACTTCCTGGCTTTCTCGTGGGGGTTCCGGGTGCAGGAACTACCACTGACCCTAGTGAGCGTGTGTGGGCCACTGTACGCATACGATCTCACTTAACACTCCCAGCAGCCTGTGGGGCAGCAACTACATCGATACCCATTTTCCAGAGGAAGAAACTGGGGCCAGAGAGGTGTGGTCATTGTCCAGGGTCACCCAGCTGAGCCTCCAGGGGTGGAGCCCAGGGACACTGAGGCCGCACAAGAGTGGGGGATCTCACCTTGGACTACAGTGTGGTTGAGTGGGGGTGGGCAGGCGGGGGGGATGTCCACCGTGGTGTGGTCGGGTTTCCTGGCAGTCTTAGCTGAGTTGGTCTGGGTGCTGCTGGGGTTGGTGACAATAAGGCTGTTCTCTGGGGTCTTCGGGGGGCCGGGGTTGGACGGGTTCCCCGGGTTGTTGGGCATCCGGCGACCGGCGGTGCTCTGGGGATTGGCGGCCATGGCGGGCGGGGCCGCCGTGGGGCCGGGGTTGGCGCTGTTCCCCATCTTGGCCGGGCTCTGGGGCAGGCCGGTGTGGCCGAGGCTGTCGTGGGGACTGGCCGCCTCGGCGGTGGCCAGCTTGTTGTTCTTCATGTTGTCGATGTCCTCGGCCAGCGGCGGGTCTTGGCGGCCCAGGTCCTGCTGGATCGGCCGGGTGGTCGACAGGTTGGGGCCCGACACGGGGACCCCGGAGCCCTGGGTGTCTCTGCGGAAGGCAGGCCAATGAAAAAGAACCCACGATGGAGTCAGAATAACAGGGGTATGTCTGGATCCTGCCCAAGATGCCCACATTCAAGGGTGCAGCCTGGACAGCGAGAGGCCGAGTCCCAGAGCTCCCCAGCGCCTGGCACCGAGACTCTGGGTCCCCACGTGAGTGGCGCCGCCCTCCTCCCCAGGTGTCAGCGTGCTGCTCCTGCCCCTAGAACGGCAGTTTCCTGGGGAACGAGGAGTCAGGCGAAAGACTTCCTGCCAGAGCCGCACTGCCCAGCCCAGGGCTCCCCCACCCGCCTGTGCGTCCCCATCAGCGCGCCGGCAGCACTGGATACACAGTGTTCCCAGGAGCGGCAAAAGCAGACATGGGGACACCATCTCTTTTCTTTTTTTCAAAAACAATTTTAAAAAATCCTCACTTGAGAATGTGTTCATTGATTTTAGAGAGATGGTGGGGGTGGGGGGAGAGAGAAATGGATGGGTAGAGAGACATGGATCGGTTGCCTCCTGTACATGCCCCAACCGGAGGGCGAGCCCACGGCCCTCCAGTGCACGGGGCAATGTGCCAGCCAACTGCGCCACCGGCCAGGGCAGGAAATGCCGTCTCTTCAGGAGTGGGGCTGCCTCACGGCGTTAAATGACTGTAGTATGTGTGTTCTCTCCCAGTATTCCACTCAGGAAGCCGGCAATATGTGCACGTAAACATATTGCAAAACAACAACAACAACAAAAAATAATGGCAGACATTTCAGCAACATAAACTCCCAGGAGCTTTCTAAGCACCTGACTTGCAATAATCCCTTCATCCTCAGCTCTAAGAGGGACAATCACTAGCGTTATTTTGCAGATGAGACAAATGGAAACTCAGAGAGGCTAGGTCTCTTGCCCAAGGGAACAGACCCGGTAAATGAATGAGATAATTTCTCACTTGGCTACAAATGTGGGGGGCAAAGCATTGGAGGCAGAGGGAACAGCAGGTGCAAAGGCCCTGAGGTGGCGACAAGCCAGCTGAGTTTCGGGAGGCAGGTGTAGCTGCAGGTGGAGTCAGGGGATGAGATGAGCGCTAGGCAAATGCTTGGTCACTTCCTGTCAAATGGTAAATGGACACCCCCATTTCTCAAATGAGGATACTGAGGCCTGAAAGTCCCACAGGTCCAGACCTCCCTCCGGTCTGAGCCACCTCCCACCTGCACTCTCACCCCCAGCTTGGCAAAGGCCCTCAGGAGCCGTGGCCCTGGAGAGGGTGGCTGGGGTCTGGAGCCCATCGGGTGCGCTGCTTGCCTACGTGTGGATCCAGGCGGACCTGGTTCCCAGCTACCTCCCCGAGGCTTGGCCGCTGAGTGTGATCCGCTCGCCCTCGCTGGCCCTGGCAAAGTCTGTGCCCCGGAAAAAAGGGACCTCTGGTGTTTAACCTCAGTGACTCCCCTCTCCCGAGGGCTCTGCAGTCTAAGCCTTCTTTCTCAGGCTCCTCTTAAAAGTGCCCTTGATTTTGTGACCTGTGCCCTCCACACACTTGCCCTCACCACGGCTCACGCGTATTGGACCCTTGCTGTGTGCCACGTTTTACTCCTGATCAGCTCGTTCAATTCTCAGAATAGCCATGGGAAGGGGGTGGTCCTGTTACTTGCATCTTAGATATGAGGGAGCCAAGGCCCAGACCCGGGGGGGGGGTGCCTCGTGCAATGCCACACAGCCGGCCGGTGGCAGAGTCAGCCTGGAGCCCAGACAACACGGGTCCAGCGTCCGTGCTGCTGGCTCCCACTTGACACCGCACCCTCTTACAGAGCAGGGTTTTTTAAAAAATACTCACCCGAAGATATGTTTATTGCTAGGGAGAGAGGAAACGGGGCGTGGGGAGGGCAGGGGGAGATCGATGTGAGAGGGAAACATTGATTGGTTGCTTCCCCCATGTGCCCCAGCTGAGGATCGAACCCGAATCCTTGGCATGGTTCCTGACTGGGAATAGAACCCACGAACTTTTAGTGTACAGGACGATGCTCCAACTAACTGAGCCGCCCAGCCAGGGCTTACGAAGCAGTTTGAGCCCTCCCAGGCGGCGTGGCCCATAGCCGCTGGGTATGGGGATCCTTGGCACTGACTGCAATGGCCACGAGTGTGGGCCACCCTCTGTTCTACCCCAGCTCACTAACTTCTTGAGCAATCTGTGTCAGGCTGGGATCACGACTGCGCCCATTATACAGATGAGGGAACTGAGGCCCGGAGAAGCTGTCACACTAGGAGAGGGTTTTTGCCAGGCTGTTGCCATCACATACGCTCACTCAAGAGACCAGGGCGAGCAAAAGGCGGCATCCAGGTTGCACCCTTTCACTCAGTGCCCAGTGAGATGCAGTTGCAGGAACCGAAGCCCCTGGACGGCCAGGCTGGTTCCCCAGGCCCAACCCGGAAGCCTCAACTCCCCGACACTTAAAAAAAAAAGCTGGTCTCTGCGGCGGGGCCTCCCCCGGGCTCCTCCACCGGCACCATTGTCCTCATTTTGCATTTTAACTCTTGCAAAAGGCCATGGTGGTGTTTAGTGAGAAGACAGACCAGGCATTTTATTTTCAAACTAGTCTTTCTCAGCCGCACAGGAAGACGGGCAGGTCTGGGAGGATTTCTTGCTTCTCTGGCAGGTGATTAGGTCGCAAGCTGACACCTGGTTTAGGCCTCGTCAGTGCCACCTACCAGCTATGGGGCCCTCTGTGGTTTGAATAGCCTCTCTGAGCCACAGGTCCCTCGTCTTTAAACTGGGAATAATGGGAGCAGAGCCTTCTCTGTAACTTCATGAGGAAAGTGAAGATCCTGGTGTTGATCTGCGCTACAACCACGGGTGAGTTAGCCTGTCTCCCACCCATAACGTGGGCACAGGGACTCCCCGAGTCACTGTGGGGAACGAAGGTGTGAATGAGCTGGGGGCTAGGGAGCTACTCTCAGGCCAAGACGTACAGTGGAATTTGCCCTGATGGCTTTAGACCTTGCTTGGGATCAGTGACCCTTTGTTCCTTCTAATTTCTCTCTTTTGGATCAAGAATGTCTATCCTGTGCCTGTCTCAACACATTTTGGAAGCAGAAAACTTGTTTTCTCGTTTTCAGGTTCACAGACGGAGGGGAATTTGAGACTTGTGGGGATATGGGGTTGGGGAGAATGTATGTTGCACATGCGATGGATGTGAGTTTTGGGGCAGAGTTAGAGGCTGGACAGCAGTGGGCCGGACGGTGGCCCCTCAAACCATTATGTCCACCTGGAACCTGTGGATGTGACCTTATTTGGAAAACAGGTCTTTGCAGATGTAATTAAGTTAGGATCACAAGATGAGATCGTCCTGGATGGGGGGAGGGGTGCCCTAAATCCAGTGACAAGTGTCCTTAGAAGAGAAGAGCAGAGACACACAGAGGTGGAGGCCCCGAGAAGACGGAGGCAGAGACTGGAGCGACGCGTCTCTCAGCCAAGGGAGGCCGAGCACCAAGAACCGCCAGCAGCTCTAGGAAACACACTGTGCCCGACGGCAACAGCCAGCTGTAACGCTGTGGATCGAGTGAAATAAATGTGAAACCACAAATGGGTTCCTAATTCTAACCCACTGCTGGGGCTTTTTTAGATGTTGTCCATCAGATGAGAATCTGGCTGGGAACATTCCCTCATTTATACACGTTTAAAAATAGACATCCCTATCAAAAAGCAGGCCGGGAGGTCAGCTATCCTTTCAATGAGAATCTAAACGCTGTGGCCACCCTCCAGAGGGGCTGTACTAAATAGCACAGCAGAACCGGAGCACACAGCCCCATGCGCGGGACCAGGAGCCCCTCGTTCAGGTGGAAGAAGGGCCTGCGGGCCTTCGCTTTGTCTTGTTTTTCGCTGCTTCTGTTGGCTCTGTGTGCCGCGGAGTTTTAACAAGCTCAGCTGGCAGTGGCCTAATATCAATCTCCCTGAGGTTTCATTTCTAAATGTTTCCAAGGAGAAGCTGAAAGGGGCAGAAGACTGAAGTCAGGCTCCTCCCCCATCCCTCTTGGGGATTCGCCATCCCCTGCCCTGAATAGGCAGCTGGTTGCAGAGTGCCTACCCTGCACCACAGCCCTCTGCCAGCTGATCACAGAGGCACCCCCGTGCCAAGGGCTGGACAGCCGCCCGGGGCACGCTCCTCGTCTTGCTTCCTCGCGCCCCCACTGTTCTAAGGACCTACCTGCATTTCTTATTTAATCCCTACGACAACTGCCATTGGAGATGGTATTAGGATCAGGCCCATTTTAGGGATGAGGAGACTGAGGCCCAGAGAGGCAAAGGGATTTGCCCAGTACTACGCAGCTGGTAAAGGGCTGAGCTGGACTCTAGGCCTAGAGATTTTAAGGTACAATGCCACTCAGTACAGATATCAGGGTGATAGATAATTTGGGGTGCATGGAATGGGGCTAAGGCCCACTAAGGTGCTGTATGAATTGGGGTGTTAGGGATGAAGCATCCCCCTGCTTCCCCATGCAGGATAAACTAGGGGGCTCAGGAGACCAGTATCTTGCTTCTGGCTCCTTTTGGGCAGTGGGTTGTCAGGGCGGGGAGAGCTGAGAGGTTAATTCTGGGGGCCAGGGGCACTGCAGGTCTTGGCAGAGCCCCCCACTGCCTGGCTGCTGTGGGGAGTGGTGGGCACTGCGACCCAGGTTTTTCCGGGGAGTTAGGGAAAACTGCATCCTCACTCTGGTGGCCCTGGGGTGCCACTGGCGTGGGGGAGCCGGGGCCAGTAACGATGGGTGATATGAAACAGGATGCGCTTCCACTCACTGTTCGCTGGGGTGAGCCAGTGAGCGCTTTGGGGAGGGGGCACCTGAAGGAGGGGCACCTGGAGAGGAAGTGAAGTACAAGTCGGGAGAAGCAGGGGGAACAGAAAGAAGACAATCGCATGTATTATCAACACTCTGGAGGGTGAAAAACACAGAGCGCGTCCAGGAAAAGAAAGGCCTAAGGAATGACGAGAGGAAGGACGCAGGAGGCGCGGCTCTTGGGGGGACCACCAGCTTCACTGTGACATGGAGCCCGATGTCTTCACACTGTATTATATTCTTGAATAAAGTTTTAACTCTGTCATTCTTATTTTTCTTAAAGCAAATGAATGGTTCAATCTTGGATTTTTTTTCCCCTAAAAGTGCCTGAATCCTCACGAAGTTTTATTTCCAAAGAGCATTAGAACCTTTTTATCAGCCAAATGAATAGTGCCTCTCCTGGCCAGGGTGTCTGACATGTCTATTAATAAGGGAGTGAGTGGTGCCCTTCTGGTTTAGGACGGGCGCCCAACCGGCCGAGCATTTGTGTGTGGAAGCGGGGAGGTACTTTCTTCCTCTGGAGAGGAGGTGGGCACAGGGCCAGCTGTGGGACTCAAGGAAGCTGGGTTGTCACACTTCTGCCGGGGGCTGGCTACCCTTAGGGAAGTCCCTTTTCCTCTCTGGGCCTCAGTTTTCCCATCTGTAAGAAGGCATTGGAGCAAACAATCTAAAGACTACGGATCTACAGTTGTTTTTAATGTCTGTTAGTCTTAATAATAATAACAGTAGTAGCTGTTATTATTTATTAATTTATTAATTGTTTACTACTACTATTAAAAATAATTAACATCTATTGAGTGGTTAATAATAATAATAATAATAATATTCATACTTATGATAGTTAACATTTACTGAACACTTACAAGCCAGGTGCTATTTGAGGCGTTTACATGTACTAACTCATTTGAACCTCATGCCTGCCCAAGGAGGTAGATGCCATACTTATCCCCACTGTGCAGATGAGGACACAGGGGCCCAGAGAGGGGAGGTGACATACTGCAAGTCACACAGCCAGGAAGTGAAGAGGGAGGAGAGTGACCTCCAGCCCCAGAGCCCTGGCCTTGCACCATCAGTCTGTCATTCTGTCCTTGTCCTTCTGTCTCTTTCAATAATGGGAGTAGATATAAGACCAACTAGATATAATTACTATAATAATATAGTAATATTATTAGTAGTAAAAATAATAGTCACAGCGATGCACTGGTCCTTATTATGCAGCGCTGTGCTAAATACTTTATTCCACCTAAAATCACCTCAGCGGCCTCCCACTGCCCCGAGCACCCAGGCCCTGCTGACCGACCCGCCGCTGCCCCTCCCAGCTCTTTGTCTCTCCTCACCCTCCAAACGGCAAACTGGCCTCCTCCTGGTCCTTTGCACTCGCTGTGCTCAGCACACTTTACTTCCTTCTCCAGTTAATTCTTTTTGGAAGCCTGTCACCTGCATGTTACCTGCAGTTACTTGATTGAATCCACGGCCCTGGCTTAGACTCTAGGAGGCACTTAGTACACATTGAAGAAACGAATGAATAAACGCGTAAGAGAAAACCCTAGAGCGGGAACGCCTTGGAACAGTGGTTTTCACGGGGCTGTTGTGGAGATGCATGGAGACGTAATGCTATCAAAATTGTGGAGGCGGGCGCTGCGGGCATTTCGGAATTGGGAAGCAGGTCCACTGACACCTTAGCATATGCAGGGCAGTCTCACCTGGAGAAGCCGTTCTCCTTCACGGCTTTCTCATGGCCCTCACACAGATGAAAGATCTGCTCGCAATGATCTGTGCCTTTAGTTTTAACCTATTTCTGTTTTCTGTATGAGCAGAAAGTAGTTCTGCGCGTTTTAAATATACTTTGCATTCTCTGTGAGTACAACTGTTGGATCAATTAGGGAAGACTAGACTCTATCTCATAAGGAACTTCACCGTGAGACAGCTAGTCATCACGGACCCTGGCCCGCAGGCCCCCACTGGGGAAGAGCACCTCACCGATGGCAATGCTCTTGTGTCACGTGAGTTGTCTGCCTAAGCCCAAGCCGCCTGGCACTGGCACCTGTAGCACTCCTGGGGACTTGCGCAGCTTCCTGCCTCAGAATGACATCACTCTGCGCTCTAGGGTCTCACTGTTTACAGGAGGGTCCCGGAGCAGCCCCGCCCTCACCTGGGAGCTCTCTAGAAATGCAGCCTCCCAGGTTGCACTTGAACTTACAGAGTGAGGACCTGTGTTTTAGCCTGATCCCCGGGCACTCAGGCACACACCTGATTTTGAGAAGTGCTGGCCTCTTGTGTATGTCACGTAACAGAACCACTCCAACACCACTTTAAAAAGTCAATAGGATGCCATACCGGTGACTTAAAGGACGACTAAGAGGATATTAATTAATAAAAGAACAATGTTAGTTTCAACATGTAAGTCCCTGGGCTGCTAGGTGTGGCGTCTCCATAGGACCGTCTATGGGTGTAACAAAGCGTTACTATAAAAACAAGGCTGCTGTTTCTGTCTGGGTAAAGTGCTGGCCGGAAGGTGCCTCCAAAAGCTTCACGTCCTGCTTTCCCTTCAGGGATGAGGGCCTGGAGTGGCTCTTCCAATCCCCCCAGGAATAGTGTCAGGTAAAAAGATGGTTGCTCATTAACAGCTAAAAATGGTCTCCATGGACCAAGCACGTAGGTGGCAGCTGCCTGTTCAGGCCCTTTGCATACATACATTGCCTCATTAACTCCAGCAATGACCCATTATGCCATGGGCTCCCACGACGCCATTTACAGACTGAGAGAACTATGCCCAGGGTGTGACGTCACTTGCCCAAGGCCACGCAGCCGTCTACCTCTGGGGGGTTTTGTGGAGTCTCCTTGAGACACAGGAGGGCATGATGACCTGCCTGCCCACTCTGGCATCAGATGGCCTGGCGTCAAGGCCACTTAGGAGTGTGACCTTGGGTCAGTCGCCCCACCACTCAGTTTCCCCATCTGCAAACCGGGGTGATGACAGTGGGGTCTATCTCGGGGTTGGTAGGACTGGGTTGCTCAGGAGAGTGGCAGGTATACAGCAGGTGCCACTTGGACTGTTGATACTACTACCGTTGTCCTTGCCCAGATTTGAGGTGGCCTCCACTTACTTCCTCCTCCGGTGTCTGCGCTCCTTGTCCTCCCTCCGCGTGTCCATGTCGTAGGCGGCTGGAGCGCCATGCCGGTGCCGCCGCCTCCGCTCGCCACCTTCGGGACCCTCGCCCTCGCCCTCGCCGCCCCGGGCTGGCCGGCTGCCCTCACGGTGCCGCGATCTCCGCTCGGCCTTGTCCTCCAGGGCCTCGTCGCCTGGCCTGCGGTGGGCCCGGTGCCTGCGGGGCTCCCCGTCAGCTCCGGTGCGCGGGGACCCGCTGCGGCTCTCCCGGCTGCCGCCTGGCCGGTGGGTGTGCCTCCGGTGGGGGTCCCCAGCCTTGGCCCGCTCAGCCTCACCCTCCCAGAACCCTGGTGGCTCCAGGCCACCCTCCCGGGTGTGGTGGTCTGACTCTCGACCATAAGGCCCCTCCCGGCTCAGCTCGGCCTCCTGGCTGCCCGCCCAGGGACGCCGTGCGTCCAGGCCCGTGGATCCGCTGGGGTCCCGGGCCCGGTCGTGGTAGCGCGCCTGTTTCCGGAGGAAGTCCTCGGCCCGCTGGTGGCCCAGGCGCTGGTCTACCGCAGGCTCGGCTGCCCGGCTCTTGTTGGTGTTATTGTTGCGGTTCTCTTGGGGATCGACCACCAGTGGCCGGTCCAGGTGGGTCTTCATGTCAGGCCGCAGGTGCCGGGCATAGGTGGCTTTCCAGCGCTCATCGGGGTCCAACTCGTTGTATAGGGCCTCCCGGCTGGCCAGCAGGTTCTGTTTCCGCATCTCGCTGGTCCGCTGCTCCCACACAGACTTGGCTGGCTTCTGGTTCTTCTGTTGCTCCTTCCTGTAAGGGAAGGGCGCACAGGTTAGAGCACTGCTGGGTGCTGCACCTGATGGAACACTTGGGTTTATGAAGTCTCAACCCAGGTAGGTGTCTTGTTCCACGTGGGCATCTCCACCAGGATGGGTGTCTCTGTCCAGGTGGGCGCCTCTGTTCAGATGGGCATCCTGGCCTAGGTAAGAATCTCAGCCCAAGTAGCTATCTCAACCTGTGTGGAAAATTCAACCTGGTTGGACATTTTGGTCTCAGAGGTGTCTTGACCCAGGTGGGCATGTTGGTTGATGGAGGGGGAGGTTTCAGTCCGGGTGGGTGTCCCTACTGTCCTCTGTATATTGTAGCACATGACCCTGGGAAGCAGTCTTGATGTCCAAAATATTTTAACCTCCGAGACAGCCGATCATAAAGGACGCTGGCCTGGAGCAGGCTGGGGAGGCCCCTGCGCTGCCTGCAGGACCCTTCAGTTCTGGGTCTCAGGAAGTCCAGGGTCCCAGGAGAGCCAGAGTGGGCCCTTGGGAGTCGACAGGCAGTGCCTCTTTAGCGCTGGGGCAAAGCATGCTGGGAGCGCTGGGGAGGCGGGCATCCTGCCCGGGGCAGAGATTTTTTCAGCGGCTCTGTGCGCCTTGATAGCAACCTTCCACAGGCTGCTTGAGCCTGGACCTTCTTGGGCTCCCCTTTCCCGGCCACCTCCCTCTGCTTTGGGAAGGAAAGCCCCCTCCCCGCTGTCCCACGGTGCACTGCCCCACAGTGCGCAGGATCCCCGGGGCACCCCGCTACGGCACCATTAAGAATACTGGTGTCAACAAACCTCCCTGTCAAGACACCTTCATTCTCACCACTTCAGATCCACTGGCAAATTCTGTCCACTTCATCGGTCCAGAACTCAGCTGTGTCCCTCACCTCCTTGGCCACCAGTCTGGTCCAGCCCCCACCGCCTCTTTTGCATGACCAGCACAGTCACCCCAACCTGGTTTCCTGGCTCCTGCCCCCACCCCAAGTCCGTTCCCCTGATGGCAGCTAGAGGGCACCTGTGAGCACCTGAGTCAGGTCCTGTCCCTCTGCCCAAGAACCCACTGTGGCTCCCACCTGACTCAGAGCAAAAATTTATGTCTTCTCCATGGTCCACAAGGTCCTGCATGATCTGTCCCTGTCACCTCTCTGCCCTTATTTCTTCCCACTCTCCCCCCTTGCTCACTGTACTCCAGTCACACTGGCCTCCTAAACACCCCGGGCATGTTCCTGCCCCGGAGCCTTTCTATACGCTGTCCCCACGGCCTGGGTGCTCTTCCCTCAGACCTGCTCCCCTCAGGCCTGGTCAGCTGCTCAGGGAAGCCTCTCTTGACAACTATATTTAAAAATCACAATTCTCTTCGTCCTCAGCACTCACTACACTTGTATCCTCAGCAGCTAGAACAGTGCTGGGCACACAGTTAAGTGGGTACCTGTTATCTATTTATTGTGTAAAAGTGAGTGGGAGGGCAAGGGCGCCTCTTCCTAAAGCTCAGCGCTGTCAGGGACCGCCCTGCCCCCTGACCCTTGCCTAGGCGGATGGAGAGGCTGGAGAGCCCGGGGAGCGAGCCGGAGCCAGGGGCACTTACACAGCTATGGACATGTTGGCCGCGGACAGAGGACTCACTTCTGCCACCTCCTTGGCTTTCTGGAGGGCGAGTTTCTGGTTGGCTGCTTCTTCTTCTTCTTGTTCATCCTGAAAGGCACAAAGGATCCCTGTTTACAAAACATGAACTGGGCCTTGGGGCCTCACGTCTGACCCTACTGCTAACCAGGGGCGCCTTTGGAAATATTTATAAACAGGTTTGGCCTTGGTTTTGACCAATCAGAGCTGAGGCCCTTCGGTCAGGACACTCCCTGTCAGTGACACCAGACGCCCAAGGTCGGTTCAGTATACTATCGTAGGCACAGGCTGGATCCTCAGCTCATTATTAACAACCCTACATTAGCACAGCCAGAAGGAAAAAGAAAAGAAAAAAAGATTCCCTTCCCTTTCCATAGTGGAGATTTTTCTGCACCCTGTTTCAACAAGCTGAAAATTAATGCAAAGATTTTCCTCTCATTCTACTTCCCAGGCCATTTAAACTCTCTGGACCAAGACTGGGGGGAAAAAAAGACAACCCCCAAAACACTGACTAGCCCCGATGTGCAGAAATATCTGGCATCCCGTGGCCCTTCCCATGCACTGCCAACAGCTTCCGGAAGGAAATCGGGAGAGGAACTTATATTCTCAGCCGGTTAGGTTCAGAAAGGAGGAGGATGGGGAAGATGTTTTAAAAATACATACAGAAAAAGATGTTTTGGGGCCTTAAATCCTTCTTCAGCCTTCATGTAGGGCCTCATTCGTAAAACAGAAAAGCCAACAAAGAAAAAGCAAAGAAAAAGCAACGAGAAAGAAATCGCCAGAGATGAGCCTGCCAATAAGAAAGTCGCGGGGCCCTAGGGCCCTGGTTCCCTGTGCTGGGATCACTGGGCCAAGGGGCAATCTCACCAGCTTGGAAAAGGTCAGATCAGGACACGCTCTGTCAGTGACAACGCGGCGCTGGGACCCAGCCGGACCCCTAGCTCCCGCAAACCTTCCTTCCTCCCGGTTCCACACTCAGCATTTCTCAGAGCTGGGCCCCTGGACCACCTTCCTCAGAAACACTGCAAATACAGATTCCCGGTCCCCCTACCCCCAAAGAACCTGGGCCGGGACCTAGAACCTGGATTTTCAACAAGCTCCCAGGTGAGAAGGAAACACGCTCAAGTACCAATGCATGTGGTTATGAGCACAAATTCTAGACCCACTTGGATTCATATGCCAATTCCACCATTTACTGCTGTGTGACCTTGGGCAAGTCACTTAACCTCTCTGTGCCTCACCATCCGTATCTAAGAATTCAGCTCTGACTTTCTCTACTTCACTTTTTTCCTTGGCACCTACCACCACCTGACAAATTCATTTCTTGTCTGTCTCTTCCACTGAAATATCAGCCTCATGAGGGCAGGGACTTCTGCCTATTTTGTTCATGGCTGTATCCCTAGACCAGGCCTTGCTCACAGTAGGTGCCCAATAAATGCTTTTGAATAAACGACAAGTGCTATAAAATGGGGCTTTGAGAAGGGGCTCTGGGATTTCTGTGAGGATGAAATGAGCTAAAAACTTATCAGGGGCTTGTGGGCGCCTGACACATAGTAAACGCCTAAGATATGCTCGTAGAATAAGTGAAGGAAAGAACGTGGGCCCAGGGAATGCTTATACCTCACAGGTGATGGGCTTGCCTTGCTCCCTCTGCTCCTTCCCCCCTCCCCCGCCCCCAGCGTCCCCTCTCCCCAGTGACTTGGATGAGCTCATGGCTGGATCAGGTCCCAGAGCAGCCGTGCCGGCTGGCTCCCTGGTGGCCAGGCCCGGGCCGTGTGTTTGTAGTGGTGGAGACTTCCGTTCCCCCCCACCCCACCCCCAGTCGGAGCTGGGCCTGGGAAACTCTCTCTCCCTCCTGCCAGGTTCAGCAGATGGAGTGCTGGCAACGTCTGCTCAGCCCGGTTCAGTTTCATGCACACATCCTGGACACCTCGGGCGGAGGCGCTGGGGCCAGGAGCTGCGGGAGGCCCCAGGCCTGGTCCTCCTGGGCTAGGGGGGAAGGCTCGGGACACGTCCTCCTGAGGGGATGGGGCCGCTGGGGAAAAGTTCAGGGTGGACGCTGCTGGCTCCTAACATGCCTTTGTTCCTGACTCCGCCCCCTCCTCAAATTGCAAGAAGGCACTCGGCTTCCGCTGTGCACGCAGCCTGCGAGGCCATTCCCGCGGCGCCGCTGGTGGGCTACCCCGGGGATGTGAGCTGTGTCCCCGGGGGCAGTGTTGCCTCCTCTGTGCCTATGTGAGGTGGACCCGGCTGCCCACAGGGGCACCCGGCACCAGGTTTGCCCCTGAGAATTCATCATCACCGACCGTGGGGGAAAACTGGGCTGCTTCTCACTCCCCACCCCCTAAATTCTCTTTTGACCTAATGTCCTCTGTTCTCTCTTTTCTGATCTTTGAGGGGGGTCACATGGCTGCTTTTTCAGTTCCTAGCTATGTAGCAAGGTTACTTAACCTTTCTGGGTCTCAGTTTCCCCATCTGTGAAATGGGGCAACAGTAACTCCCGGTCATGTTTCCTGGTGCCTGGCATAAAAGGACAATGGCACTTCTGGAGTTGTTACTATTTTTATCGTTACCTGCCCATCTGGGGCTTGAATGAAAGTAACAGGGTGTGTAAGTCAAGAACTTGGGTTCTGGAGCTTGCCAGGCCTGGGTTCGAGTCCCAGCCTCCTCTTTACCAGCTTCATAAAATGAGAGCTCTAGGTCCAGGGCCTGGCTCATGCCCAGTGACTAACAAAGGCTCCTTTTAGTGAGCACTGAATGCATGCCAGAAACTGTGCTGAGCACCTGCCATGCATCGTGCAATGCCATTAACAGCAGCTGCTATCATCACCCTAGCTGGGACCGGTGACTTTGTCTTCCTGAGCCTCAGTTTCCCCTTCTGCAAAAAGGTGGTAACAGCAATGTCTGGCACCCACACGAGGATCAGCATGCTTCGCTGCTAGCCATCAGTGGCGAGGTCCGCCAGCTGCCAGGCTCACAGGGACAGACATCAAGCCTCAGGACCCTGTGTGGGTTATTCTCCATCTGTCCCATCCTTTCAGGTCTAGAGTGACAGTGCCGTGAGCCTGGGGGCTGCAGTGTTCCTAGGAGGTCCCCCGAGACTGTCTGCTGTTTACCCACGGGTACTCGGTGGAGTTTGCCATCTGTTTCCTGCCACCCCGGTGCCTCACCCTCTCCCACCTCCTCTGCTGCCGAATCCACTTGACTAGGGACAGTCTGTTTGAGTGGGGAGGCAGCGCCTCCTCCCTGGCACCGTGCATCCAGGGCAAAAGCTCTGACCCTGTCCCTGTCCCCACATGCCCAGCATGGTCCTGATCTGCCACGAGCAGGTGGTCACTTTGCCAAGGAAGCATTCTCCCACCAACTGCACCTTGGTGAGCTCCTGGGCGTTGGCCAAATTATCCACCGCGATGGCCAAGAACACGTTCAGGAGGGTGTCTGCGGACGGCAGAGTCAGGGAAAGCACTGCCACGTGGTCCCTGGCATCTGGGTCTCCTGACCCCCTCCCTTGCGCTCCCACCCAGGCGTGTCCCCATGGCCCCCCAATGGAGGATACAGTTCCCGAAGAGCGTCAGCACAATGAAGTAGATGGAGAACACCATGCCGCCCTGTACGCCGCCCTGAGATTTGATGCCATCGTACATGACCTCGTTCCAGTCCTCGCCTGTCAGGATCTGAAAGGGAGAGAGAAACACACAGCCAACCCCCCCCTCAGCCACGGGCCCCTTGGAGACGCAGCTGTGGGGTCCAAACCTGGCCATCTGTGCAGTGAGGGGCTCTCAGCCCAGCTTCTAGGAAAAGGGGACCCCTGGGGGAGTCACAGGCTTTGGGAACTGTCTTCACTGATGTGACGGGGGGAACTGCTAGGGACTGAGCTGTGCCCCCTAAATTTGTATGTTGAAGATCTCAGCCTTCGTGTGATGATATCTAGAAATGGTAGGTAATTACGGTTAGATGAGGGCAGAAGGGTGGGGCCCTCACGATGGGATTAGAGCCTTTGTAAGAAGAGAAACCACACAGCTCGGGCGCTCTCGCTGCCTCTCTCGCTCTGTCTCCTGCGTGAGGACACATCGAGAAGGCCTGTCTGCTGGCCAGGAAAAGGCTCCTCACTGGGAACCATCCTGCGGCCACCTTGACCATCACTTTCCGCCTCCAGAACTGTGAGAAGGAAATGTCTGTGGTTTAAGAAACATCTGCACTGGTCCTTCTGGGCTGCTGTGCCCGTGGCAGGGCGGGTGCTGGCGACCGGAGAAGGCTTTGCCAGCAGGTGCTTATGGCAAGACTGAGGGGACACATGTCTGATGTCCACATGATCGTTAAAAAGGCCTCCTCCCTCCTCCTTCATGATATTTCCATGAGGATCGAGTCAATGTGAAAGAACTCCGGAACCACCCATCTGCCAACACAGGGTTCCTCAGCCTCGGCAATGCCGACACTGGGGGCCATCACCCTCTGGGGTGGGCATCGAGCAGCAGCCCTGGCCTCCTCCCACTAGATGCCAGTAGCACCCACCCCTGCAGTTGTGACAACCTGAAATGCTTCCAAGTGGCCTTGGGGGACAGAACCGCTCTTGGGCCAGAACCGCTGTGCAGAGGATCTGTGGGTAGCGGTGACTACTACCGAATCATGAATGGGAGGGGCCGGAACTTCACTTCATGAATGGTCCTCTTTCTAAACCCCATTTGGGGTCTCATTTATAAATTAACCCCACAGGAAAAGGGGGCAGGTCAAGTCCCATTTTCCATACACTGTCCGTCCTCTAAGGAGACAGAACACACTGGAAAGGCTCCGGAGGTCCCACCGGGCCAGTCCCAGTCCTCAGGACATGTGCCCACATGGGTGTGGAGCTGGCTTGGGGAGATCTCCCAGGGTCAACATCTTTGCTCTGGAATATGGGAATGGGGTTTCTGGAAATCTTGGAGAGGATGGGGTGGTAGCTGTGTCTTTTACTTTCTATGTTCTGATGCTCTGGCATCTGGGGCCTTGCTGACTCTGGAGGGAGTCAGGGCTAGCTAATTCCTGGAGACAGCGAACAAGTTGCCCACGCACATACTTTTCAAATACACATTAACCAATCCAGGGCCTGCACCTCAACCACTTGCTCTACAGGCTCTTACACTCAAAGCCAGCGTTCTCTGCCCGAATCACCCCAGGGCCAGGCACCAGACAGCTCAGGACAGCATCGACGCCCCTGAGCGGCTGAAATCATTCAGCCTGGCCCATCCTAAACCTGCTCCCCTGCCTCCCCACTCCTTCCTGTGGAGACCCCAGCAAGGGCGCTGCCTGCATTCCCTCTCCCTCTGCCTCCGGCCTCTGGCGCTCTCCGGCCTGCGCGGCGCAGGGCTGGGTGAAGGTCATACCTGAAACACCGTCATTATTGCTGCTGGGAAGGTGTCGAAGTTGGTAGGAGGAGTCCCTTCATCGAAATTAAACCTGCGGGGAGAACGCAGACATTTCCCATGGGCCCCGCCCTAGGCGTTGTGAGGGTGTGGCTCAGCATCTTGTTTCCAGGGCAACATCTCCAGTCTCTGTCCCCCAGAAGGACACCTGGGTGGTAGCCAGGGCCCTGCCCGTCTGGGTGAGTGCACAGGGCAGCCGGGCCACAAGAAGGGCAGTTGGCATGAAGAAGGCAGGCCTGCGTCTCTGGACGCGCTGAGTTTGGCGTGTGGGGGCTGGAGGAGCCCCTGGGCCAGACCCCGGGGGAGCAGAAGTCGGAGAAGCTGCGGAGCACTTACTGGCCGCCAAAGAGCTGCATTCCTAAAAGTGCAAAGACGACGATGAACAGGAAGAGGAGGAACAACAGGCTGATGATGGATTTCATGGAGTTGAGAAGAGAGACGACCAGGTTCCTGAGAGACGCCCAGTACCTGCCAACAGAGGCCGGGGGTGGGGGTGAGAGGTTAGGCTGGGCCAGGGTGGCAGCAGCTGAGCCTGCCCTTCCCAACATGTGGCAGGTGCCCCACTCCTGCTGGCCCCCATGCCCATCCCTGCCTCCCACCAAAGACTTACTTTGTGACTTTGAAAATACGCAATAACCTGAGGGCTCGTAACACGCTGATTCCAAAGGATGTGCCGGGTTTTATGACGGCCCAGATGACCTCAAAGATGCTCCCGATGATGACCTAAAACACAGGATCTGCTCTCAAGTCCAGAGTCCTTGCAAATGTGCCCTGGGCCTGAACCTTGCAGGAGTCCAACCCAACTCCCATCCTCAAATGCAGGCAGGGTGACAGTCTCAGACACACCTCGTTCCTTCTCTATTTTTATTTATTAACAGCTGAGGAGAGCTAAGAATTCCCGAAACAGATAATTACAAAATGAGTGCCCATGCAGCCGCCACCGATGTGAGATATAGGACATGTCAGCACCCTGAAGCCTCTAGGGACCCCTTAGACATTAGCACCATCCTGAATTTGTGTTTTACTCTTCGCCCGAGGACATGCTTATGGATTTTAGAGAGAGGCAAAGGGAGGGAGGAAGAGAGGGAGAGAAACATCGATGTGAGAAAGAAACACTGACTGGTTGTCTTTCGTGGGCACCTGGACGGAGAATGAACCCACAACCTAGGCATGTGCCCTTTACCGGAAATCAAACCCACAACCAGGCATGTGCCCTGACTGGGAAATGAACCCGTGACCTTTTGATTTGCGGGATGACGCCCAACCAACTGAGCCACAACAGGCCAGGGCACCATCCTGAATTTTGCAATAACCATTTCCTTGATTTAAAAAAAGTTGAGGTGGAATTCACATAATATAAAATTAACCTTTCCTAAAAATTGCTTTTGGAGAGAAAGAAAAAGGGATGGGGGGAGAGAGAGAGAGAGACAGAGAGAAAGATGAGGAACACTGATGTGAGAGACACATTGAATCCTCAACCTTTTGGTGGATGGGACGATGCTCCAACCAACCAAGCCACACCAGCCAGGACTAAAATTAATGATTATAAGCGTGCAATTCCTCGGCAACATTTATTTGCAATGCTGTACAATCATCACCTCTAGTTCCAGAACATTTCCATCACCCTCAAAGGAGACCCCAGCCCCTGGCAACCACTGATCTCTTTTCTGTCTCTATGGATTTGCCTGTTCCGGATATTTCATATAAATGGAATTATGCAATATGTGACCTTTTGTGTCCAGTTTCTTTTGCTTATCATGACACTTTGGAGGTCTTTGCCTTTTTAAAGTATTCAAGTGTCACTCCCAACCAATCCAGCAGAGCTTTGTCCACGGGGCCCTTGCCAGGCAGAACGGCCCACACGGTCGGGGCCGCCTTCGTCAGGGGCCGCCTCCCGTGGCGCGGTGTGGCCCACGGGAGCCGCCGAGGTGGCTTGCCTCTCACTGCTGTGGAGAATTCCCCCTGCGGCTACGACACCACTCACTTAACCATTCTCCCGCAAAGGGATATTTGGGGTCATTTGGTTTGGGACAATTACAAGCAAGGCCACACAGAACATTCTTGTCTGTGTCTCCGGAGCGTCTGTGTAAGTTTCTCTGGGGTGGATCCCCAGCAGTGGCATGGCCAGGCCACCCCCGTTCCAAAGACAGGCCACACATCTGCCCTTCCACCGGCAGTGGCAGACAGTTCTAGGGGCCTATGCCCAATGTTTGAGGCGGTCCTCTTATTCCTATTGCATGCAGCCGAGTCTCTCGCACCCAGGGTGACCCTGCTTCTCCCTTTCCGACGTCCCCAGGCATCAGCCATGCTCAGCAAGAGCAGGAGAAATGAATTCCTTAGAAACCAGGGCACTCACCGCACAGTCAAAGCAGTTGAAGGAAGAGTGGAAATAAGGCCGTGTCCCAAGCCCGTACATTTTTATAAACATTTCGGACATAAAGAGTCCTAAGAAAATGAATTCTGCATAGTCTACAAGGGAGAGGGGGGAAAACAGACAGGAGGTTAGTTTTGTCGAGGGGGGTTACAAAGTCAGGTGGCTCTAACTTTCCTGTCAATACCGACCTGTCCCTTGCCTGGATGGTCTTTGGTGGCCTTGGCCAAAGATCACGCAGGGCTTCCTTTCCACGAAAGTCCCCCCACCCCTCTGTTAATGGGGAGGAGTGGCAACTGTCCCCCACCCAGCAACCAGCCAACCCCAGGCCAATCTTAAAAGGAGACATAGTTCAGCAGGTCTTTATCTTGTAGTTGTTGCTCTGGTTCGATGAGAAGAGTTGGATGTAGGTTATCGCTAAGGACCTAGGTTTGTGTTGAGTGGCTGGTTCCTGGGAGTTTACTACACCTTAAAAACTAACGAACAAAAAATGAATGAAGTAACTGGCTAACTAACAACTAACTAACTGGCTAACTAACAAAATAACAATGGCTGGCCTACAATGCCAGTATGTCATAATCTAAGAATGATGTCCACTGTTATATGCCTGAGTTCTGAAGGAAAAATCATAGAAATAGAAACCATAACGGTGTCCTATTTGTAAGTCCCTTGTGTTAGAGATTTAGTTGCAGTATCACAGGGAACTAGTCTGAGGAGGGGCTTCTCCCAACTTGGAAAGCCTGCCTGACATCCCCTGGGACTCTTGTCTTGCTGATGCCTAAAAGCCGGGAGCAGGACAAAGCCTTTTGTTTTTGGGTGAGAAAGCACATGGTGAAAATGCCTGTGGGAGAGACAGCACATGGGTATTTTTTCACTGGCCAAGAAATGTCTAATATTAGGTCTTTTTCTGACAGCGCTTCTTAGTGGGGCAGGAAGATGAAGGTTCAGGGAGGGTGTGGGTACTCATCCAACAGATGGAAGGCAGAGGCAGCGAGTGCTTCTGGGGGAAGATAGCATGCAAAAAGGGAAGGGAGAGGACTCACCCTTCCAAGAATTTAAATTTGGGTCACAGAGCTAATTCTATTTGAAGGTCAAGGGTGTTTGTTTTATCGTTCTTTTGAGAGATGGTCCGAATTGACAAGTCCTATCCAGTCATCTTACCAAAACATTCCCTTAGTTTCCAGGACTCGAGGGAGCTCCTAATGTCCGAAGGAAAGTCTAGGGTCTCCAGCACCTCCAAGATGAAAATATCAGTATGGAAAATCTGTCTGTAACATCTGGTACATTCCAAGAACCACCAGATGCAACTCTGCGAAGACTTAAGAGTTTCCAAGATGCTTGTTCCCCAGTTACCATGGAAACATGATAGCTGGTGATGCATTAAGATTTGAGAGAATTGTCCGTGGCGTTGGTGGGTCTGGAAGGAACTTCTGAGCTATTGAATCCAATTTCCACCAAGTACAGATGAGGAGTTTGAGGCTCAGAGAAACTGCTATACTTCATTGATTCTAAGACATACATTTTTGTTCACATTCTGATATTTCTGAAATTGGGGTGCATCTTAAAATCAGCATGTCCTAGTTTATTTTATTTTTTTAAAGATTTTATTTATTTTTAGAGAGAGGAAGGGAGGGAGAGAAACATCAATGTGTGGTTGCCTCTCGCGTGCCCCCTGCAACCCAGGTATGTGCCCTAGACTGGGAATTAAACCAGCAACCCTTTGGTCCACAGGCCGGCACTCAATCCACTGAGCTACCAGCCAGGGCAGCAAGTCCCGGTTTAAAGAGCAGCATTGTTTTCTTTCTTAGTGGTGCAAAAAATAAAAGAGTGTCTTATAATCGGAGATGTCTTCTATTGATGGATATGTTAATGGCTTCTCCGAGGTCACAGGGCAAGCTAGAGGCAGCCATTGAGAACCCAGGTCATCTGGTGGCCAGGGCAGAGATCTGCCATCAGACAGCTTGGAGTCTGAGGTCAAATCTCAAACTAGCTGTGTGTCCCTGGGCAAGTTACTTAACTTCTCTGTGTCTCAGTTTTCTCAACTGGGGATAATGAAAGCACCTTTACAGACACAGCCCAGGGCAGAAAGTTCCAACCCTTTCTCCCTGAACCAGGACAGACAGAGCAAGGTGCTTACCGGGGAGAATATGGCAGATTAAAAATAGACTATCAGAGGAGGTTAAGACTAGAAGTAGAGAGTCCTCATTTGTAAGAGACTCTAGCGGGACTAGATGCAATTACTAAGGTTGGAACTAGGTCAGGGCTCTCGGAAGGAGAACTGGCCCCTGGGGGGGTGTCCTGGGAAGGTCAGCCAACGTGACTGGAAACAATGAGGGTGACAAGGAGACGGTGACTTGGACCAGGCTCCTAGGCTTCTCTAGGCTGAAGACCCGACTGTCTCCAGTGGCTGTCTGGGTCAAGTCTGAACAACGCCAGAAGGGCAGAGAATCCATAGACCTGAGTCAGAAAAGCCAGCAGATGCAGGGCAAGGGCAGCCAGCAGGGAAAATGGTTTGTGAGGTCCTCACTCAGGGCCCACAAGACAGAGCCAGGGCATCTCCTTGCCTTTCTCGCTGCCTAGCCACGAGCCTCTTATTGATTTTTCACAGCTCTTTACTTTTTAAATCCTGGTCAGAGGTCTCCCTACTTTTCACAGCTTCTGTTCAATCCCACCTGGCCATCAATTTTGATATCTCAAGCTAATTCCTGGAATCTGGGAATAGGCCCAGAAGGGCAAAGCCTTGGGGGTCCCGGTACCCACTGAGAGAGCAAGATGCTCTTACGTTTGTTGGAACGCATCTTCCAACAAAATGGATTCATCCAGGAATGAATCCCAGACACAAGAAAGTAAAATAGAGCAGGAGAGGAAAGGGGAAAGAAGCAGGAGGTTTGTTAGAAGAGGGGAGAAGCAGAGTCAGAAACGAGCAGAGAAAATCCATCCACTTTTTGTCCCTAAGACACCCCTGTCTCTCAACCACAAATTACTTATTTTAACATTTCCAGAGATGCACCTAGGAATTACATGTATATTTTTATCTCTATTTTGGCTTGCAGTCTCTACCTCTCTCTGTCCTCCCTTCCAAGACTTTCTTCACCAGCACCCCTATGTGTTTCTCTTAGAAAGGGATCACAGAAGCGTTTGGTGGCCTGAATTCCAGTTTCCAGCTCTCAGGCCCCCAAAAGTTGGAGCCTGTCATTGTGGCTGCAGCAACATCAGCACCAAACCGAGTTGGAGACATGACAAATGAAAAGGCAGATTCATCAAGGACCAAAGAAGGAACACACACTGCCAGAGAAGGGGAGCTGGAAAACAGGCGTGAGGAAGGGGCCGGAGAGCCCGCGGCGGGAGGACCAGGGGGTACTCACAGAGGAAGTCGGAGAGCCACTCGGGCTGGTTGTAGTGAACGATAGCAACACACAGCGTGTTGAGGGCTACCAGACTGAGCACAGTCCAGTAGAAGGCCTGAGTTTTGACCATGCGGCGGATGTAGAAACGCACCCTCCTCTCCTTTTTGTGAAAAAAAGTCGAGTTCTCCAGCTTGGCACTTTTAATGCTGGCTCGGGCAAAGGGAGACCCTGCCAGGGAAAGGATGGAGAGTGTCAGGGTGTTCCTGTGGAGGAAATAAACCAACGCGTGGCCCAAGTACGGGCTGTGGCCAGGGGATCCATTAGCTTCCCCAACAAGCTCTCTGGCCCAATGGAACCATAGTGACCCAAGGCCTTAGCTTTCCAGAGATGGAGCTTACGAGAAGGAGACGTCCCTGGAAATAGTGGTGTTGGAAATAACCGATGAGAACTCAGGGTGTCAGCAGGGGGCCTGATGGCTCTCGTTGCCATACCCGACCTTCTGTGTCTCCTGCTCTTGGCGACATCTGATGCCTCTGGGAGTCATGCCATGGGGCAGGATGAGGCAGAGCCTCTGCTCAGGACCCCCAGTGCAGGGGTAGAAAACAAAACTGCATGGAGCATGCCTGGAAAGCCTCCAGGAGGAGGCATGGATAGGACCCTAGTTTTCCATGGACTCTTCACTTTAGAAATGATTGCTGAGTAATGAACCAGCTGTGCTCTCTGCCTGCACAGGTTTTGGCTCTTAAGCATCTATGAAGCACCTACTGTGTTCCAGGCTCTACTCAGAATACTCTAGTTAACAGACAGAGTCTTATCATCCTGGGACAGATGCTCCAGTGGGGGAGATAGACAGCAACCATAATATAATAAAAATAGTTAATAGTGTAATGAAAGGTGCAAAGTCCTTTGGAAAAAATAAAGAGTAAAGCAGAGTAAGGGGCTTGGGAGCCCCAGGAGGGACCACAGGGAAGGCTCACTATTAATTCAAATGTTCCAAGGTTGAGGTATTGACCTAAGTCACCTTAGTATCTTAGGCTGATTAGAGAGCAAGCGCCAAGGTCCTGAGGCAGGAATGTGCCTGCCTGACGTATTTGGCAAACAGCATAAGGAGGATATTATAGCTAGAGTGGAGTGGCTGAGAAGAGAGAGGGAGGAGGTGAGGGCAGGGAGGTGACAAGGTGGTTTATGAAGGGCCCGTGTCTCAGGAAGGACTTTGGCTTTTGCTTTGAGTGAGGTGGGAGCCAGGGAGGGTTCAGAACAGGGAGGGTGCCCTGACCCAGGTGCTCACAGGCGCCCTCTGGCTGCTGTGGGAGGAACAGGCTTTAGAGGGCACGGCAGGAACTCTGAAGTCATCGAGGAGGCTATTGCACTAGTCCCGGCAAATGATGACGGGCACTGGACTCTGTCATGGCTGAGAAGAATGAAGGGCAGGCAGATTTGAGACACATCATTTAAGGTAAACTTCAGCATTTACTGATGGATTAGTGTGGGTGTAAGAGAGAGGGAGGAGCTCAGATTTTTGGCTTGAGCACTTGGAGCGGCAGAACTCCCATCCACTGAGGAGCAGGTTTGGGAGGAAGGACGGAACTCAACTTGGGTGCTGACTGTATCTTCTAAAATGCCTGAACCTTCAATTGCATTCATTTGTCTATTTATTGTTCATTCACTCTTTCATATATTCATCGGTTTGTTCATTCATTAGTGCACTCAATAGTTCATTCATTCCTTAGTTCATTCATCAGTGCACTTATTTATTCATTTGTTGGTGTGTACCTTTGCTCATTCATTCATTCATCCACCCATTTATGCATTCATCTATCTATCCATTATTCATTTATTCATCCATCTATTCACCTGTCCATCCTTCCAGCACGTTCATCAACCCGATCCCACCAGCCAGGCCTGGGGCAGAGCAAACATCTTGCAGGACGCCACCTCCTGGTAGCAAAATTCTAAACGGAGGTCGCGAGCTGGCACCCCAGGAACCACACCGGTTTACCTCCAGTTTGTAAAAGTTGAAATTATGGGTCTATATTTAAAAACTGGAAGATTTTCCATAAAAATATAGATTTTAGCTTCTTATGAAAGAAAATAACAGCTGGCTTTTATTGGGCATTTAGCAGGCACCCGGCACGGTGGGGGTTACATTTCCCACAAACCTGCTCGCTCCTCATTGCAACCACAGGAAGCAGGAACCACTGTTAACCCCATTTTACAGCCACGGGCATGGAGGCTGAGAGGGGTCTGGAGGTGGGTAAGAAGCGCTGAGACGGTTCGGAGCCCATGTTCTTGGCCATCACACTGCATTCACTCCTGGGACGTATGGCCGTGGGGAGGGGCCACGTTCCCACCTGGCAGCAGCTGGCCAGGCCCAGTGGCTGGACCCCTCCCTCGTGTCTGTCACCTGCTTGACTTCATAGGACTTGAGAACCCCCGGGGGGCTCCAAATGGCCCTTCCCAGTTAGGGTATTTCTGGTCTCTGCTGCTCCCAGAGATGGGCTCAGACCTGCAGGCACCCGTAGGGCGTGGCAAAGGGGAGCGAGATTCTTGAAGGTCTCAGGGGCAAGAACAGATGTTCCATGGGCAACGAGAGAGGGGGGTCTCACAGTGGGCCGGAGCCCCCGACCTCCACTGTTGTTGGAGCCACGTTGAAAACCTGGTTCCATCACCTACTGGTGAGTGACCTTGGGCAAGTCACCTTGCATCTTGGGACTCTAGTGTCTCCATCTGTAAATGGGGCACAACCACACTCTTCCCTCACAGGGCTGTCAAAGGAATCAGGGGTTAATACGCCTCAGTGTGTTGCTGGCACATGATGGCTATTAGGCCTAAAATCTCCTACGGACCCCCGGAGCTGAAGTCAAAACAGCCCATGTGCTAAATCACTGAGGAAGTCTTTCCTGATCACCAGGTCTCGAGACATATCCCGCCCACAACAGGCCCACCACTCATCGGTAAGGGAGAGGGAAGTGAATATTAACTGAACACCTACTATGTGCCAGGCCCCCATACTAGTTGCGTTCTGTCACGTATATTGATTGCATTTCACATTCACTTTGACCCACGCTCTATTTTTCTGTACATTCTTGTGTTTACTTTTCCTCTGTGGTCTGGAATTATAATTGCAGGCAATTTTTAGATTATAAAAATAATTTTAATAAGGTAGTATTTCCAAAATATTATCATTTCAATATGGAATCAATATAGAAATATATTAAAGAAAGACTTCACACTTTTTGTTGAGGGGGGTACTAAATTTTCCAAATCTAGTACGTTATTATGAAACTCATCTCATTCAAGTCACATTCAAGGAGTCACGAGCCAGAGGAAGCCAGTGCCAGTCTGGAAAGTTCCTTGGTGAGGACAGCAATATGCCACCATCAAGGCTTAATCTGGGGATTTTTGGCCATTTAGGTACCTTTAAAATTCTCTGTAAATTGAAATAGGTGCTGCCCAAGTTGTGGGTTGAACTGTGTCTCTCTACGAGGTGCTGAGGTCCTCCCCCCTGGTACCTGTGACTGTGACCTTATTTGGAAATAGGGTCTTTGCAGACGCCGTCAAGTTAAGATGAGGTCACACCCTATTAGAGTGGACCCTAAATCCAATGCGTAGGTCTGTATAAGAGAAGAGACACAGAGACTTGCAGGGGAAGAGCATGTGATGAAAGAGGCAGAGACTGGGATGACGCAGGGACAAGCCAAAGATCGCCAAGAACTGCTAACAACACCAGGCACTAAGAGAAAAGCAGGGGACAGATTCTCCCCAGGGCCTCCAGAGCCAGCGCAGCCCCACCAACGCCTTGACTTTGGTCTAGGCTTCTGGCCTCCAGAACTGTGGGAGAATACATTTCTGTTGGTTTAAGCCGCCCAGTTTGTGGTACTTTGTGATGGCGGCCCCAGGAAGCAAATACAGCCCCCATGGAACGTATGTCATTAAAATCTGATTTCTTTAAAGAAATAGCGTTGCGATGGAAGCTTCCAGTCATGGCTCAACTTTTCCTTTAAATGACTCAAGGTCTGTAAGTTCATCAGCTACAGATGAGGCCACTTTACGATGTGTTTATCAACTGATTTAACATTTCATTGGAATTGTTACTATTGTTTTATTTTTTACAGGAATAAATAAAGGTAAAGAGAATTCTAGAGGTCTCTTTCTGTATGGTTTCAGGACCCACTGGCTGGAATGGGGGCTCCTTCCTGTGCATTTCTGAGCTACCGGGCAAAAGAACTGGATTTTGGCATGTTTGCCAGGAGCAAACTTGGTCCCTGGAGATCAAGTTATAGCCTTGTTTTGGATCTGTTTAGAAAGCTGAAAGCCACCTGCTTTCTTAATAGGTGCCCCAGGACACCGTCACATCTTATTCAGTCTGACAGCTTTGTACTTCAATTTCTTGTTGTCCTTTATCACACGTTTACCAAATGTCAGCCTGAAATCTGGGTTCTCCAAGTAGAAAATTCTCTTATGTCAGCCACAAATTCAAGAGCAGGGTCTCCCACAGACATACCTTCTGTGACTATCCCTCATGGCTTCCTGGATCACCCCGTTATGAGTGAATCGTGTCCCACCAAGTCTCTATGTTGAAGTCCTAACCCCCAGGACCTCAGAATGTGATGTATTTGGAGAAAGTCCTTGAAAGAGGTAATTACATTAAAAGGAGGTCATTAGGTTGGGCACTAATCCAGTATGACTGGTGTTCTTTTTTTTTTTAACATTAAAAAACGGAAGAGGGAAACATTGATTTGTTGTTTCCCTTATTTATGCATTCATCGTTTGATTCTTGTACATGCCCTGGCCGGGAATTGAATGTGCAACTTGGGTGTATCTAGATGATGCTCTAACCAGCTGAGCTACCCAGCCAGCGCAGCTGGTATCCCTATAAGAAGAGAAGATTAGGACAGACAGGTGTTCACACAGAGAGAAGATGATGTGAAGACTTAGGGAGATGACGACCATTTTCAAGCCAAGGAGAGGGGCTTCAGAAGAAACCAACCCTGCCGATGCCTCGGTCTCAAACCTCCAGCCTCCAAAACTGTGAGAAAATGAGTATCTGCTGTTTAACCACCCAGTCTGTGCTATTTTATTATGGAGGCCCGAGAGAACTAATATACTCTCCCCCTTCCACGTAAAGCCCAGTCTAGAAATGCCTCCTTCCATTTGTTTTTCCGCCAAACAAATTCTTCCCTGCCTGATAGAGCCAAGAGATTCCTTATAATTAATCTCCACTGCTTTAAGTAACTTTAAACTTACCTAATTACTTTTCTGATTTCAAAAGTAACACATGCCACTCATTTGCACATTCCAGAAAAAATATCACCTAAAACATGAAAAATCCTTCCAGTCCTCCAATATGCAAATCTTTTAAGTACCTCTTCTGCTTGTGGATGAGAAAAGGGTGCTATAATAAATCTAACCGAAAGCAACCTCACAGGGCGATCTGATCATAAACTCCTCCTTGGGCAGATCAGCTCATGGAAGGTGGCCACACCCCAGGCACACAGCTTTAGTGACAGGTTTAGCTCTGCCTTAAGCAGGCCCTGTCCATTGTTTCTGTGCATCCAGGTTAACAGACCTTTGAAATGTATCTTTCTCAGACCCCTCGGAGGCAAAATCGCACTCAAAAGAGCGTACAATCTTGTTAACTATCCTGTAATCCAATTACAGTCTTGCTTTCTCTCACCTTCACGTAAACCTTCCTACTTTTCCTCCTTAATCTCAAATGCATAAGAGAAGCTGCTGCAAACTGCCACTCTTTAGAGCATTTGAGACCTTGCTTCCTGGCAATGTCATCAGTTTGGCTCAGATAAACTCATAAAAATTCTCTACAGCTTTGGACGTTCCTTACACCAGCATGCTCCTTAATACTGTCTTTCAAATGGGATCGTGCATTTTATATTAGCTGTGCAACTTGCTTTTTTCAATGAAAAATATATCAATCATCTTTCCATGCCAGTAGCAACCTCGTTCTTTTTCCTGGCTGTATAGTATTCCTCTGCATGCACTTTCTTTAACTTCCCATTTTTGGGCATGTGTGTTGTTTACGGTTTTTACTTTTTTGAACACCAGAAACCGTGCTACTAAGCAGAGGCTATACATAGATCTTTTGCACACATGAAAAAAATGCTTTGAAGTGGAAATGCTAGGTCAGAGAACAAAAACATCTAGAATCATATACTTCCAAATTATTTAAATAACGCCAAACCATACACTGCAAATTGCATTCCTGCCAATGGCATATGACAATGTTCATTCCCTCACACCCTTGCTGACACTGGGTAGTACCATTTCTCATCTTCTTTCGTATGATTGATCAAAAATAACACCTCCTTGCTAATTAAGAGCAGGTATCTGGTCTTATTCATAGAGAAGATCCTGACTTGGGTACCCCAATTTTTTTAGTGCCTGGCATTTAATAAATGTGATATGAACAAAAAGAGGTTACCTATCAAAATATAACAAAACAGATTACAAAATGGAGACACCTTAATTGGGAAAACGTAGTACAGACATGACAGATCAAACACACTGGGCACCAATGGAACGCTGCAGTCCCTGAACTTGCTGGAAGGAGAGAGACAGATGTAGCCACAAGTGGGAAGAGAATGAGTTCATCATTAAGGGAAAGAGCGTTTTGGCTAGAGATTAAAAGTGCAAATGAAAACAAGCTTTAAGGTATCATTACAAACCAACTTCACTAGGAAAGGAAAGGAAACGGGTAACATGCAATGGCTGAGGGGGGAATCCGTGAACGTATGGGTTCTTGGCAGGTTTATAAGTGGGTTCAGTGTTTTTGAAACTCAGAAGGGCTCTGTGAGTAATGAGTTGAAAAGCTGTTAATATCTTTGATCCTATAATTATCCCCAAGGAAACACGCCCAAGGGTGGGGGGAGTAATTGTACATAACTGTTCACAGCAGTGCTCCCTGTACAGGCAAACACCAGAAACAGCCCCAGCACTGTGTAAGGGAGCCACGGCGAAGCAGCTCTAGCACAGTCACCCTTACTGAGCAGGACACTCAACAGCAAGGGGATAAACCAGGGTTGAGTGAGAAAAGCGAAGTATAAAATAGTTGGGGCCAGTGGGTTAGAAAGGTGTATATATTGAACTCTCTCTTTCCTTTCCTTCTCCCCCATCCTTTCTTCCTCTCTGCTCCAGCTGCACAGTTCCCCCAGGAGCCTACACGCTTTCTTCTTTCTGAGTTGTGTGTTATCTCCCCTGCCTGGATGCTCTCCCACCACCCCGTACATCCTTGGAACTTTAAAACCTATTTAAAAAAATAAGATATTCTCCTTGAAGAGGGTCAAAAGTAATGGTCTCAGTCAAGAGGGGTTAGCCCGGCGAGGGTAAGGGACCCTCCCACTCCAGACTCTGCCCTACGTGGTAACCAGCGACAACGGTCTGAGCACAGTCTTCTACGTGCTTTTCTTTGCTTGCACTGCCACAGTGAACTCCTACCTAGTCTTCAGTTCTCAGCTTTGATGTCACCTCCTCCAAGAAGGCTTCTCTGACTACACCTACTCTCCTAAGGCGTGCCAAGCTCAGGGTATCTCCTCTGTGGTGCCATGAATGCAACAGGTTTAGTTGCTTAATTATCTATTTCTTGCACTGAATGGCAAGCTCCATGGGGGAGGGATGTGGTCTCTGTCTTGTTCACAACTGGGCACCTAACAAGAGCAGCCCTTTAATGAGTCCTAATGAATAATAATATTATCATGAATAATGAATGAATAATGTCAGACAGCATTATTGGCAGCTTATTTTTTGCCAGGCGTTGTTCTAAATGCTTACTGTGGATCATTTAGTCTGATCCTCCCAACAACGTTAGAAGACAGACACCGCTGTTATTCCATCATCCTGTCATCTGCGCAAGGCAGGCAACCTGGTGCGCGAGCCTTCAGTTCCCGCCTCGTGGGCGATCAGCGAAAAACTCACCCACAGAGGCGATATCGGCCAGCTGATCCTCAGCCTCCTCGGGGTTGAGCAGATCTGTCTTGCTCTTCTTTATGGTGGCTCTCCGCAGAGCTCCAACAATGGAAACATGGCAAGAGAAAAAGACGTGACCCTTTTTGTGATAGCAATGATATCAACCGAGTATGTCCTCAGGGCCATTCTGAGCGCTCTGCCAGGGACATTCTAGGTGTCGCTGGATGTAACCCTTCTGGCAATCCAGTTTGGTGGGAAGTAACAGTATGCCCTTTTTATAGATGTACAGGCTGGGGCTCAGGGAGGTCACATGACTTTGCTTGAGGGGTAAAGATGAGAATCGAGTCTTGTTCCGTCTAAGTCTGGGGTCTCGCGCTGCATCCCCCGTGGGAGCGCTGGGACCGGCTCTACAGCGACTCCGGTGAAGACAGCACACCTTTGACTTCAGCGCACCTGCTCGGCAGGTGGGGATGTTCGTCCGCACTCCCCCAAGAGCCCACCAGGGGTGACGAGTTGAAGCCTCCAATTCCAATAAAGTGGCCTAGACACCCCCACGGGGGTGGAGCCCCAGCTCGTACTCCTGGTTCTTTCCGTTGGAAGCTGTTCCATGGAGCCAAATTTCTCACACATGGGACAGCTGTCCTTAACTGTGAGTGGGATTCTTGGTGAAATTATTATCATTAGTTTTCTTAAATTTAGCACACACAAAGGGTGCTGACCCTGAGCTGGGCACTGTTCTAGGCATTCTGTTTGGAACAACTGATGTAACCCTTGTGAACAACCCAAGGACGTGGGTATTCTTATGGTTGTGCCCATTTTGCAGATGAGAAAAAAGGAGGCACAAAGCAGAAGCAGCGGAGCGCATGGGTAAGGCAGAAAGGGCAGGCCAGACGGCGCAAACTCCGCCAAGGCCCTGGGATCCCTCAAGGAAGCACATCGCCGCCGTTCCCCGTATCTCCCTGACCCTGACCCAGTCTCATGTTTGTTCCTGGCATCACCTGGACCCTGAACATCCATTCCCTGAACACCCCTTAGGACCAGGAGGCTCCCCGGGACCCACCCTGAGCCAGGTTCAGAGCAGTTACCATCAAAGGGATGCCTCTGCTCCCCGTCCGTTTCGTCCTCGGCGAGGATCACCTCTTCTGAGGAGGAAGAGCACACAGTTAAGCTCTGGTGCCTGGGGGACTCCCCCCGGGACGGGCTCCCTTGGACCAGGAAGGAGAAGGGTCTGCCCGGCCACCTCCTCTCCCCGCTTGCTCACGGCGACAGCTCAACAGCCAGAGACGTGTCGCTCAGTTATTTCGGACTCCCAGCCTCACTTTAGCAAAGGCAGTAATAGCCAAATTATCCTCACCTTCCTCAAGATAAAACCAGCATCCTTACCACAGCTTCTAAGGCCGTGCCTGATGCAGCCCTTGTCACCTCCCGGCCTTCCTCTCTTCCCACTCTCCCCAGCCTTGGCTCCGGCCGCACTGGCTTCCTTGCTATGACTCAACCCTGCGCCCAGCTCAGGGCCTTCGCACTGGCTGTTCCCTCCGCCTGGAACGCCCCTCCTCTACACACCCACCTGCTTCCTTCTTCATAGCCTTTGGGTCTCTGTTCAGGGGGCACCTCCTCAGAGGGACCCTCTCTGATGACCCTGCCTCCTCTGACCGTTTTCCTGCCTCCTACTTTGTGCTTTCTTTTTTGAAAAAATATTTACTTATTTTTTAGAGGGAGGGAAGGGAGGGAGAAAGAGAGGGAGAGAAACATCGATCGGTTGCCAGGGACGGGACCTGCAACCCAGGCATGTACTCTGACTGGGAATCGAACCGGCAACTTTTCACTTTGTGGGATGATGCCCAACCAATGGAGCCATGCTGGTCGGGGCGACCCGACTTGATTTCTGTCCGTAGCATTTGGCAGCACCCAACATTCTATGTCTTTGTTTATTTTCTGCCTCTCTCACTGGAATATAAGAGCCCTCTGGGCAGGGATTTGCTGGGTTTTGTTCACTGCAATTTTCTCAGGGCCTAGAACAGCGGCTGCACACAGTGGGTGCCACATAAGTGTTCTCAGAGTGGCTGACCTAATGGACATGTGCTCGCTGTGTGGAGGTCACTGCTCTTTCTAAGCGACTCAGCTGGGACTGTCTCACTGACTTCCCAAACAGCCGGATGAGGTAGGTACTACAGTTATCTTTAACAGCTGAGGAAACTGAGGCACAGGGAGACGAAGTGCATTGCTAGGAGGTGGCAGCGCTGGGATGTAAACCAAAGTCTGGTTTTAGAGCTGTAACCGTTATGCACTGTCCTATTCTGGCTTGATCACAGAAGTTTTCCTATCATATCCTGGATTCCTGTTGCTAAAGATTAGGACCACCAGTTCAGTCCTTTCTCTTCCCGTGATCATGCTCTCCTCCTCCATCTTCAAACTGCACGCATGCCCCTCCGTGTGTGCCGTGGCCTGGAATGCCGGGCCCTGGGCCCCGGGGTGAAGGGGCCTCACCTGCTTTCGAGATCCACTCCATGTACCCGTTGAGCTCTCGTTCAATCTGCTGCTGCCGCCTCAGCTTCAGGAAAGCCCTCCGGTTTTCCACCCGCTCCCTTTCTTTGGCAAACTCCCTGCAAAAGCACAAAAAGCACAAAAAGGCCAGGGTTGGCTGTTTTAGAAATTGTAGGGAGTCTCCATGTGTGTGTATTTGGAGGTTCAGAAGTTTCCGGAGGGCAAAGGATTTCAGCAAGTCGGATCAGTCTTCTGGGAGAAGATTGGAATATTGTAGGAGTGGGTATCTCTGCCAGCTTCCCACATTTCCCAGCAACTGCAAAACCATAAGCCATGCCATGCCAAGCACTGCTGGCTGCATGCTCCATTCTTGTTCTCTGTGGTCCTGGCTACACAACATTTTCAGCAGCTTTAACTTAGGTCAACGACACCTGAGCTGATGGTTTCTGCAGCAGTCTCATATCCCGGATACAGGCCCCACCCCTTCGTAGTTCCCTCCTTCCTCGTCCTGTTTGGAACATGGGATGACCATTGTGGGAGCATGAGGCAGCCATCTTGAGACCATGAGGCAGCTAGAGAATTAAAGTCTCTGGTAAGGATGTCAAGAGTAGAAATCTAAAAGGAACTGGGGTCCCTAATGGCACCATGGAGCCCCCATACCAGTCCCCAGACTTCTTCTTGGTAAGAAAAATCAAACTCATTTACGATTAAGACAAAAAATCAATCCTGGGGACAGGGAACTCTATGTATCATGAAAATGCATGTCTGACTGTAGGCTGTAATTATATATTTGGAAACCCAACCTACTGGTTTTTTTAAATGTTAACTACAGAAGTAAAGCTCTAATTTTCTTATCAGTGGGTCGTGGGTCTGAAAAATTTGGGAAAACCTTGTTTTGTTTTGTGTGTGTTTTTAAAAAGATTTTATTCATTTACTTTTAGAGAGAGGGGAAGGAGGAAGAAGGGAAGAAAAACACTCTTCGATGTGTGAGAGGTACATCAAGGCCTGCAACCCAGGCTTGTGCCCTGACCGGGAACTGAACCGGGAACCTTTTAGTTCGCAGGCCAGCGCTCAATCCACTGAGCTACACCAGCCAGGGCGGGAAAATTTTCTGAATGAGAGGTCCGCATTGGGAAGAGACAGCTCAATGCCAGGGACAAACTGTGGTGAGTCAAGTCTGGGCTGGATTTCAGCCCCTGTGAGTCCCTGCACTCGGCTACCCTGGCGGTGCCAACCTACGCGCTTACGCGGGGCTTGCTCACAACTGTCTGGCTAACCCGAGGCAGAAGCCTGTTCTCTGCCTGGAGAATGAGAACAAAGCTTTGATGGTCTCTTCCTGGGAAGAAGGCGACAAGGGAGAGTGGGGTGGGAGCGCAGCAAGACTTACCCTGACAGCACACCCAGCACAAGGTTCAGCATAAAAAAGGAGCCAATGATGATGAGGGGGATGAAGTACAACCAGTTCCAAGTGTTCCCTGAGGCGTCGTTGCTCTGTGGGAGGAAAGGAGGGAAGGCGGGTGAACACTGAGTGGGACTGAGGTCTGACCGGACAGGCGGGGGCAGGGGGCGTCCTGGTTCTCCTGGGGATCCGTTCCCCAAATGTCTTTAATCTGTGGAGCCCTGTAGCTCTGGCAGCCCAGAGAGGAAAACGGAGCACAGGAGCGACCAGTGGGGGGACAAATCCCCTCCTAACCATGCAGTGCTCAGAGGGCCCGGAAACCAGCGTGGCACTCAGGGGGCTCCAGGAGGAGAATGAAAAATCAGAGCCTATTGGGACAAAGAAATGAGCCCCTGGCTCCTTCCTTTTCCCTGGCCCAGCCACTCTCCCCAAAAGGGGCGCCTGACGGCGGGCGCTGATGGCGGGTTGGAACCACCCAGGCAGGCGGCAGGGCGGTGAGCCTTTTCCTCCTCTGTTTTCTGCTTCCTCACACAAAACACTCTGGAAGCGCCCAGCTCAACTTTCAAGGGGGGAGAGGTCCACAAATAGAACATTCTTCTCTGATATGGAGGAGAGAACACTGCAGCAAGACAGAAGTGAGAGGAGAGGAGGAAAATCAAGAAGAGAGAGACCCAGCACTTACAGAGTGCGTACTATGTATTAGGGAGCCTTCCAAGCACATTAATTTACATCTGCCCGTGTAATCCTCATCATACTCCTATGTTAACATCACGCCCATTTTACAACTGAGGACACTGAGGCCCAGAAAGACAAAATTGTCAGCCCAAGGTCACAGAGCTAGACAGTGCACAGGGGACTTGAACCAGGAGGCCAGGCCCCAGAGCCCGTGGACTTAACTTCTAGGCTGGGGAAACCTCACTTCAGCAGCCAGAGGAGGGGGGCCTCCTGGTGCGTCGCCAGCTCTGAGGCATCTGCAGAAGGTGGTGCCCCCACCCACAGCTTTAAAAGCTTCCCTTTAGAAGCGCGCTCGGTGCTGCTGTTGCCCAGCAGCAAGGCTAACATGAGAAAGACTAAGTCGCTCCCATCTCTGGCTGCAAATAATGACCGCCTGGAGGCCTCCCAGGTAACACGAATGGCCAGGCCCCAGCCCAGAGAATTTGATAACTGGTCTCTGGGGGATCCTGAACATCTGTATTTTTAAAAAGCAACTTTATCGAGGCATAATTTACATAGAGTAAAACGCACCCATTTTAAGTGTGTTCACTTTGGTGCGTTCTGACAAACGTTCACAACATGTAACCACATTTCCGTCACCTCAGAACATCCCTCTTGCCCCTTCGCAGTCCATCTCTACCTCCAGACCTGCACAACCGACTGATCTGCTTTCTGTCTGTACAGATTAGTTTTCTGCCTCTAGAGTTTCCTATGAATGGACTCAGACTGGACACGTCCTAGTGCTGGCTTCTTTCACTCAGCATAATGCTTCTGAAATTCATTCAAGCTTGTTCTTTTGCACTGCGTGGATGTGCCGCAACCCGCTTATCCATTCTGCTCACGGTGGACATCGGCTGTTTCCGGTTTGGGGCTATCACGCATCTTTCTCTCTCTCTAATCTTCTTAAGTATTCTGGTGTGCTGCCAGGGCGGAGAGCTGAGAAGCCCTGCTGCACCAGGGAAGAATTTTCCATGGGGAGAAAGGGACTGTGCCTCTTTCCTGGAGTAAATGTTTCTCTGTGGAAGTGTCACTAGGCATTTTGCATGTGGAATCCTGTTTTCAGCAGTTGCTGTGTAAAGGAAGCAAGATTATAGAAGAGGCACCTTTCCATAGGGTGCCCAGACCCTCCCCAGTTTGTCTGGGGTTCAGTGTGGGGGACTGCGGGGTCGGGGTGTTTGTGTGCGCACAGGTGCACGTGTGTGCCTCCCTCTGGCAGCTGCCCTGGGAGCTGACAGCCAGCCCGGCAGCACTCCGTTCCCCTGGAGCCAACTAGGTGTGTAATAAACTTCTGTAAATTAAAAAGGAAAGAGAGAGAGGAAGACTGGCACTGCCAGACTGTTACCAAGTCACCTCCCCAAATTCAGGTTCACGCACCTGATGCGCTAGGAGGCCAAACGTAGGGCCGGCGGAATGTGACGCTAGAGAAAGGTCTTCAATTCCGCCAAAGCGAGAGGACAGGAGAGCGAGACCCCCCAAATTCATCCCCCCAAAGCAAAAGTAGGCAGTTTCTATGCAGCTACGGAGTAGGGGAGGGGGAGTTCCAGGGAACCGAGAAAGTGGTGTTTCTTTAATCAGAGATAAGGCCTTTGCATATCAGACTCCTGGGTGTCAGCAGCGGGTCACAGCTTTCTTTTTTATTCCTTTTTTTTTTTTTTTAATATGTTTACTGATTTTAGGGGGAGAGAAAAAGAGAGAGAGGGAGGGGAGGGAGGGAGAGAGTGGGGAGGGGAGAGGGGGAGAGAGAGAGATAGAGAAACATTGATTGGTTGTCTCCCTTATGTGCCCTGATTGGAAATTGAACCCAGAGCCTTTTGGTGCAAGGGATGACACTCCAGCCAACTGAGCAACCAGGTCAGGGCTGGTCACAATTTTTTAAAGGCATTTACTCCTGCAAAACAAACATAAATTCTCATTGTGGCCCTGGAATTATCTCCTGCTTGACAAGGAAACAGTACATCAGCAACACAAAATTATACGGTGAGAACAAGGGGTGCTGAATTGAAGAATCAAGAGATGCTGCAAAACACCTCGTAATTGTGCATCAGTGACATCTTTAAGGCAGAAGCTAGACATCTTGTGACTATGGCCATTGCTTAAGCTATCATTGTTTTGTGCTTAACTAGCTGTACTTTTCTGTTCTCTCAGGCAAAGTGTACTTTTAAACATTTTTCCTGGAACTTGCTTTACGGGCAGTTCTTCAGAACACGACCACCACACTTCCTTAGTCTTTGACTATAAGCAATGTGATAAATGAAGCAATTCAAATGTTTAGTTAAAGTCTATCCCTATATTATAATTATGAATTTTTAAAAAAGATTTTATTTATTTTTAGAGAGAGGGGAAGGGAGGGAGAAAGAGGGAAACATAAATGTGTGGTTGCCTCTCATGTGCCCCCTACTGGGGACCTGGCCTGCAACCCAGGCATGTGCCCTGACTAGGAATCGAACCGGCGAATTTTCAGTCCGCAGGCCGGCACTCAATTCACTGAACCACCCAACCTGGGCAAGAATATTTTTTAATCCTCCCCTGAGGATATGTTTTTATTCATGAGAGAAAGAGACAGACAGACAGATATCAATGTAAGAGAGAAACGTTGATCAACTGTCTCCCACGTATGTCCTGACCCAGGATTGAACCGGCAACTTTTGCTGTACGGAACAACACTCCAACTAACCAAGCCACCCAGCAAGGGCTCTGATTAAGAATTTAATTATTCAATTCTGGCTGCCAAAAGTACTAGGGGCATTAAAATCACAAGGGACTTTGTTACAAATCTCCCCTTTTCTTTGTAAATCCCTCAATCTTAAGGGATAGAAGTTGTTTTTTTTTTTTTTAAGTCCTCACCTAAGGATATGTTTATTGATTTTTAGTGAGAGAGGAAGGGGAGGAGGACAGAGAGAGAGGAACATGGACATGAGAGAGGAACATTGATCGGCTGCCTCCAGCATGTGCCTTGACTAGGGATCAAACCTGAGACCTTTTGGTGTACGGGATGATGTTTCAACCAACTGAGCAGCCCAGCCAGGGCAAGTGATAGACGTTTTAATTGGTTTGTTATGTGGTATAGTTACATTCATCTAATTCTGAGAACATGGCAATGACCTCTAGTTATTTCCTGCTGAAGGAGGTCAACGTTCGGGAGGAGAGAGAGGATACGTTCTGCTTGGAGGAGGGAAAGGGGCGTTATAAAGTTTCTTAGAAGACATCAGGCCAGCAGTTGTAATATGTTTTCTTGTTATCCTTGCAAACAGCTCTTTGGGAACAAGCTGCTTCAGCCCAGCCCCAAGGTTCTTTCGCCATTTCAACGTTCCAGAGGTTGGAGGGGTTAAGAGTGCAAGGCAGCTCCTCCAGGGTGGCTCCATTTATACTGTTGTTTACATTTCCCTCCTTTTGATTAAGGTCTTCCCGTGATAGCACTGCTGATCATTCATTAGATAGCAGTACTAACTGGTCAGAAGTGTCGCTGGCCCTCTAACATCGGGTGAGTCTGGGGAGGGAGGGCCTGGAGCCCTCACCTCACATGCTGCCGATGGCAGGGTGACATGGTGCAGGAGTTTCCTGTGGCTGCTCTCGAAGCGCCACAAACCGGGCGGCTTAGACAACAGAACTGCAGTGCTTCCCGGTCCGGAGGCCAGGAGTCCGAGCTCAAGGTGCTGGCAGGTTTGGTTCCTGCTGGGGTGGTGGGGGAGGGTCTGGCAAGCCTGTCCCCAGCCCTGGGGACGTGCTGACGGCCTCTGGTGCCCTCTGGCTGGTAGCCCCGTCATTCTGATCCATGAAGCTCCTCACTCAGGACCCGTGGGGTTTTCTGTATGTCTGTATGTTTATTTTACTTCAATACAAATTTTTTTTTTTTAAGTAGGAGGTGGGCTTTCCTTGGGGTTGGCTCAGGAGCGAAATGGGAAATGTATTTCCGAAGTGGAAAGGCTGGAGCTGCTGCAGCCCAGGGTGGGGTGTGCGTGAGCCTGGGTGCAGCGGGGAGGAGGGGGTTGGGAAACTTGCTCACTTGCTGAAATTAATAATACTGGGAAGGATGTGCTCCCAAGATCGCCTTGATTTTCTTCTGAAAGCTTAGAAGACTTCCACTGCCTGGAACGCTATTTCCCATTAGTGCAGTCCCTACGTGCTTCTAGTGCTGTGGCTGGACGGCCCTTCCTGGTCTCACTGTGGGTGGCCGAGGACCACGTGGTATGTGCTGGCCAACAGGGGGTGAGCGGAAATACCTGTGTCACTTTTGGACCAGAACACTGAACTGTCAGTGTGAGACCTTCCAGGGCTCTCTTTCCTCTTATGACAGCAGGTGGCAATGTTCTACGTGGTGGCTGCTCTGCGAGCTAGGTCCCAAGTGACTAAGTTGAGCAAATTCCCCTTCTCCACTTCC